ATTACAAAATAGCCTTAGAATAGAGGTGGGGATGAGCGTTATTTTCATATTGCAGCTATATAAGGCCGGATAGAAACTGTAAGTGGACATCGTCCGCTCAAAGACAGTTCCAAAAGGAACTAATCTGATAGTAGACTTGCTCCTTGGTCACTCTTTTTCTAATAGGGTGTCAGACTGTACGTCAGGCCAGCTCCTAGGTCACTCAATGTCTGGATAGCGCTCTGATGTAGGAACACAGGCCTGAAATCATAGCGTTATTCTGACTTCAATAATAGTGACGTAGGAGCGAGTCTGACGTATTAGAGCAGGTTGTTTATATAATAGAATGATAACGTAGAGATGACAAATTCGTACAACAAAACAAGCGTCATAATTCAATAACAGTTAATCGATAGATCAAACCCGACATTGGCAGTCTGGTCGCAGAAACTAAAAACAAAACCTAATGAAATTAATAAGCAGATTTGCATCATCATTGATTTTGATATTGTTTATATAAACTTTGCCATTTTGGTATTTTTGTACAGAACAACAGTAGAGTTATCGTGTGTTGAATATTAAACTGACTTGAAAGATTTTGAATATTAATCACTTGAAAGATTTTGAATATTAATCACTTGAAATAATATTAAAGACTTGAAATGAAATAATATTAATCACTTGAAATGAAATAATATTAATGACTTGAAATAATATTAATGACTTGAAATAATATTAATGACTTGAAATAATATTAATGACTTGAAAAATTTTGAATATTAATGACTTGAAATTTTTGAATAGATTTTGAATATTAATGACTAGAAAGACTTTACTAAGATTATATCTGTACATTCCTAAGTGTGCGTGTGTTTATACGTCATCATTTAATTTTTTGCTCTTTGAGGTCATGAAAAATAAATAGTCACTTGTGTCTCGCGGACTATCTTTGGTTTAAAATAATATTACAACTTAGATATTTTGAAAAGAACAAGCAAACAATCAAAATATTATTACTATACCACTTGTATATCATAAACGATAACTAATTTTTTTTTGTTTTTTAATTATATTGCCACTCCCCTTAAAAAAAATAGAATGCATAATTTAAATGGGTATTTCGGAAAAAAAATAAAACGTTGGTATGACTATGGCCTTAGAACACACTGTGATAACAGATGGTAATAAATAATAGAGATTACGTCATTAGGAGATTACGTCATTATGAGAGTTTGCTGATATTCCCCAAGTAACCAAAATATTATTACTATTTTATAAACTAACATATCTCGATATTCATTATACTATATTTGTGATAAGTTTTTATAGCTATTTTTTTAATGTATTTTAGTTCTAAGTTTGTGTTTTGTAGTGATCTTTTTTTCCTATTATGCATTATTATTTTGTGTTTTCTGAACACGCATCTTTGTAAAGATTGGCTCCTTTTTTATACGCCCACATTGAAATGTGATCGTATATTGCCGTTACCCCCCTCCGTCCATCTGGCCGGCGTCCACAATTGCTTGTGGGCGCTCTAAAGGCTAAAGTTAATATCCGATTGACATTAAATTTATACGCAGTGTTTAAGGTCATGAGACAAAGAAGCCTATTGATTTTCAACGGTTCCCAGTAATGGCACTTGATCACTTTGAAAAATCTTGTGGAAGCTCTTGAGGCTAAAATTAATATCCGGTTGATTTTAAATTTTTCCACGAAGAAGCCCATTGATTTCCGATAATTAATGCCAGAGTTATGGCTCTTGATCCCTTTGAAAATTCTTGGGCACTCTAGAGGCTACAGTTAATATTCAATCGGCTATACATTTATACACATTTCTTGTGGTAATGTGACGAATACGCCTATTAGTTTTCAACAATTTCCAATAATTAATGCCAGTGTTATGGCCCTTGATCACTTAGTTGTAGAGGCTAAAGTTAATATAAATTTATACACAATGTTTATAGTCATGAGACGAACAATCGAAACAAATTCTAATAATTTCTGATAATTACTTAATGAGCTGTTACTTGTAATCTGATTTTAGTGTCTTGTAAATTTTTTCATTACTGACAATAGAAAAATATTAAAAAAACCATTGTTGACTCCCCGGACGACTTAGCTGCTGTGAGCGTATGTTTCGTTGCCTTACAACCTATCTTTTAATATTTTATTATACTACACTTTCAAGTCTATATTAATAATAATGTATTTCGTTTCTGTTTTATTTTCATGTTCTGGTATAGATTTTAATAAACATTATATTTTCCTTCGGATTTGTTATCAATGTCGAAAATTTTATCTAATGTTGAGGGGATCACGTGGCTAAGTGGGTAAGACGCTAGCTCGCTAGCCTGGAGGTCGGGTGTTCGATCCCTGCATTGGCCGAGAAAGTTCATCCAGATTTTCCGGCGTGGTTCTCCCTTGTCAGTGATGCAGGACGGAGGGCCTGACAAGGAAAGCTGTCTAGTCGTTCGAATGGGACGAAAAACCGAGGTCCCGTGTACTCATTGGCGTGCACGTAAAAGATCCCTTGGCAGTTGGAATTCGATATAAGAGTAGGCCGTAGTGCCGCTGTCCGGGCAAAATTTCCCTCATAGCACACTGTATGGCGTATGCCCGTCTTCATTAGCCCAGGTTAGGAGCAGAACAGTAGGACGTTAAACCCCATTTCATTTCATTTCTAATGTTGATGGGGGTTGGTTGGCCTAATGGTTAGCACGTGCGCGCTGTATCATAAGCCTGTTATTGAGTCAACTGGCGTGGTTTCGATTCCCCGGTAGTACGAAACAAGGAGTAAGGTCGCCTGTCCAACCTCGTGGGTTTTCTCCGGTTTCCTCCCACTGGTAAATAAAGCCCCCCCCCCCCCCCCGCGCCAGCACCGTGGCCACGATAATAAAAAAATCAATGCATACATCTTGTCAAAACTACAAACAATGATAACTGCCCTCAGAATAAAGTAATTTGAATGAAATTTTTAATATATTCATTTTGCATTATTTATTTTTGAAATATTATAGCGCTTTATCTAATTCTTACATAATCTATATTTAATAGAAATTAATAATCCACCAACAATAATTGATTCCTAACTGCATGAATAATGTTTTGTTCTCCAGTTTCTATACATAAAAATAATGAATGATAAACAAAATACAAATCAATAAAGTGCATTTAATCTTGGTAGAATACAAAAAAAGCAGTGTTCATGGAAACGTAGAAAAGAGGTCACTATCCTACGACATCAGTAATATCTTCCCTCAAAAACGGTAGCCGCAGTGGCTCAGTGCGTAAGACGCTGGCACGCTAATTAGGAGGTCCCAGCGCGGTTTACCCTTGTCGGGGATGCAAGGCGGGGGTCCTGGCAAGGACAGTGTCTAGTCGTTCGGATGAGACTTAAAACCGGGGTCCCGTGTACACTGTATAGGTTGACGTGCACGTAAAGTTTCTTGACAGTAGCCCGTCCCTTATCGCACACTGTATGAACAAGTATGCCCGTCTTAGCCCAGTCTGATCAGAAAAGTGGGACTTAAAACCCAGTTTCATTTCTTTTAGACTCATTTCTTTAAAACAACCGGGGGTTGGATGGCCGAATGGTTAGCACGTGCGCGCTGTATCATAAGGCCTGTCATTGAGTCAACTGACGTGGTTTCGAATCCCCGGTTGCACGTGACAAGGAGTAGGGTCGCCTGTCCAACCTCGTGGGATTTCTCCGGGTCCTCCGGTTTCCTCCCACTGCTAAAGACCCCTACGCGCAAGCGAATTATTGAAATAAAATTAAGCCATACGTTAGTCCCGAAATGACCTAGTATGTGTCGAGTGGACGTTAAACCCCATATAATGTCATTTTGTCAATTGCCTAAACAATTAAATATATACAATTAATTTCAAATTCTAACTCTCACCAGTGTCAAAGCTTACCAATTAATTGAAGACATTTTCATTTCAAGTCGAAAATCAAAATACGTGCAGTCGAATCTCAATGCACAAGTGAACAACGTCGCTTGACTTAGGAATAACATTTGTAGTTGTGCGCCCTGTTCTAACGTATCAACATTTAAGCAGCTATTTCCAGAAGAACAGGCTCGTTCGCTTCGCTAGTTCACCGGATAATTCCTCTTTTATAAACCTTTGGTGCGTTTATACAACTGCTGCACAAAATGAATATCATGCAAAGAAGCCATTTCATCATCATCATCATCGGTGCGGCCTTTAGATACGTCAGCGAGCTTTTGTCCTATATTGGGGGACAGTTTGCCCAAACAGCGAAGCCGCGGCCTACATGTACTTCGTTTTCCAACTGTTGGGAGATTTTTAGCGTTCTGTCAATCGTGTACACGGGAAAATAGTGTACGATATCATAGCTCTGCTTAGTAAATCAATAAATCCATGTATCTTTACTGTAAATTACAGAATTTTGTCTACACTAACCAGGGGGGAGAGAGAGATGGGGTTTAACGTCCACTCGACACAAACTAGGTCATTTCGTGACTAACATATGGTTTAATTTTATTTGAATAATTCGCTTACGCGTAGGGGTCTTTAGCAGTGTGAGGAAACCGGAGGACCCGGAGAAAACCAACGAGGTTGGACAGGCGACCCTTCTCCTTGTCCAACCTCGTGGGTTTTCTCCGGGTCCCCCGGTTTCCTTCCACTGCTAAAAACCCCTTTGCGCAAGCGAATTATTGAAATAAAATTAAACCCTACGTTAAACCCAATTTCTCTTTCTCTCAATACCAACCACCACAATTTCAAAACGCCCACCATTTTCTGCACCATTCCTCACCAGACACACAAAAGTTGAAATCGTACACTATTGGGCGATATCGCCTAGTGTGATAAAAAAAAATGGTTGAAAAGAAGATTTTTTATCGGAATATTTGAGTTGCAACAACAAATAAAACGTATTGATTTGACGTTTTTTCGTTAGATTGTAAGCAAAACAATCAACTGTGGCGTAATTGTGCACTTACGACCACGTGACTTATGTTAATCGATGAAAGGATCAGTGATGATTTATATACATTTGAATAACAGCGACGGATGTAGAAGAAATAACTACCTCGAAGTAACGAACAAAAGGCGATAACTGATGACAATGGTGCTATGTCTAATATGGTCTGTGGTCATTTTATTCCTAAATATTACAGGTAATTTATTTTATTTAACAAAACCTTTTCCGAACAACTAATGTAAAATTTCCTTTTGGACTATGGGATGGTCCTGCCAGATTTAACTAGAAAGTTGAAGTAGCCACTGCATGGTTATTATGTATTTTATTATGTCGGTAGATCCGCCCAGTTGTAATTGGGACGTACGCGTAGCCACTAGATAGTGTACTTTATGATGTCGGTAGCGCATACCAGAACTTTGTAGTCACGGTATATATACTATTCAAAAAAAGTAGGGGATATTTGATTTTGGGGGCATAATACTAAAATATGCAAATGACTACGAAAAAAGTCACTATAGAACCTAACAGAAGAAACATTTCCAGTTACATGTGACGCCCAAACGCACCAATAGCTACCGCATGGAATGCAGGTGATGCTTGGGATCATCATGGGGGTCCAACCCAAGATTTGCACGACTCTGACTTTGAATGTTACAGTCATTGTGGCATTGAATTCCAGGGTGGAAACATCAGTTTAATTGTTTTAGTGACCAGAAAACAAATTTTGATATGCGTCGGCTTACCCAAAATGAAAGGTTACGTGCCCTTGGCATGCTACAGATCGGCACAACACAGGCGGTTGTGGCGCGGACGATGAATGTTTCTCAGTCTGTCATAAGCAGGCTATGGTCCAGATACCGTGATACACAATCTGTACAGGACAGACCACGCTCAGGTCGACCAAGGGCGACAACTCAAGCCCAGGATCGATTTATCCGTACCTTGGCCTTGAGAAATCGTGTCATCACAGCAAATCAGATCAGCGCTCGTCTTCAAACAGACACTGGTGTGAGAGTGAGTGGCCAGACGATTCGGAATCGACTGCATAGGGGTCACCTTCGCGCCCGACGTCCTCGCGTGATCCCTTGTTTGAGAGATCATCACATAGGGATCGTCAACACTGGGATAATCGACGCTGGAGCAATGTGATGTTTTCAGATGAGTCAAGGTTCACTGTTGATTTTTTGGACAGACGTAGGAGGGTGTGGCGTCGTCGAAACGAGCGCTTCCAAGACGTTAACGTCATCAGACATGATCGATTTGGGGGTGGTTCTGTTATGGTGTGGGAGGCATCACTGTTGCTGGAAGAACGGCTTTACATGTTGTTGCAGGGCGTGTTACAGGCCAGTACTACCGGGACAACATCTTGGCAGTCCATGTTGTGCCGTTCGCACGACGTCATGGCCGCCGTTTCATCTTCCAGGATGACAACGCAAGATGTCACAGGGCCAGGATCGTTACAGGTTACCTCCAACAACAGAACATCACCACATTACCTTGGCCAGCACTGAGTCCCGACCTCTCCCCCATCGAGCATGTCTGGGACATGCTTGGACAGAGGTTACGTCAACGTCAACAACGTCCTGCCAATGTCCAAGAACTTGCTGCTGCGTTGCAACAGGAATGGGACAATCTGGACCAAAATGACCTTAGACGTCTCATTAGGAGTATGCCACGTCGGATCAATGCTTGTTTGGCAAACAGAGGAGGATTTACCCGTTACTGACTTGGTTGTGATGCTGTGGTAACTTTGCTGTTTGACCCCGGGTATCATTATCCTACTCTTCTAATTGGGACGCCCACGTAGCTACTGGGTGGTTATGGTACTTTGGGGATACAGTGGACTGTCAACGGTTTATTAGAAAAACTCGGAACAGCGACGACTGTGTGCATGGGGCAGAGCATACTTAAAGATACATTATAAGAGATTAGATATAAAGAGCTGGTAGTTCTCGCTATAATAGTTAAAAACTAGATAATGTAAAGGGAATTTGCTGAACATTTCAGTCAAATTGATTCAATTTTTGGCCTAGCCTCGATCATCATTACTAAAGTCTGTACGATAAAAAAAACAAACATAGTCTCGATTATCCATTTTTTGATTTAATCATAAATGAGCGTTGAGCAGCAGATCGGATTATAATCCAGTAAATATCACAGGCTAGCGATGACATCGAGAGTTGATTATGGTCTGTATAAGTTAATTAATGTCTGTATGTTTAACCTTTTCTTGAAGCCGGTATTTATACCACATGAACTTCGTGACTAATTCTGTTATGTCCATTTCAAACATGATTTAAAACTATTCCCCATCCTTCTGAATGCTGGACCTGTTTCTCAAACATAATGGCGAGTTTCCTACAAAACATTTGTCTGTCAAAATTCCCAAAGCAGTAGTAGTAGTAGTCGATTCTCTGTGATGTGATCGTGTTTTGTTGGGCGGTCGGTCGGGCTTTATTGTATGTACTGTGGTCGTGATTTGTTGGATTGTCAGAGTCTCTATGATGTGATCGTGTTTTGTTGGGCGATCGGGCTGTATTGTATGTGGTGTGATCGTGTTTTGTTAGGCGGTCGGGCTGAATTGTATGTGCTGTGATGTGGTGTAATGTAAGACATGTGGTCGTTTTTATACGCCCACATTTAAATGTGGTCGTATATTGTCGTCGCCCCCGTCCGTCCGTCGTCGGTCTGTCGGTCTGTCGGTCCGTCGGTCCGACGTCCGCAATTGCTTGTGGACGCTCTAGAGGCTAAAGTTAATATCCGATTGACTTTAAATTTATACACAGTGTTTAAGGTCTTGAGACGAAGAAGCCTATTGATTTTCAGCGATTTCAGATAATCACTGCCAGAGTTATGGCCCTTGATCACTTCAAAAAATCTTGTGAACGCTCTAGAGGCCAAAGTTAATATCCGATTATCTTTAAATTCATACACAGTATTTAAGGTCATGCGACGAAGAAGCCTATTGATATTTAGCAGTTTCCAATAATTACTGCCAGAGTTATGGTACTTGATCACTTTGAAAAATCTTTTTGACGCTCTAGAGGCCAAAGTTAATATCCGATTGACTTTAAATTTATACACCGTGTTTAAGCTCAATTGCTAAAAAGTCTATTGATTTTTAGCAATTTCCGATAATTACTGCCAGAGTTATGGCCCTTAATCACTTTGAAAAATCTTGTGGACGCTGTAGAGGTCAAAGTTAATATGCGATTGACTTTAAATTTATACACAGTGTTTAAGGTCATGAGACGAAGAAGCCTTTTGATTTTCAGCGATTTCCAATAATTACTGCTAGAGTTATGGGCCTTGATCACTTTGAAAAATCTTGTGGACGCTCAAGAGGCCAAAGTTAATATCCGATTGACTTTAAATTTATGATCAGATTTTAGTGTATTATAAATGTTTCATTACCGAAAATTAAAAATATGTGACAACTCTTGTTGACTGCCCGGACGATTTAGCTGCTGTGGGCGTATGTTTCGTTGCCTGGCAACCTATCTTTTGTTGGGCGGTCGGGCTGTATTGTATGAGATGTGATCGTATTTTGTTGAGTAGTCGAACTGTATTGTATGTGCTGTGATAATGTTTTGTAGGGCGATCGGGTTGTATTGTATGTGGTCATGTTTTGTTTGGCGGTCAGTCTGTATTATTTATTAACATTGCCACGACACTCTGTCTAGCTCAAAACTCTTGATCTTCTTTGTAAATATTTCGTTCTAACCAAGTCAAGTGCTTTTAACCGGTTCTTGTCAATACAGTTATTGTCTTGCTAACCTTTTATTTGAATAGTTTAATGAAAACCGTTGAAGGGTTTAATGAAAATCTTTTCAAATAAAAGCAACGATATCGATTAGGATTAAATAATGTTATTTCTTCGAGAAAGTTAAGTATTTATTTTAAATATAATTGAATAGGATGCGGTATCAGCCAGCTATTCAGATGGTAGAGCCACGGGATGAGGTGGCTCTTGTGCCCACCCCGGGCAATTTTTTCATTTTAAACGCGGTATCAATTGAAATGAAATGGGGTTTAACGTCCTACTGTTCTGCTCCTACTTGGTTAATGAAGACTGGCTTACTCCATGCAGTCGGCTATGAGGGAAATTTTGCCCAGACAGCGGCGCTACGGACTACTCTTATATCGAATTCTAAATGTCAAGGGTTCTTTTACCTACACATCAATGTGTATACGGGACCTCTCGTTTTTGTCCCAGTTTGAATATTCCTGTGTTTCTATTGAAACTGGGTGCCACGATGGCTCTATGGGTAGGAAATTGGCTCGTTAAATTGGACGTCCCGTGTTCGATCCCTGCGTTGGTCGAGAATGTTCACTGGGATATTCTGGCGTGGTTCCACTTCGTCTCTGGTATAGAACAGAGGGCCGGGGAGGCGACAACGTATAGCCGTTCGGATGAGACGAAAAACCGAAGTTCCTTGCATACATTAGCGTGCACATAAAAGAACCCATTGACATGTTGGAATTCGAAATTGGAGTAGGCCATAGGTCCGTTGTCCCAGCAAAATTGTCCCCATAACACACTGCATGGCGTATGCCCGTATTCATTAGCCCAGTAGGAGCAGAACAGCACGACGTTAAACCCCATTTCATTTCAACGCCTGTGTTAGAGCCAACGCAACCTGCTCTCCTCCCCCGAACCCTAACTTCCACACTAATTATTCTGTCTTCAAAAATTGGATTTCACTATTTGAGCTCTTAATTATAAATTGTATTGATCTTATGTATGTATAATTGCTTCTAATAATAAACGGTAATTCAAGTGGTGACCATTAAAAGTAGAGTCAACTCAGTTTGTTTAAGAAGTATTTAATTAGTGTTGCTAATTTTATTGGCAAAAAACCAAAACAATTACCAATATGTCGTCGTCCGTTTACGAAATGGTGTTTGACGTCCTACTGTTCTGATCTGACTGGGGTAATGAAGACGGGAGAATTTAAACGGTGTGTTATGGGGGATGTTTTGCCCGGACAACGGTGCTACAGCCAACTGTTCTATCTAATTCCATCTGCCAAGGTATCTTTAACGCTCACGCCAATGTGTACATGGGACCTCGACCACCGCTGTCCCGTGCCAGGCCCTCTGTCCTGCACCATTGACAACTACGCCGGAAAATACCGATGAACTTGTCAGCCAATACCGGGGTCGACTGTTTAAGACTGTTGAAGATTTCGCTTAAGACCTTCATTCCCATAAAGGGGCATTTGGTAAAATCATCCATCAGAAAACGTATTCAAATCAACTAAATATCACAGGCTAGCAATGGCATCCAGAGTTGAAATAGATGTAAGAGTAGACCGTAGCGCATGTTTCTGAGGCAACGACTGCAATTTTTACAACATCTGGACGTCGCTAAATTACTTTACAATTCCCGAACTTATAGCTACGTTATCTGCAGACAAGTGAACAGTAGCGCCCAATCAGAAGTTGTGACATCGCGACCTCCACGGAAAACCTTGACATTGAATGAACTTGAACTTTGCAATTCGATTATCACTTGGTATTCGCGATGATCGGGGAACCTGATAGACTTCCAACCAGGGTGAGTACCCAATCGAAATTAGTCCCGAAATATGCAGGGTAATACGTGAAGACCTTGATAAGAGTTAAAGCGAGATCAAATCTTCTATTGACGATGATGGGGCCACGGTGGCTAAGCGGGTAAGACGCTGGCTTGCTAGCCTGGAGGTCGGATGTTCGATCCCTGCATTGTCAGTGATGCAGGACGGAGGGCCTGACAAGGACAGCTGTCTAGTCGTTCGGATGGGACGAAGAACCGAGGTCCCGTGTACACTTTGGCGTGCACGTATAAGACCCCTTGACAGTTGGAATTCGATATAAGAGTAGGCCGTAGTGCCGCTGTCCGGGCAAAGTTTCCCTCATAGCACATTGTATGGCGTATGCCCGTCTTCATTAGCCCAGTTCGGAGCAGCACAGTAGGACGTTAAACCCCATTTCATTACATTTCTATTGACGATGACCGTATAGCGTCGCTGTCCGGGCATAATCTTCCCCGTAACACATGACATGACGAGCATTATTCCGGTTGGTGCTGTTAGTACTTATAAGCAATATTAACACGTTTTGTTTTGGAAGGAGTTTTTTTTTCTTGTGGATGGGTGGGGTGGGGGGGTCAGAAGTTGCAGCCAAAACTGTGCACAGTGCAAACATTTTACCATCGCAGATATTGTTGGCCTCCAAGGAATTATTTATTAAATATAAATTGGGTAATTTTTTGCAAACCGGAATTGTTTTTCGGATAGCACAAAAAAATGATTTCAGATTGCTTATATCTCTTTGGACTTTCATCTTTAAATCGATTTTTAGCAAACCCCTTTTTGTTTTGAAGCTAGTCCAGGTGGCAACAATTATTTTTATTGTTGAATTGAATCAATGTGCGCCCGATTTAAAAACAATTGTATTTATTTATCCATTTGTGATATATTTAGGTATATTTGGGGAAGTTTCAAATCGATATTCAGCCGCCATCTTTAAATCGATTTTAGCAAACCCCTTTTTGTTTTGAAGCTAGTCCAGGTGGCAATTATTATTATTGTTGAATTGAATCAATGTGCACCTGGTTTAAAAATAATTGTATTTATTTATATTTTTGTGATATATTTAGGTATATTTGGGGAAGAGTGTTTACTTTCAATCCCCCGTGTGACGGAATATAAATCGTGTTTGTTTGGATGTTGTCATCAAGGATTTGATACTAACACTGGGTTTGAAAATGAAGACGTTTGTTGTAGTCCGACGTAAGTAAAATTAAAATACGTTTGGGCTAAACATGTGGGAAGAGGGAAAGAAATGAAATGTAACGTCTTGTCTGGGGTGGGGTGGATGGCCGAATGGTTAGCACGTGCGCGTTGTATCATAAGGTCTGTCATTGAGTCAACTGGCGTGGTTTCGATTCTCCGGTTGTACGTGACAAGGAGTAGGGTCGCCTGTCCAACCTCATGGGTTTTCTCCGGGTCCCCCGGTTTCCTCCCACTGCTAAAGACACCTACGCGCAAGCGAATTTTTGAAATAAAATTGAACCGTATATTAGTCCCAAAATGACCTGGTTTGTGTGGAGTGGACGTTAAACCCCATTTCTCTCTCTTTCTCTCTGTAACATTTTTGATCTTCCCTAACCATGAAGATGGGAGAGGGGTTGACAGCAATGACGTTTTAAGTCTGGACAACACAATATTTCGGTCATGTTGAGACTAACATGCGGTTGGATAATTAACATGGTTAGGTGTACAATGCCAGGGAGGAAAATGTATTTTACATACGAAAGAGGTTTTTGGATTACAGATAGGGTAATCGTAATAAGGATCAACTCGTGGTTGGAGCTAGGGTAATCCTATATCATAAATACTGTAAATACGACGTAAAGTACTTGGGTTAAGGTTTGAGGTCATAAATAAAATGTTTACAGAGTAATCTTTACTCGTAAACACTGTGGTTAGCGAGTAATCCTTTTTCGTAAACACTGTGGTTACCGGGCAATCTTTATTCGTAAACATTGTGGTTACCAGGTAATCTTTAATCGTAAACATTGTGGTTACCAGGTAATCTTTATTCGTAAACGTTCTGGTTACCTGGTAATCTTTATTCGTAAACATTGTGGTTACTGGGTAATCTTTATTCGTAAACATTGTGGTTACTGGGTAATCTTTATTCGTAAACATTGTGGTTACTGGGTAATCTTTATTCGTAAACATTGTGGTTACCAGGTAATCTTTATTCGTAAAATATTGTGGTTACCGGGCAATCTTTATTTGTAAACATTGCGGTAACTGGGTAATCTTTATTCGTAAACATTGTACATGGGGACCCAAAAAAAATGTCACTCATGAAAATGTCAATTACATGCAAAGTCCTTTTTGCATTTTATTCATATTTGGTACAAATAAACTTTAGTCTATGCCTGACATTTCTACCCAGTTTCAAAGATTTTGGTTACCGAGAAATCTTTATTCGTAAACACTGTGGTTACTCGGTAATCTTTATTCGTAAACACTGTGGTTACCAGGTAATCTTTATTCGTAAACATTGTGGTTACTGGGTAATCTTTATTCGTAAACATTGTGGTTACTGGGTAATCTTTATTCGTAAACATTGTGGTTACCAGGTAATCTTGATTTGTAAACATTGTGGTTACCAGGTAATCTTTATTCGTAAACATTGTGGTTACCAGGTAATCTTTATTCGTAAACATTGTGGTTACCAGGTAATCTTTATTTGTAAACATTGTGGTTACTGGGTAATCTTTATTCGTAAACATTGTGGTTACTGGGTAATCTTTATTCTTAAGCATTGTGGTTACCTGGTAATCTTTATTCTTAAACATTGTGGTTGCCGGGTAATCTTTATTCTTAAACATTGTGGTTACCTGGTAATCTTTATTCTTAAACATTGTGGTTGCCGGGTAATCTTTATTTTTGAACATCATGGTTTCGTAACATCGTCCTTTTATTATACAGGGGTGGTATTATGATGTCTATCGTGGCTGGGTCTATTGTCCTGTTTCTGGGATTAGTGGCGAGTTGTTTCGGTTGCAACTGTCGACAGTTGTGTAAAGCAACTCCCAATAAAACAACCGGTGAAACAACCAATAAAACAACCACTAAAACAACCGGTAAAACAGCCACTAAAACAACCACTAAAACAACTGATATCTCCAACAACAATTCTTTAGCAGTTGTCACAGGTAGAACTATATTGTTAATGCAACAAAAATAAATTGTCAGTGGGTAAGGCGCTGAGGCGAAAAAACTAGGTTTGGTATACCCGTTGGCGTGCACTAAAGCGAGTCATGGCTTCATTAGCCCGGTTGGTGCAGAAAAGTTGGATGTAAGACCCATCTCATTTCAGTCAGATCTTAAAGAGGTTATGCCAGATATTACGATATTACTAACGGTGTAATTTTCCAATGAGTTACTGAATAAAATGGTCTTACCTGTCTGTACAAACTGGGTTAGTGAACATGGGCTTACGCCAAGTTGGGAGTCACGGTGGCTAAGTGAGTAAGACGCGGGCTCGCTATCCTGGGGGTCGCAAGTTCGATCCAGGTGTTGGCCGTTGATGTGGAAAAATGGATTATCAAGACCTTGTAACAATGACAATCGAGACTACAGTGATATTAAAATGAAAATTTCTCGACTTACAGTGAAGTAATTTGACTGAAATTTTCAGCATAGCCCCTTTACATTATCGATTTTTTAACTATTATAGCGAGAATTGTCAACTCTTTATCAAAAAATCTTCCTTAAAGCCGCTTTAAATAAACTTTTTATTTAGATTCCATATAAATCAGCCTTATTAATTAAGTTCGGTGTGCCAATGCCCAACTGAAATGAATGTCCGGGCCCTCACCCCAATGCTACCTGCCTGCACGCCACAGTTCCTATTCATCAATAATTCATGTGTTTCTTTATGTGTTTGGGGTCACGGTGGCTAAGTGGGTAAGACGCTGGCTCGCTAGCCTGGAGGTCGGGTGTTCATCCAGATTTTCCGGCGTGGTTTCCCCTTGTCAGTGATACAGTACGGAAGGCCTGACAAGGACAGCTGTCTAGTCGTTCGGATGGGACGAAAAACCGAGGTCCCATGTACACATTGGCGTGCACGTAAAAGATCCCTTGACAGTTGAAATTCGATATAAGACTAGGCCGTAGTGCCGCTATCCCGGCAAAATTTCTCTCATAGCACACTGTATGGCGTATGCCTGTCTTCATTAACCCAGTAGGGGCATAACAGTAGGACGTTAACTCCCATTTCATTTCATTTCATTTCATTTCATTTCATTTCATTTCATTTTTCTTTATGTTTCAGCCGCCAATGAAGATACCAACAAATCTCCAGTACGAAAACCAAAGAAAAAGTCGACGAGGGCGGTTCACAAACATCACCTTGGTTACCACACGCCGCAAATACCCGGATGTCCTATGCCCCCCGATTCTACTGTATCCCAACAGACCTGGCAATTGTCTTTAAAGTCGAAGGATGGGGCTGGGCATTCGAACAAAACGTCTGGAAGACCAAAATAAATTTCATTCTTCTGTATTAAGATAAACCTTTTCTTCTTAATTTGAGACTGGTTGATCGCAACATATATAATAAATTATATATTCTAATAAAACACACACTAATCAGCAGTGAATATTCGCTAGGCCGCTACAATCACTGATAAGGATGACATCAATGCGACTTAATGAGCCCCAAATATTAACTTTTTTCCTCCGACAAATTAAATTCTAAAACATTTTTCTTATGGTATCAGAAAAAAAAATAAAGACGTTTGAAGTATTTCCTGGTTATTATAATGAGTAAAAGGCGCCATTCTGCCCGAACCAGTAACGTCTTATGTAAACAATGCTCACGCCATTGAACCAATGATTGACGCCGCGTGATGTAACGTCACGTGTTGAAGGCAGTCATATTTTACAGATGTATTAGAAGACTTTCGTAATTCTCTGTGAAACAGATTGAATAAAACAGTGATGATGACAGTATAGAAAGTTAATGCATAATGAGTTAGTTTAAAAAATATTTTATTCAATAAACTGAAATGGATTGAACAACAGGCAGAGACATATATAAGTTCACTCCAAAATTACAAACAGTAATATATACATGCCATGTATAAACTGAATTGGATTGAACAACAGACAGAGGCCTATATTAGTTCTCTCCAAACATATAAATTAGTTAAAATTTTTGTTTACAATAAACAATGGTGCACATATCTATAGACAGTGATTTACAAACAAATATACATTTCTTCGGGTGTAATGGTACTATATTTATAATATTTGCATATAAGATTATGAAAATAAAAAAAAATTTTTAAAAAAATATATTGCACATTGTAAATATAGTTTTAAATATTAAAGTGTTAAAATCTCAATGAGTTCCAAACAGATCAGCAGGAAATATTCGCTTCGCAGCTACTATCACTGAAAGGGGTGACATTAGGGCAACGAGTTCCTTATTGATCATCAGGAAATATTCGCTTAGCAGCTACTATCTCTGAAAGGGGTGACGTTAGGGCAATGAGTTCCTAATTGATCAGCAGGAAATATTTGCTTCGCAGCTACTATTACTGAAGGGGATGACATTGGGGAAAGTTAATTAGTACTTAATATTAACTTTTGCAAATTAAATTCTAAAGCAATTTATTACCAAAAAAAATGTGTTGGGAGTATATCTAGATAGGAAGAGAGAGAGAGAGGGGGGGGGGGGCAGGGAGAGAGAGTGAGAAAGAGAGAGAGAGAGAGAGAGATTGTAAATAGAGCGAGTGATTTCGGGACTAACACTTGGTTCAATTTTATTCCAATAATTCGCTTGCGCGTAGGAGTCTTTAGCAGTGGGAGGAAACCGGAGGACCCGGAGAAAACTTATGAGGCTGGACAGGCGACCCTGCTTCTTGTCACGTACAGCCGGGGAATCGAAAGGCATCAATTCTAATAGGCCCAGTTTGTGTTACTATGTCCGATGTAAAGCACGTGCTATCGCGACCGTATGAGGTGACGTCACACGTAGACCTATACTCCACGTGGTCCACGTGAACACAAAGGTCAGAGTTAAAAGAAGGCGGTCGCGGTCGCTAAGTGAGTAAGACACTAACTCGCTAGCCTGTAGTCTATGGGTTCAACGGGATTTTACGACGTGGTTTCCCCTTGTGAGTGTTGCAGGACGGAAGGCCTGACAAGGACAGCTGTCTAGTCGTTCGAATGGGACGTAAAACTGGGGTCTCGTGTACACATTGGCGTGCACGTAAAAGATCCACTGGCAATTTGAATTTGATATAAGAGTAGGCTTTAGCGCCGCTGTCCTGGCAAAATTTCGCGCATAGCACTCTATATGGCGTATGCTCGTCTTCATTAGCCCATTCGGGGCAGAACGGTAGGACGTTAAGCGCCATGTCATTTCATTTCATTTTTAAAAGAAGGCTTTCGCGTATTTCCTCAGTGAATCAGTTTGAATCAGTTGTACAATTTATATGGCCGCCAATACCTATTCTCTTAAATTCTATTAAACCTATTTACCTGTTTCTATAAATGATTATCGTAACATCGATATTTAATTATACATTCAAATAGAACAGTGATTATCGTTGATAGTAAAATATGATGACAGTACAACAGGTTAATGAAGATCATTTATATTCATACTATAAACAAAGGACATTATTGAAAATAATCCATTGAATAAAGTGTAATTGTTGTTGGATTTCATGGGTTATCTATGTTTATCCTAAGAGATAGCGAGAAGATAAACTAGCCCCTTTTTGGGATTAACATTAAAATCAACCCACTAGCAAGAAGGCCACAATTTGTACTCAGTGAGTACTAGTATAACAGTTTAAAATCAACTCAGTATAGTTAAATCTGTCTATTGCAGGTCTTTCGTTAGGCCTGAAATGTTATCTAAATTATTAATCAGACATTAATTAACCTATCCAGACCATAATCAACTCTAGATGGCATCGCTAGCCTACGATCTTTAGTGGATTATGAGCCGATTTACTGCATAACTTTCCTTCACGATTTAACGATTAATTGGATAATCGAGACTATGCTGTTTATTGTACTGACTTTAGTAAAGATGATCGAGGCTATGCGGAAATTGCAATCACCTTAGTTCTCGGTTCATAGTGGATCAATTTGAATGACATTTTCAGCAAATCGCCTTTACATTATCTAGTTTTTAACTATTATAATTTATAGTGAGAACTGCCAACTCGTTATCTAATATCCCATAATGTATCTTTAATAGATCAATTTGTATTCAGTGAGTAGGTTTAACCTCGCTTTCCCCACATTTAAATGTTTTGATAAAGGATTAGGAGGTTAGTAGACCATGGGTGTAGGACTATAGTCGGTTTAAATTAATTAGTATGACTGGTGTAAACTTCTCACTCTAGTTATTGTTACTGGTGAACACTTCCCACTATCAGTAGATTGGGCAAATTAGTGAAATCAGTTTACTAATAAATTTACATTGTGAGCTGTTTTGATGTAATAATTAATTTGAAATAAAACCAATTCAACTACTGATATTTAATCACAGCTTATCAGTTGATATATATAGCTCATCTGAATCACAAATGGTTATTCCAAAATGGCGAACGCTCTGGTTAACTTTAAATACATTGCTAATACTAAAGGTGGTCAGATTTAGTGCTAGATGGTTTTAAATTCAGAGTTAAGTCTAGACGTAATACTATCATATACTGGGAATGTTGCAAAAAGTACTGTACAGCTAGGGCTACCATTCGCAATGGTATTCTAGCATCTCCTCTTCCTCAACATTATCACCCTTCAGAGGAGGACAAGATAGCAGTTCCTGGACTTAATTAAGACTGAACAAGACGATGTAGAACTAACCATCAGACAATTAGAATCTGGGGGCAGACTTGCTCCCAAAAGAAGAAAGTACCGCCGTCTTGATGAGAGAATCGCAGAAGGGAAGAATTTATTAATAACAGGTTCCAAGACCCCAATTGAATACCTCAATGCAGTTATGAATTTTGTTGGGCTGTGAATTGTCATGTTTATAAACTGTTAAAAATATATACACTATAAAAATGTATTTATTTATTTAGTTAATATATGTCTTTGGTTTATTTATTTATTTAGTTAATATATGTATTTGTTTATTATATATCTGTACTTATTATATATCAAACTTTAAAAATATTTATACTATAAAAAGGTATTTATTTACTATATTACAGACTATACTTTAAATCCCCTTAAACCCCATTTGTTGGTTAATCAGTCATGGCCTAGTGGACCTTGACTCTAAATAATACATGTGGGGAAAGTGAGATGTCCCCAGTGAGTAGTAGCATAACAGTTTAAAATCAATGAGTTCAATATAATTAAAGATACATTATGGGAGATAAGATAAAGAGATGACAGTTCTCGCTATAATAGTTAAACACTAGATAATGTAAAGGTAATTTGCTGAAAATTCCAGTCAAATTGATCCACTAAGAGCCGAGAAAGAAGCGGTTGAAATTTTTGCATAGTCTCGGTCATCATTCCTATAATCATTAATATAATGTATCTTAATATAGTCTCGATTATCCACTTTTATTGATTTAATTATCAATAGCCGTTAGCGGCATATAGGAATCTAATCCAGCCAACATCGAAGGCTAGTCTTGACATCGAGAGTTTATTATGGTCTGGATAAGTTAATTAATGTCTCGTTGATAATTTAGATAACATTTCAGGCCTAAAGAAAGACTTGTAATAAGCAGATTTTGCTCTTGCATAATGCATGTTTAATAGATTGGTCTGTACTAAGTAAGTACTGGTATAACAGTTAAAAATCAACTCACTAGTTAGTAGATCAATCTGTATTCAGTGAGTACTAGTATAACAGTTTAAAATCAACTCACTAGTTAGTAGATCAATCTGTATAAAGTGAGGACTGGTATAACAGTTAAAAATCAACTCACTAGTTAGTAGATCAATCTGTATTCAGTGAGTACTAGTAAAACAGTTAAAAATCAACTCACTAGTTAGTAGATCAATCTGTATTCAGTGAGTACTAGTATAACAGTTAAAAATCAACTCACTAGTTAGTAGATCAATCTGTATTCAGTGAGTACTAGTATAGCAGTTTAAAATCAACTCACTAGTTAATAGATTAATCTGTATTCAGTGGGGGGGGGGGTTGGATGGCTGAATGGTTAGCGTGCGCCCGCTGTATCATAAAGTCTGTCATTGAGTCGACTGGCGTGGTTTCGAATCCCCGGTTGTACGTGACAAGGAGTAGGGTCGCCTGTCCAACCTCGTGGGTTTTCTCCGGGTCCTCCGGTTTCCTCCCACTGCTAAAGACCCCTACGCGCAAGCGAATTATTGAAATAAAATTAAACCATATGTTAGTCCCGAAATGACCTAGTTTGTGTCGAGTGGACGTTAAACCCCATTTCTCTCTCTCTCTGTATACAGTGACTTGTAGCATAACAGTCGTCAACTCACTAGTTGATAGATTAATCTGTATTCAGTGACTGGTAGCATAACAATAATCAACTCACTAGTTTAAAAATTATAATACCCATGTGTACTTTGTAGGCACTAGTTTAATATATTCAAAACAAGCCGTCATATCACTGTATTTCGTGAATTAAATTGCTAAACAATGAAATTAACCAACCAAAAAAGCTCGTGTCGGTCTAATTACATCCCCTTTGTATAAGTTTAAAATTCATCCGCCATGATACGTCTGTAATTGTGACATTATTGTTTTAGCATAGGATAAATAATACAGACGATAAAAAAAGAACAGTTCATAAATTATGAAATTCATTTTACTAAGAGTTTTTGTTTTTGAGCAATCAATGCAGCAATTAGGCCTGTATGTTTAATAATTGAAACTTGAGATGCATTAAAGATATATTGTCCCGAAAGTATTTATCAGGTGGTTATTTCCAATAAAAGTATGGCAAATTACTGTGTTTTTTTCACTGCGACGTTTCAACAAGATTTCACAAGTCGTTATCAAGCATATAACACAAATAAAATTTTAACGTTTAGTTTTCGCTGTATGATTATATGCATTTAGTGGCTCGGGTGTGATCCTAGTGTTTGGTCGAGAAGGTTTCTAGTCAGTGGTACATGGCAGTGGGGATGGCAGTAGCCCTGGCAAGGAGTATGTGTCTAGTCGTTTGGATGGTACATAAGGGGTATGCGAAAACGGTGCTAAGCGTTTGGATGGGACGCAAAAATGAGATCCACTGGTTTACTAGACAAGGTCCCATATACACATAGGCGTGCACATAAAAGTCAAAAGATCATTGGTATTCGATATAAAGTAGACCATAGCTAAAAGTAGACCATAGCGCCGCTGTCCGGTCCACATTTCCCTCAGTCACAGCCCACTGTGGGGCGTATGCCCGTCTTCATTAGCCCAGTCGGCGTAGAGCCGTGGGACATTAAACCCCATTTCATTTCCTATTGCGCTAAAATCACGCCAGAGACATTAAATTCTAATTCTAAATGTCCTTCTACAAATATAATTATTCTAAAGAATTAATTAGAGTTTATTAATCAATTAAAGGTATAAAACACACACATATATATATATAATTACAATACAGATATTTCTAAATGACACAATTAAAGGTATAAAACACATATATATATAATTACAATACAGATATTTCTAAATGACACAATTAAAGGTATAAAACACATATATATATAATTACAATACAGATATTTCTAAATGGCACAATTAAAACATATCCAGGTCGAGAATTAAATAAATCTATCTAAATAAATTATAATTCCGAGGAAAATGATTCTATCTATCCAGGTCGAGAATTAACTAGATCTATCTAAATAAATTATAATTCCGAGGAAAATGATTCTATCTATCCAGGTCGAGAATTAACTAGATCTATCTAAATAAATTTTAATTCCGAGGAAAATGATTCATTGGCCAATCACGCTATTTTACCGAGATTTCGCCTAATAGTTTGGATGCAGCTATGGCGGGTGTGGCGCCAGGCAGGGTAAGCTTACTCTTCCGGACACCTGTTACCACTGTTTGTCGTGTATTTTGTACACGAGGAGCAGTCCATTTGCTGATTACACTATTTAGCTCGAATACACTATTTTGCCTATAACGTTTTTTAGGACTTCGAATTCTGTCTTATGGTTTGGATTGTTCGTACTTGGTTTTATTTTAATTCTATCTATCCAGGTCGAGAATTAACTAGATCTATCTAAATAAATTGTAATTCCGAGGAAAATGATTCTATCTATCCAGTGGTAGACAATTACGCCACAATATTTATATATATGCCAAGCCTCAAATCAGTTTCACACAATTATAGTCACTAAACAAACGATCATGTTGTACTTAATAAGCTATGACCATTAATCATGTATAAATAATAGACTGAAAACTGGTTCCAAGAGTCGTCCATAACATCCAAACACTTTTGAGTAAAAGATAGGTTACGTGCCCTTGTTTTGAAATTTTCTGAAACAGGCCCCAGATCTATATTTCGTTTCGTTTTTTTTTATACTTTCGATGGCCTACACTACATGAAGATCTGACCGGTTGTTGTGGAAGGTCGCGACAGAGGTGAGAGCGGCTTTTGGCCCTATGACGTCAGACATTGATTAACCAATCTGCGTTGACGTTTCTAGTGGTTTACCCACAGTACCGTGCATCGCACGCTAATAACTCGCCGTGACATACCGTTTCATTGGCTAATCGCTCACGCCATCCAGAACGCAGGTTACAAAACAAATCTTCCAGATCATAGTGTTGTGAAGACAAGTAAAACGAAATTTTGAACTATAAAAAACGAAACGAAATAGGAACTGTGTTTTAATCAGATTGTTAGTATGGATACTGATTTCGATCCATCTTAGCTATACATGCAAATAACCAGATCAAAATCTCTAACAGTAAGTACAGGATGACCACACCACACACAAAACAAACAAAAAATCTAAAAGACAAATCTCCGAACAAGACATAATATATAGACATTGCCAAATATAAACAAATATCAAATCAAGTGAATGGATCAGGGGCTAGCCGTGAGCGTCCACTGCGCTGTATAGTCATTGGCCCGTAATGGTTCAGGCTTTAATTAAAATGAAAAAAAAAAATAATGATGATTTACAAAAAAGACGTGACAGAAATAATGCGACCGATCTTGACAGTGGTCGTCTCTTCCATGGCGATAGTCTGCTAGTTGAGCCATGAGCTAGAAAGGCAAACAATATATAACCCCGAAACTTGGAACTTAGTCCCGAAACTACCTGTTTTGCGTCGTGTGGACGTTAAACCCCATTTTGCCCTTTCTAGAAACCTTAATACATATTACTACTTTCATTTTTTATTTTAACAAATCAATCGCTGAATCTACTAAACAATACTTTAGACAAAAGATACAAATATTTATTTTATATAGAACTTCAACGGGCTTTGTTAAATGTTAACAAAATATCTCGATGGTAAAATTATTTATAAAAAAATTAAAAAAAATTAAAAGATGAAGATAAACACAAAACACAATATAGTAAGAATTAAATTAAAAATTAATAGCACACCTGTAAAATTGAAACGGTTTTAAATTTTGTTTTCTTTTTAAAAATATACTCATTGACTATTTATTGCCTATTATAGATTTGGGGGGGGGGGGGCGAATGGATAGGACGTGCGCGCTGTATGATCAGGTCTGCCATTGAGTCAACTGGCATGGTTTCGATTCCCCGGTTGTTGGTGATAAGGTCATCATTACTAAACTCGTTAATATAAACAGCATAGTCTCGATTATCCACTTTTTTGATTTAAAATCAACGGTCGTTAGCGGCATATAGGAATCTAATCCAGCCAACATCGAGGGCTAGCCTTGACATCGAGAGTTTATTATGGTCTGGATAAGTTAATTAATGTCTAATTGATAATTTAGATAACATTTCAGGCCTAAAGAAAGACTTGTAATAAGCAGATTTTGCTCTTGCATAATGCATGTTTAAATGTTATTAAATCAGTGTTGAGATCAGCTGGTGTCGGCATACCTTTTATCTTTTCATCGTACCGTGCAACAAAGTAGTGCAGCTTAACGGTTGTGCTAATATTTTTGGATATATAATTATCTTTATATACAAAGTAATTATCAACAAATACAAAATAATTATACAAAGTAATTATCAACATATACAAAGTAATTTTCAACATATACAAAATTAATTATGAATGAGATGAAATTAGATGACGAACATGGAATGTTGAATACTTTAGCAAAATTATACACTTTCTTAGCAAGTGAAATTGGCGTCTGATTGCCAGATACTGAATATATTTTTTTTCAAATTTTGTGAACATCAAAGTCAATATGCATAAATGGCTTAAAGATGCATTATGTATGATTTAGATAAAGAGCTGGCTGTTCTTGCTGTAATAGTTCAAAAATAGGTAATGAAAAATGAATATATTAAAATTTCAGTTAAATTACTTTATTCTGAGCAAAGTTATAAATGTTTGAGGTTTTGAAAGTCTCCATTGTCATTGCTAATAGTGCATGTGACCTAATCCAATTAATATCCAACAATCCGATTGCTTTGAGAGTTGATTAAGGGCTTGTTATGTAAATAAATAACTTATAGAAAATTTGAAGCAAGAAAAATACCTACACTAGGCAGATTTAGCTCTAACATAATGCATATTTTAAGTCAAACGGTCAATACAACTGAGCATAATTCCCAATCACTTTTTTACAGCCATTAATTGAAATAAATTTTGAAATGTAGACTGTCTGCCACTTCCTCGACATTTTATGTACAAAGCAAATATTCATTTGCAGCAGCTAGCCTATCAAATTTACCGAATTTAGATTCATTTTCCATCAATCTTAATCCAAGAAGCTTCTGTTTGGGGATACAATTTACAATAATTTTGTTAGCTCTGTAAATGGCAATGGATCATTACTGAAGATTAATATTTTAACAAGTTTTAAATTCAAGGATTATATTAATATATGGATTTATTATTAGATGGATTAATCATCCAGTCCCCCTGTGGTACTAAGGCACAAAGTCCATGCAATAAAATCTCTCCGTTCCTGCTGTACAAAATCCATGTGATAAAATCCCATATGGTTCCAGTCCACAAAGTCCACATGATAAAAACCCTGCTTTCCCAACAAAAGTCCCTGTGGTTCCTGATGCAAAACCTTCAACTAAAGCTCAGGTTAATAAAACCTTGTGGTTCCGATGCATAAAAAGGATGTTAAAAACGCCAAAGTGGTTCATAAAGTTCATGTTAATAAAAGCCCTAATGGTTCTGGTTTATATAGCTCATGTCAAAAAGACCTTGTGGTTCTGGTTCATAAAGCTCATGTTAAATAATAGCCCCATGTGGTTCCGGGTCATAAAGCTCATGTCAAAAAGCCCTTGTGGTTCCGGTTCATAAAGCTTGTGTCAATAAAACCCCTGAGATCCAAAGCTCACAGACTTTTGATTATACAGCTCCAATGAACTCAACCAGTAACTTCATCTGCTTTGTACAGCTTGGTCCTGGACAGTTTCCTAATTGCATGGTAATCATTTTAAACTATAGAATATAAAAAGGCAAATAACTACATTTAAGTTTTATCGTCTCATAAACTCTACTCCACTTTCAAGGTTCCCTGAATCTGAATCCTCCTTAAGAAGTCTTTTTCCTGAATTGTGGCTAGCAGCAGAAGACATACTAGCCGGGGAATGACGCCCATCTAAGGGTGTGTACCCTCGCTGTACAAGATAGGAATAGATTGGTGGATCAGTTGGTTTAACAGATGGAACATGAACAGGTTCGGGTTGATGTTGACCGGGTATGTGACCTTGTCCTGGATAATGTGGCGGAGGATAGCCCGGTGGAACCTGATAGGGAACACCTTGGACGGGCATGAACTGTTGCTGGGGGTGGTAAGGTTGATACTGCTGGGGCATCATTCGTGGATCTTGCATCATCTGAGGATAAAGTCGTGGATCAATGGGTGTCATGTGAGGAGGAAGGGTCTGGATGTGACCTGAATCTGGTAGTGGTACTGATTGAGAACCATGACCTCTAGGTGCTGGTTGAGGGTGAGCAGATTGTTGTGCATGATTACTTTCCACATTATCTGCTTCTGGTTCTTCTTCTTCTGCTGCTTCTTCTTCTTCTTCTTCTTCAACCTCCTCTTGGACCTCATCTTCCACTTCTGATTCATCTATTTCTTCACCATCTTCGACTTCCAAATCAACAGGATCCAGACCTACTGACGATGTTTTAACCGGGACCTTTTTTGGACGATGGTGACTCCTCACGGGTACTTCCCTCTCTACATAAGTATCTTGTGGATGGTCATCATCAGCACCAACATATGAATTTCTGGTGGCTGTATAATAACCTGGTGGTTGCGTTTCACGACTACGATCAGTTCGTCCAGATCTACTGGACAATGCTTTGGAATGAGATCTTTTTGGTGGAAGGCTGTGCTCTGAAAGAATAAATAAAAAAAAAATTTGGTCAATAATTCTATGACAATTTAAACAAATGAAATAAAATGGGGTTTAAGTCCTACAATACTGAGTTACTTCAAAAGCAAAGTATTGCACTTTGGTCAATTCTGGTGCAGAGAAAATAGTCTCCAGAGAGAGAGAGAGAGAGAGAGAGAGAGAGAGAGGGAGGATACAAACTAGGTAATTTCGGGACTAACATATGGTTCAATTTTATTTCAATTATTCGCTTGCGCGTAGGTGTCTTTTGCAGTGGGAGAGAGAGAGAGAAATGAGGTTTAACGTCCACTCGACACAAACTAGGTCATTTTGGGACTAACATATGGTTTAATTTTATTTCAATAATTCGCTTGCGTGTAGGGGTCTTTAGCAGTGGAAGGAAACCGGAGGACCCAGAGAAAATCTACGAGGCTGGACAGGCGATCCTACTCCTTGTCACGTACAACCGGCGATTCGAAATCATGCCAGTCGACTCAATGACAGTCTTTATGATACAGCGCGCGCACGCTAACCATTCAGCCATCCAACCCCCCAGAATTTTCAAGGTTTGATCCAGGCTAAAATATAGTGAGATTGGTCATCATTTAACAGGTATTTAAAAATACATTATGTAAGATTTAGATAAAGAAATGAAATGAAATGAAATGAAATGAAATGAAATGAAATGAAATGAAATGAAATGGAGTTTAACGTCCTACTGTTCTGCTCCTAACCTGGGCTAATGAAGACGGGCATACGCCATACAGTGTGCTATGAGGGAAATTTTGTCTGGACAGCGGCACTACGGCCTACTCTTATATCGAATTCCAACTGCCAAGGGATCTTTTACGTGCACGCCAATGTGTACACGGGACCTCGGTTTTTCGTCCCATCCGAACGACTAGACAGCTTTCCTTGTCAGCCCCTCCGTCCTGCATCACTGACAAGGGAGAACCACGCCGGAAAATCTGGGTGAACTTTCTCGGCCAATGCAGGGATCGAACACCCGACCTCCAGGCTAGAGAGCTAGCGTCTTACCCACTTAGCCATGTGATCCCCCTTTAGATAAAGAGCAGACCATTCTAGTTATAATAGCTCAAAAATAGATAATGTAAATATTGAAAATTTCATTCAAATTACTTCAATCTGAACCAAGTTATCACTGTTTTGACAAGATGTGAGCATTGTGGTAACCAGGGCACTGGTATATTCGAGACTTAGCCTCGCTTTCACATTTTTAAATTAAATTTTTAAATGGTGAACCGTTCTAATCTAATTAAAATCTCGAGTATCCGATGCCATCAAGCGTGATTATGGTCTTGTTTTGTTAATAAATGTCTAATTAATAGTTTATATAACATTTCAGGCCTAAAGAAAGACCTAGCTGTAATATGCAGATTTAGCTCTTGTATAATGTATGTTTAAGAACAAAAAAATATTGTTAGATAATCTCTGAGCTTGGTTTAATTTGTATAGATGGAACTGTCTAAAATGACAATCAGAGATTTGAAAACATCATATCTTACCATCATCACTGTATTCACTGTTGGCACGGTAACGAGATCTAGAGGGATACCGATAACCAGGATTCTTGGAGACTTCCGACGCCCAAACACTACTGGTGTCTGACAAGTCGCTCTTAGACATTCTGGTAGAAGGTTCGTAGGCAGAGTTGGTCTTAAGATGAGAAAGAGGTTGTTGTTCCCACCGTCTGCTCAGCCCCTTCTGCTTACGGTAACAAAAGATGCTGATGATAATGATGGCGATTGCAATGATGAGGAACAAACCACCAACTATACCAACGATAGCTTCTGTTGGGAATTTTCTATGATAGTTGTAACCAAAATCAGCGCCATTATTATTTTCATACCCAGGATCTTGTCCAGCTGAAATGAAATGAAATGTGGTTTAGTATCACTGCTTTTCTGCATCAACCTTGCTAATGAGAGAGAGAAATGGGGTTTAACATCCACTGTGCTGAAATATTAAAATGGCCAACTGATTTACGTGTGACCCGGATAAAACCTATGAGATTGGACAGGCGACCCTTGCTAATGACAACAGACATACACAAAGCAGTGTGCTAACTGGGAAATTTAGCTTCCACACTGTCTTTTCCCGTCTGCTTTTCTTCTGAATTATCACAGAATCCTTGATTAACTCTTAAGTGACCCAGAGGTTTGACGTCATAAAAACCATGTCATAACAGTAACCCATGATTAGGAGAACATTTCTGTTTTTAACGTGTCAAAATGTCAAATCTGAAGTAAACAAAGGAGTGAAAGTCGTCTATTTATAAGGGAAGTAACTCTCATTATGCTAGGAACATTGCATTCAACTAACAGATTATGTCAATAAAAGTCCCTGTGGGTACTTATGGTAACATTATAGGTGTCCACAAAACGACTTGGGTCAGCTATGAGTTAATATACTTTCATTGTCAGCTTACCTTATGGAAAAAGAGAGGGAGAGAGAGAGAGAAATGGGTTTTAACTATCACTCAACACAAACTACGTCATTTCGGGACTAACATATGGTTCAATTTTTATTTCAATAATTCGCTTGCACGTAGGGGTCTTTAGCAGTGGGAGGAAACTGGAGGACCCGGAGAAAACCCAAGAGGTTGGACAGCCGACCCTACTCCTTGTCACATACAACCGGGGAATCTAAACCATGCCACTTGCCTCAATGACAGACTTTATACAGCACGCACGTGCTAACCATTCAGCCATCCACCCCCCCCCCCCATACCTTATTTTACAATTTATAATCTCTTGTAAGAGTGCGCTTGGTATTTGATTTTAGTTACTCATGTCAAATACCGCGACATTATTTAAAAATTGCCGCGATTGAAGAATCATTATACATTATTGTATTCAAAATGTCTGAACGGCCTGCAAAGCGTCCCCGAACAGATTTGACATTAGATGTAAAGCGGCAACTTATAGCAGATTTCGAGAAAGTTCCACGACCTGCGCAGAAGGAATTAGCCGTTAAGTATTCATTTTTAAAGGGAATAGCATTCTGATGATTCGAAGCTACAATATAAAAATACTTCCGGTTTTCGAAGTTACAGTATTTCCGGTTTTGGAGAAAGCTCGGTATTCCGACACGCTGTGTGATCTGAAATATTGTAACCATCCCATACGATGTTGGATGTGACAGAGTCCACTGTACTTGTAAAAGGTGTAATATAAAATTAATACTATTTACCTGTCACAAATGTAGTATAAATACTATATAGATGTCAAAGGTGTAACTACTATATCAATATAAATACTATCTACCAGTTCGTTCGTTCGTTTCTAGAGTTTTACGTCCACTTCCACCTAAGGTGATATCGTAGACAAAATGTTTCCTAAGAAACTTACTGGAGGAAGCCATAGGGATTAGGCTTGGTCCAGTTTAATTTGAGACATAGTGTCTTTGCAGGGAATGTCCAAGGTAAAAATCTCATCCAAAGGAGAAAGTTTGGGGGGATATTTACCTGTCATAGATGTAGTATAAATACTATATAGGTGTCATAGGTGTAACTACTCAATATAAATATTATTTACCTGTTATTGGAGTTACTACTATGTCAATGTCATAAGCCGTATTACGTATATCTTGGCGTTGTAACAGAAATGTAACTTTATCCCCGGTCGTCACTAGATAGTTCATACTAAGTTCAGCTCCTTTGTTACAATCAAATGAATCCTGGTAAAAGAGACGGAGTGAAATTAGGTTTAAAGTCCAATCGAGTAACATATTGTAAATTTTATTTCAATAACTCACTTGCGCGTAGAAGTCTTTAGCAGTGGGACCAGAGAAAGCCACGAGTTTGGACCATTCAGCCTCCCAACAGCCGAAATCCTAATTATAATATTTCAATAATTCCCTTGTGTGAAGGTGATTTACTCGTAGCATCGGGCAGAAAGAAGAGGACCCGGAGAAATCCCACTAGGTTGGGAGGGTGATAGACTAAATGCCTCTCCACCCTGGCAGCGGTCTGAGGAGTACTGAATTTAGTGACATGTGGTTTCTTGGGGGCTTTTAATGTGTTAAAAGTATTCATATAAATTCCCTCCAAAAAATTAAAGATACATTATAGGAGATTAGATAAAGAACTGGCAGTTCTCACTATAATAGTTTAAAAATTAGATAATGTAAAGAGGATTTGATGAAAATTTCAGTCAAATTGATCCACTCTGGACCGAGAATTTAGCGATTGAATTTTTGGTCTAACCTTGATCATCATTACTAAAGTCAGTACGATAAAAACATAATCTTGATTATCCAGTTCATGATTTAATCATGAATGAAAGCAGCAAATCGGATCCTAATCCAGTAAATATCGCAGGCTAGTGATGACATCGAGAGTTGATTATGATCTGGATATGTTAATTAATGTCTAATTAATAATTTAGATAACATTTCAGGCCTAAAAAAAGACCTGCAATAGGCAGATTTAGCTCTTGCATAATGTATGTTTAATGTTCGAAATGATGTATAACTGGAGCGAACTTCCAACTTACCAGTGTACTTTGTGTCTTCTCTCCATCATATATAGAGAAATATACACCACAGTCTTGTATCTTAAGAGCGCCTATCTCGATTTTAAACCTAGACACTTCATAAGGTCTTTCTGTTTGTAACGCTATAGTGCACGTCGTTGGTCCCGGTCCGCTCTGTGTTGATCCTTGACCTTTGATGGTCGTCCGTGAACTATAAACGTTCCTGATTGGTCCATTACAATCGGCAGAACTATCTAAATAGACTGAAAAATAGAATAAAGCAGAATTGTTATTACTTTATTTCACTAAAGCAAACAAGCTGTCAAGGTTTTTTTTTTTAACATGCATACCAACATGTACACTGAGGACCTTGTCTTTTTGTCCCATTCTACCGTGCACACTGAGGACCTTGTCTTTTTGTCCCATTCTACCGTGCACACTGAGGACCTTGTCTTTTTGTCCCATTCTACCGTGCACACTGAGGACCTTGTCTTTTTGTCCCATTCTACCGTGCACACTGAGGACCTTGTCTTTTTGTCCCATTCTACCGTGCACACTGAGGACCTTGTCTTTTTGTCCCATTCTACCATGCATACTGAGGACCTTGTCTTTTTGTCCCATTCTACCATACACACTGAGGACCTTGGCTATTTGTCCCATTCTACCCAGGCACCATGTCCATGCTGAAATTTCCTACAGAGCTTTCTCCGCTAACATCGATATCACACCCACGACGTCCTGGTTAGTGAGCCAGCGACTTACTCACTAATACACTGTTGGTCCCATAGGGGCTTCAGAGAGAGAGAGAGAGAGAAAGAGAGAGAGAGAGAGAGAGAGGGGGAGATTTAACGTCAACTCGACACAAACTAGGTCCTTTTAGGACTAACATATGGTCCAATTTTTTTCAATAATTTGCTTGCGCGTAGGGGTCTTTAGCAGGGGGAGCAAACCGGCAGACCCGGAGAAAACCCACGAGGTTGGACGGGCAACGCTACTCCTCGTCACATATAACCTGGGAATCGAAACCACTCCAGTTGACTCAATGACAGACCTTATGATACAACGCACACACACTAACCATTCGGCCATCACCCCCCCACCCCCCCGCCGAGTATAAGATCAAGTTATTTCATCCCTTAATCGACGTTCAAGATCAATAAAACATATATATATCTTACATTGTAAATTATTAACATTTTGTTCTAATGGTGAGCTGTATAATGGTAACCATAACAACAGGAGCAAAACCTGTTTCCTTGACGCCATTCTGTAAAAATGTCTTCCAGATTTCACATTCTGAAATTAAATCAATAGTTATTAAAGATACATTATGGAAGATTAGATAAAGAGCTGACAGTTCCCACTATAGTAGCTAAAAACTAGATAATATAAAGGGAATATGGTGAAAATTTCAGTCGAATTACATGTACTACGCTCTGGGTCGAGAAAACCTCCTTTTAAAAACACTGTAGCCTCAATTGTCATTGTTACTGCTGATACGATAATCAACAAAGTCTCAATTATCCATTTTTGTGGTTAATAATCAACAGCAGATCGGATTCAAAACCAATGAGAGAGTTTAACATCCACTCGATACAAACTAGGTTATTTCGGGCTAACACATGTTTAAGTTTTATTTCAATAATCTGCTTGCATTTAGCAGTGGAAGAAAACTAAAGGACCCGGAGAAAACCCATGAGGTTGGACAGGACCCCACTCCTTGTCACGTTCAAGCGGCAAATCGAAACCATGCCACTTGACTCAATGCAGACCTTGTGATTTCACGTGCATGTTTTAAACCACTAGGCCCCCTCCCCCTGACCAATATAGACCTAACAATGATTACAATAAGCCTCCAAAATAGATACGATACAGGCCTTTCCATTCAGTTATCAATATTTTACAAAAAAATACATTGTTACATATGCTTCAATTTTTTTATAAATACAGGTAATCGACAGGTAACCATCTATTGCATTAAAGATTGACAGGTAACAATCAATAACACTATAAATATTTAAGACATATATGACATACATGACTGTGCATTATAAATAGAAAATAACTGACAACAATGGGGATATAAATTTGAAATTTTCTTTTTCATTAGGAATCTACGTATAATTTGACTTATAAACAGTTCATAAACCACGAATAGCATTTCAGAAGAACTCAACTTCGTTTCGGTAGAGTTGACTGCACAGCGCAATTCAGGAGTGAGTCATGCTTAAAAAATGGATTGGGGGATACAAAATTAAATTATTTGATAATTTGGCAGTGACGGCCTTTAGTCTATAATTTGTTTTGTCAACACAAAACAAGGTGTGTTATTTGGAGACACGTGGCTAAACGAAAGCTACGTCTAAAAAGTAAAAGTTTTATAACGGCGTCTTAAAAACGTTTGAAATACAAATATTTACAGTTCTCGCTCACCTTAAATCATTATTTCAAAAAATGTTGTTGTCTTTAATCCGCCATCTTGTATCTATTTATAGATGATAGCCGTGGGACAATTTTACCTGTACAGTCAAAACCAGTCGATAAATTGTCACCTGGCCGTTGTACCTGTTAAATAGATTTATCTCCCTTTAACAGTCATTACCTCTGTTCCCCGATGACACGAAACACGTCAAGCAAGATGTTTTAAGGGGACAGGGGATTATAATTAGGCACACCCGCATATTGTTTTCAGAGTCGCATTAACAATGATACAAATGGTGGCAACTTAACAAAAACTATTGCAATAAATAATGGCCCATAGACAGGGGCGGATCCTTGAATCATCGAAGGAGAGACACAGAGAGAAATAGGCTTTGACGTCCACTCTACACGTACTAGGTCATTTTGGGACTAACACTTGGGTCAATTTTAATACAATCATTCGCTTGCTTGTAGGGGGTCTTTTAACAGTGGGAGGAAACCGGTGGACTGGGAGAAAACCCACGAGGTTGGACAGGCAACCCTACTTCTTGTGATCTTGTGATCCAACACGCATTCGCCCCCCACCCCCTCCAATTCATCAAAGGCGTTTGAAATGAAATGAAATGGGGTTTAACGTCCTACTCTTCTGCACCTAACCTGGGCTAATTGAACACGGGCATACGCCATACAGTGTGCTATGAGGGAAATTTTGCCCGGGCAGCGGCGCTACGGCCTACTCTTATATCGAATTCCAACTGCCAAGGGATCTTTTACGTGCACGCCAATGTGTACACGGGACCTCGGTTTTTCGTCCCATCCGAACGACTAGGCAGCTGTCCTTGTCAGGCCCTCCGTCCTGCATCACTGACAAGGGGGAACCACGCCGGAAAATCTGGATGAACTTTCTCGGCCAATGCAGGGATCGAACACCTGACCTCCAAGCTAGCAAGCCAGCGCCTTACCCACTTAGCCACGTGATCAACAAATGCTCACGTAAGATAACTTGATTCCCCTCAGCTCTACTCACAATGAAAATAACAAATACGTGTATATATGGATTTATTTACACTTAGCACTAAATATATATACAATATATTACATAAAATATATTACATGCAAGATACACCCACATTTTACAAGAGGTGGACAGAGAGGGGTGCGCGATTGTCAGTACGCAACGTCCCGAATTGCAATCAAGTAATACGGAATTCAGCCATGTCACAGTTCTGCCAGTAGCCAGAGCTGAGGTGGTGTGAGTAGAATGTGACGTATTTTAAGTAACAAATACGTTTCAGCAGTCAATTCAGCCATGTCACAGTTCTGCCAGCAGCCAGAGCTGAGGTGGTGTGAGTAGAATGTGACGTATTTTAAGTAACAAATACGTTTCAGCAGTCAATTCAGCCCTGTCACAGTTCTGCTAGTCCTGACAGCTGAGGTGGTGTGAGTAGAATGTGACGTATTTTAAGTAACAAATACGTTTCAGCAGTCAATTCAGCCATGTCACAGTTCTGCCAGCAGCCAGAGCTGAGGTGGTGTGAGTAGAATGTGACGTATTTTAAGTAACAAATACGTTTCAGCAGTCAATTCAGCCATGTCACAGTTCTGCCAGCAGCCAGAGCTGAGGTGGTGTGAGTAGAATCGTGACGTATTTTAAGTAACAAATACGTTTCAGCAGTCATGACTGGTTGAGATATTTTTTATGCAGTCGGCACATGCGTTGTACTCCAAAATTCTCATTTTTACTCGACTGAAACTATTTTGGGAATTGAGAGAGTTTAATTCCGGAAGGTCAATTGAGTATCCCCAGAACAAGCATACAATCAGGGGCCATAATCCAGGTTGTTTCAATCCGCCATTCATCAATATGGAAAGGAACCAAGATCTTTGAGATATAAACATATATTTTAAGTTTCATTAAAATCAGATAAAAATTGTGATCTCTAGAGGGTCCACAACCTTGGTTTTACATACTTTTACACTATTTGTGTACTGGGAGCAAAATTCTAACTCAACTGTCATTACAGTATAACGGAAATATATTTGAACAGTTTTTAAAATCAAATAAAAATTGTAACCTCTAGATTGTCCACAAGATAAAAACATGATATTTCGTACAATAATGGGTCTTAATCCAGAAAGTTACTGTCCAATATGCACAAGGAACCAAGATCTTTCGGAGATAAACCTTTATTTCAAGTTTCGTTGAATTCCGATAAGAATTGTTACCTGTAGAGTTTCCACAAACAAAATGTGAACGAACGAAAAGGGTCGACGACAATATACATCCACATGAAAATGTGGGCGTATAAAAATATTTGTAGTAGTTGGTCTTTAAAACAATAAATGCAATATTTCAAAAAATATAAACACAAACGATATTTCTAGTTGTCACAAAATTGTGATGAAAATGTCAATAAATACAATCAAATTCTGCGTGTAAAATGATTAGACACAAACACTATAATAAAAAGAATATTTTTTTCTCCTGTCTATGAGTCTGCTGATTTTTTATTTCCACCACTAAGACTTTGTATTAAAGCTGCTATTTGTGAATGTTTAGATATTTGTTCCTCTTGTTCAGATATAAGTTCATCTTTTTTAGCGATGGCTGCTTCATGTTCCTGACATACACGTTCTAATGATGAGACCTGTACGTAAATAAGACATGGGGGAATGGTTATATTTATAATATTTTGGTTACAATCTTTGGGAAAGAATGTTTTCTGGACATTTAAAATTTTTCTCCTACTCCTTCACGGTTCTTACACAGACAAGCAATGAAATGAGGTTTAACGTCCTACTGTTCTGCTCCGACTAGGCTAATGAAGACGGGCATACGCCATACAGTGTGCTATGAGGGAAATTTTGCCTAGACAATAGTGCTACAGCCTACTTTTATATCGAATTCCAACTGCCAAGGGCTCTTTTACGTGGACACCAATGTGTACACGGGACCTCAGATTTTTGTCCCATCTGAACGACTATACATTCTCCCTTGCCAGGTCCTCTGTCATGCACTACTGACGAGGAGGAACCACGCCGGAAAATCATGAACTTTCAGGGTCAACACAGGTATCGAACACAGAACCTTCGGGTTAGCGAGCCAACATCTTACTCACTGAGCAACCATGGCTTCTGGCAAGCAAATTTGTATATGGTCAGACCTTTCCAACCTTCCAGGGAATCGGACTTCCAAAATCGTCATATAGTTCTTCTTGGCACATACCAAGATTCAAAGTCGAAAGACAAGTGCGAAATGCACGACCACTGCGCCCCCCCCCACCTCATTTTCCAGCAAATATTTACATGTTATTTACCATTTTTCGAGTTATATTTTCACTTGATGCCATCAATATCTAATATTCAACAAGACATTTTGCTCACTGACATAAGCATTTTTTCAGACATCTTCATTTCCTGCTTACTAACATATACTAAAAGATATTGAACCCCAAAATAGGGTTTTCTTTTCACCTTCATTTGTAAGTTTTTCTTCACGTCTGCTAACTTGCTAACTTCACTTCGTAAACCTTCCGTAGCTTTCTCTAATTCTTCACGGTCTTTTTCTAAATCTTCCTTTTCTTTCTGTAGTGAGGAATATTTCTTTTCTAATTTACTTAATGATTTTGTAGTTTCTGAAATATATAACACCATTTAACAGATACATGATACAAAGTAGAGACAGTCAAGAGGAGAACATTCTAACTGATAGTTAATTTAAAGAATATATAATTTATAGTTAAAGATACATTATGGGAGATTAGATAAAGAACTGATAGTTCTCACTATAATAGTTAAAAACTAGATCATGGAAAGGCAATTTGCTGAAAATTTCAGTCAAATTGATCCACTATGAACCAAGATTTCAGCGATTGAATATTGGGGCTAGCCTCGTTCATCATTACTAAAGTCGGTAGGATAAAAAACATAATCTCAATTATCCATTTTTTGATTTAATTATGAATGGAAATCGAACAACAAATCGAATCCTAATCCAGTAAACATCGCAGGCTAGCAATGCCATCGAGAGTTGATTATGGTTTGGATAAGTTAATTAATAGTTTATATAACATTTCAGTCCTAAAGAAAGACCTACAATAGACAGATTTAGCTCTTGCATAATGTATGTTTAAGGGTACTTGTAAACTGTATTTTTACTGTGTCCTTACCTGTAAGATTTGTATCTTTTTCTTTAATTAATTTTTGTTGTTGTTTACATTCTTTCTCTAATGTAAATAATTGATCTGAGGCACTGTAAAAACATTATTAAAAGTTTATATAAGTTCAACACTGACCCAGGGTAATTGTAATTGGTAATAAAATGTAATCATTACATTTTTTAAGTAATGGTCATGTAATGAGAGAGAGAGAGAGAGAGAGAGAGAGAGAGAGAGAGAGGTCATTTCGGGACTAACACATGGTTCAATTTTTATTTCAATAATTGGCTTGCGCGTAGGGGTCTTTAGCAGTAGGAGGAAATCAGGCGACCCAGAGAAAACCCACGAGGTTAGACAGGTGACCCAACTCCTTGTCACGTACAACCGGGGAATCAAAGCCACGCAAGTTGACTCAATGACAGACCTTATGTTACAGCATGCACGTGCTAACCATTCGGCCATCCCCCCCCCCTCCCCTCACCAGAATTACGATAACCAAAGTCACTGTTATTTTACATGAGTTTATATACCATATATATTTAATTTTTCCCATGTGGTTCCACCTTGTCAGTTGTGGAGGACAGAGGACCTGGCAAGGAACAATGCATAGTTGTTCAGATTGTACAAAAATCAAGGTCACATGTACACATAGGCGTGCATGTAAAAGATCCCTTCACAGATGGCATTCCATGTAAGAGTAGGCCATAGAGCCGCTGCCCAGGCAAAATTTCCCTCATAGCACACTGTATGGCGTATGCTCTTCATTAGCCCACTCGAAGCAGAACAGTAGGACGTTAAACCACATTTCTTTCATTTCATTTATTTTACATGGGTATATGAAATGAAATGTGGTTTAACGTCTTACTGTTTTGCTCCAAACTGGGCTAATGAAGACGGACATACACCATACAGTGTGCTATGAGGGAAATTTTGCTCGGACAACGGCACTATCGCCCACTCTTATATCGAATTCCAACTGTCAAGGGATCTTTTACGTGCACGCCAATGTGTACACGGGACCTCGGTTTTTCATATCATCCGAATGACTAGACAGCTGTCCTTGTCATGTCCTCCGTCCTGCATCACTGACAAGGGGGGGACCAACATGAGTATATACTTACACATCATTCTGTTTTTTAAGTGTAGTATGATGTTTCTGTAACATATCGTGTAATTCTGTTTGAGCTTTCAATTCCTGTTGGGCTACAGTTAAAGATCGACTCAATCTTTCTTCTCTGAAATTAGACATTATAGGTTAGCCCTGAAAATCTCAGTACAGAAATCTGTGGTAAAGCATAACGTTTCGGAAATTAGTTCTATATTGGTCAATGAAAATATACTACTCATGAATGCTCAAAGTATTGATATGTCGTCAGTTGTCTGTGTTCGCTACTCAACCATTGATCTACAATATAAACACTTAGTCTCTCTCAACCAGTCTCAATTATCACTATAAGCCGTGGGTTTGGTTATAAACAAACGGCATGTTCTTGTTCCATATGGTAGATTTTTATTATTAGAAACAGATTTTGATTTTTCATCAATCTCCAGCAGTTTAATGGTCACTTATATCTCAGTTTTCTACTACATGTTCACAGCACATGCAGATGACCTACATAAGTCTAGTGACATATATTTTAATAACAATCACTAACAAACACACCATGGGGATCCTCAATTCAACATTCCAGAATTGAATCCCAAACATAGTGACAATCTACAAAGCATGTGCCGATTGCATAAAAAAAAATATCTCAACTCAACCAAATAAGATAGCTGAAACATATTGATTTTGTTAATTATGTCACGATTCTACTCATAAATTAATTCTGTGTCACTCAATTGCATTTCTATCAATTTGACAATCAAGCACCCCCCCCCCACCCAAGTCTGTTGTCTAAGGGGAGATAATATGGTCAAACTACAGAGTTACATCCCTTTCATTCAAACAGGTGAATTAATGTGAGCAAAAATTTAATTTAATTTTACACTAATTAAAGAAACTATAAATTACCTGTCAGCAATCTCACTATGAACAGCTTTCAGTTCCTCGTATTCCTCTGCTCTTATAGTTAATCTAATTAATTTAAAATATATGTAAACACCAAAAATTGTATCAATAGTGAGTTATTAAACAGGTTTGTAATAAAAAAATGAGACATTAGATTTTAGTTAAATTATAGAATTGGGATCAATATCCTTAGGTTATTTTATTGTAAGTGAATAACACATGGCTTTATCTTAATTATTTTTATTTTCAGCGAACAATATATGGTTACATTTTATCATTTTTATTTTATTACTCTCTGGCGGACTAAAAAGTAAACATTTGATAAGAGAGACAGAGAAATGAAGTTTAATGTCCACTTGACACGAACTAGGTCATTTTGGAACTAACACATGGTTCTATTTTGTTTTATTAATTTGATTGGACATAGGGGTCGTTAGCTGTGGGAGAAAACTAGAGGACTGGGGTTAAAACCCACGAGGTTGGACCGGCGATCCTACTCTTTGTCCTGTACAACCGGGGAATCGAAACCACGCCAGTTGACAGACCTTGTGATCTAGAGAGAGAGAGAGAGAGAGAGAGGGTTTAACGTCCACTTGACACAAACTAGGTCTTTTCGGGACTAACATATCATTCAATTTTATTACAATAATTCGCTTTAGCAGTGGGAGGAAACCGGAGGACCCGGAGAAAACCCATGAGGTTGGACAGGCCACCATACTCCTTGTCACATACAAGCGGAGAATCGAAACCACGCCAACTCTTATGATACAATGAGTGGACGTTAACCATTTCTCTTATGCTGGGTTTCACAATATGGCACTTTATCCAAGAGATTTATTTATTTATTACAGTTTCACAGCTAATTTAACAACTTCATAATCTGACAATTTACTGACAATCTACCATCAATCTGATTAAAATACACATCTATATTTCATTTCGTTTTTTTATACTTTCGATGGTCTCTACTACATGAAGATCTGACCAGTTGTACTGGAAGGTCCCTTCAGGGATTGTACGAGCGGCTTTTGACCCTATGACGTCAGACATTGATTAATCAAACGCCAAGAAGTAGCCGTAACAGACCGTTTCATTGGCTAATCCCTTGCGCCATATAGAACGCAGCTTATATAACAACTCTTCCAGATCCTAGTGTAGTAAAACAAAATTTTGAACTATAAAAAAAGAAACGAAAAAGGATCTGTGTTTAATCAGATTGACTAACCGGTTTTCTCAATAAAAGTCCCTAATTTACCTTTCGTTTTCCTGGTCTAACTGATCAACAGTAGTTTCTAAATTATTTAACTTTAATCTCATATCATTCATCTGTTCTAAATATTCTTCACTCTTTCTCTCCGATTCTTGTAACATTTTTCGTAAATTATGTGACTGATAAAATAGAAAAAAATAACAGCTTATTACAGAGAGAAATTATTTTTAAAGCATCACAAATGACAAAATGTGAAAATTTACTGACATCAAAATAAATGGAACAATAACCGCGTAAAATTGCCCAGGTTCTTTCTCATGCAACCAGGAAACATGCACATTCAGCTTCCAAAAATCCTTCCAAGAAAAATACCAACAAGTCTGAGAGAGTGAGAGAGAGAGAGAGAGAGAGAGAAGAGAGAGAGAGAGAGGGAGAGAGAGAGAGAGGTTTAAGATCCACTCGACTTCGGAACTAACATATGGTTCAATTTATTTCAATAAATTGCTTGCACGTAGGGGTCTTTAGCAGTGAGAGGAAACCGGATGACTTGGAGAAAACCCACGAGGCTTGACAGGCGACAGTACACCATGTCACCTTCAAGCGGGGAATCAAAACCACACCTCTCGACTCAATGACAGACCATGTGATCTAGCTTGCACTCGTTAAACCTCTAGACCATCCTATCCCCCCACTCAAGTGTAAGAAAATGAATTGATCAAATAAATAAGATACTATAATATAGAACGTACCTCTGATTCTACCCGTGCCCCATTTAATCTATATTGTGATATAAGACGGTCAGATTGAACTAATTCTAGGGTTTTTGTCTTCAATAAATTCTCCAGGTGTTCTTCATTTGTCTAAAAAAATAAAATCATAATCAAAGTAAATAAAATCATAATATCAAAGTAAATAAAATAATATCAAATTAAATAAAATAACATCAAAGTAAATAAAATAACATCAAAGTAAATAAAATAACATCAAAGTAAATAAAATAATATCAAATTAAATAAAATCATAATATCAAAGTAAATTAAATCATAATAACAAATAACTAAAAACCTGCTCAGATTAGTAAATTTTTAAAAAATGCAATAAATTAACATTCATTTACCTCAAATTAATCATTATACATCAATAATCAATTTGGTTTTTTATTTTTACTTTTAAACTAGTGACAATTACAAATTAGATGATTTTAGGTGATCTTTGATAATGTTTAAGAATTTTCAAACAAAGATTTGATATTGAATGAATGTTAAAGAAATTAGGACTGAATACGCAAAATTAAATGATATCCGGGTTACAGAGTAGTCCACTGGCACAAACTAGGTCATTTCAACACATTGTTCAATTTTAATTCAATAATACCCCCCCCCTCCACAAAACTTTCCTGGCTGTATACTCACTTTTAACGACTGTAGTTGATGTTCATATAACTGTATAATATCGGATACTTTAGAATCTTTCATCTGAATGTAAAATAAAAAATAAAAAAACAAACAAAAATTTGAAATTTGATAACATTGATGCAAGCAAAATACATAACTTTTACATATTTCTTTCATTTAAATGTAAATGTCATCAAGTTGAAATGGTTAGGGTTAGGGAGAGCTGGGGCTGTCACTATACGGTTACATGTAAAATCATAACCCCTGCATTCCACTCAACCAAGCTGTAAAGGTGTACTAGTAGGAGAGAGCAAGACAGGGGGTGGAATTGCTTAGCGGTCTATATAGAGTGTCGCGCTTAGAGCTCTAGTTGGCCGTTCACCTCTGGCTTGCGGTTGGGGTTTCGATCCCTGGTGTGAACGTATGTGGCTTGGAGATAGGGGCGACTTCTCAACTTTGTGGGTTTACTCTGGGTACTCCAGTTTCCTCCCACATGAAAGACCTCTGAAAATATCACCATTTGTGGAAGCGGACGCTAAACACCAAGAACAACAACAGAGTGCACTATAAACTTATGTAGCAAGAAAATCCTCTAGCAAAATGACTAGATTTGGTAAACACTAAAATTAATATATTTCAAAGTGTGCAGTCCTTGTTGTTTGCATTTTAGAGGAGAGCCAAAAAAAGCTCCCCTAAAAATCTCTCCCAGTTTCGATAAGAAGAGTGATTTAGAAATTAAGGAGAGTGATTTAATATTAAGGAGAGTGATTAGTTGTGTGTATGAAGATCAATAACTTCATGAAATGGGGTCATTCCTGGTTTCATGAATGACAATAAACACCCAATGACTCTGTAACAGAGAGCGATTTTGAATTTTAACGGGAGGGGAAAAATCCTCCCCTCAGTCGACATTCAGTGTTACCGGCAGGTGCTCAAGAGCGATCACTTGCCTTAAAAAACAATGACTGTCAGAGTGTCCTACGAATCGAGATTTGCTAATGCTTTATATTTACCTCTAAATTTGTTTCCATCTTTAATATAAGATTTTGCATGGTTTTATTGTCCTCATCCGACATGGTGTGTTTACTAGTAAGTGGTAGTATAGTATGATTGGTGTTCTCTTTATTATAACTTATATCAGATAATACAGTCGTTCTCTCAGGTACAACTACGGCAGTCTCTTCATTATTTCTTACATTCATTGTTGCAACACTATCACATAACCTACAAAATACATTAATGTTTAAATTTGTAAAATGGTACAGAAATGGCTGCGTCCATGTGGATTTTCGCCATTTTGTGACCATGTAATGTTTGTGCATAACAGTTCAGTCTGAACTTAAAATTAATTTAAAGAGGAGTTTCATATTTTTTTTTTAATAACTTTAATAAAATTGAACAAAATATAACAGATAATAAATCCTGCATGTTTAAGAATGAAAAATGTGCTAGTACTAAATTTTTTATTATAAAAAAGATAAATATTATAAAAATATGATAAATTAAATAAATGAAATGAAATGGGGTTTAAGGTCCTACTATTCTGCTCTGACTGGGCTAATGAAGACAGGCATATGCCATACAGTGTGGTATGAGGAAAATTTTGCCCAGATAGCAGTGCTATGGCCCTACGTTTTTAACGAATTGCAACTGTCAATGGTGCTTTTACGTGCACACCAATGTGTACACAGGTCCTCATTGTTCATCCCATCAGAATGACTATACATTGCCACTTGCTAGACCCTGGATACATTGCCACTTGCTAGACCCTGGATACATTGCCACTTGCTAGACCCTGGATACATTGCCACTTGCTAGACCCTGTGAAAATCCAGAGGAGCTTTCTCGACCAACGCAGGTATCGATCAAAGAACCTCAGAGTTAGCGAGCCAACATCTTACTCAATGAGTTACCGTGGCTCCACGATAAACTAAATAAGAAATATAGAAACTTACACTACATCTAGAAAGATATCTAAACTAGCAGCTGTACTAACTAACTGTAATGCTGTTTGAACATGATCACGATTATCAGATGTTATATACGTGGCTAAAAACGGTACTAATCTACAATCCTATAATTATAAAAATAAATAAAATAAAATAAAATTTCATTAAATTTTGTTTACATTATATTAAAGGTGCATTATGGAAGATTAGATTAGATAAAGAGTTGACAGTTCTCACTATAATAGTTAAAAAATAGATAATGTAAAGAGAATATGCTGAAAATTTCAATCAAATTACTTCACTCTGAGCCGAGAAAATCAAATTTCAAGAACATTGTAGCTTTGATTGTCATTGTTAGCATTGTTACAACAATAACAAGGTCTCGAATATCCATCTTTACGGTTAATCATTACCTGCCGTTTAACCACAGATCGGATTCAAGTCTGTTTAAAATCGGACCCATCAGATGGCATCGAGAGTTGATTATGGTCTTGTCATGTTAATAAATGTGTAATTAATAGTTTATATAACATCTAAGGCCAAAAGAAAGACCTGCAATAGGCAGATTTAACTCTGGTATATTGTATGTTTAATTAATTTCATATACAACAGCTTGAATCACAACATACACAAAGACCAAACCAAATTAATTTTTAGTTCTTTATGTTCTTGATAAATAGCCATTTGGGCTCCATGAACAAATTGTGTTTTTAAATTAAGAAAAGCTCAAATTGTTCTGGCCAAAGCACGAATAAATAACACAGTTTTACAAGTCCTATAAATAGTATCCCACGTGTATTTTTTATGTAATGGATATCAGTATATTACTACAATTCTATAAAGAGAGAGAAATGGGGTTTAACGTCCACTCGACACAAAATAGGTTATTTCAGGACTAACATATGGTTCAAATTTTATTTTAATAATCTGCTTGCGCGTAGGGGTCTTTAGCAGTGGGAGGAAACCGGAGGACCTGGAGAAAACCCACAAGGTTGGACAGACAACCCTACTCCTCGTCACGTACAACTGGGGAATCAAAACCATGCCAGCTGAATGACAGTCCTTATGATACAGCGCGCATATGCTAACCATTCGGCCAATCCGAACGAATATACATTGTCTATTGCCAGACTGTTCTGCACCGCTGACAAGGGGGAACCATGTTGGAAAATCCTGAAGAACTTCCTCGGCCAATGCAGGAATTGAACACGGGACCTCCAGGTTTGCGAGCCAATGCCTTACTCACTGAACCACTATGGCTCCCACGTTAATATTAACCCATATATAAATAAAAATAAATATGGTTGGGGTGCCCAAGTTTAGATTTCTCATTGATTCCATAAAGTAGTTAGGTTGTAAAATGTTAAATACTGTGTAATTCAACACGGCGACCGAGGGGTTTAATATTATGTAGGTACGAATTAGTACCAAATGGTTTATTTATTTAATTAAAATATAGATTACCTGTAGCTGTAACTTAAAATAATCATCCAGATTTAACACATGTCTTCTTAATTTAGACATCAAGTTTAAACTTAATAAAATAACTTCCACACCTACATCACTGAAACATGAAATATACATAATATTATTTTCAAAATGAAATGAAATGGGGTTTAACGTCCTACTGTTCTGCTCGGAACTTGGCTAATAAAGACAGGCATACTCAATACAGTGTGCTATGAGGGAAATTTTGCCCGGACACGGCACTACGGCCTACTCTTATATCAAATTCCAACTGTCAAGGGATCTTTTACGTGCACGCCAATGTGTCGTCGGACCTCAGTTTCCGTACTATCCGAACGACTAGACAGCTGCCCTCCATCCTGCATCACTGACAAAAGGGAATCACACCAGAAAATCTGGATGAACTTTCTCGGCCAATGCAGGGATCGAACACCCGACCACAAGGCTAGCCAGCCAGCTTCTTACCCATTTAGCCACCGTGACCCTCTATATTATTCTCAACACTTGTTGTCCTTTTGTGAACTTCCTGAGACTCTTTTACGAATTCCCACTTCCAATGTATCTTTTACAAGCTAAGCCAATTTGTGTGTAACACCTTGTTTTTTGTCCAATCCAAACAACTAGACACACATTCATTGCCTGCCCCACAGGCACCCCCCCCCCCCACCTCCCCCCCACAATGAGAAGTGATAACCACCCTTCAAAAATGACACAGGATTCCAATCGGGAATGTTCATGTTCACCAGGGAGTTTCACTTTTCAACTTTTTCTAGTACCGGTAATTCAACCTTAGGGCCCAATATGATCACTAAAAATTTCGTCGACATTAGCCCAGTTGGAGCAGAACAGTTGAACATTAAACCCCATTTCACTTAATTTCAAATCACTACAAAGCTTTAGAATTTTCTTGCCATATTTGTTTTTGGGTGGGGGGGGGCAATTTTGAATTTTCCAGCCCAAATTGTATCTTTTGGAAAGTTTCAGAACAACAAGAAAAATACATCCCGCCAATCACCAATATGTGGTCACAATCAATCTGATTAATATACGGATCTATATTTCGTTTCGGTTTTTATACTTTCGATGGCCTACACTACATGAAGATCTGACCGGTTGTAGTAGAAGATTGCGTCACAGGTCATACGAGTGGCTTTTGACCCTATGATATCAGACATTTGATTAACCAATCAGCATTGATGTTTCTAGTGGGTTACCCACAGTTCCATATGCCAAAAACTCACTGTAACAGACCGTTTCAGTGGCTAATCTTTCACATCATCCAGAACGTGGTTTATATAACAACTCTTCCAGATCCTAGTTTAGTAAAAGACAAGTAAAATGAAATTTGAACTATAAAAAAACGAAACGAAATAAGAACTATGTTTGAATCAGATTGTGCCACAATATATTTACCTGGCAGTATGATGTTTAGATGAATTATTCACCTGATACAGGTGTTTATTTTGATTAAATTGATGTTGTAATATGGTACGAAACATGTCAACATTAACTTGACTGGCTATTAACTTCTTCACATCATCGTCAGAACATAATACTAAAATAAACAATCATATCACTTTTATATACTATCAATTAAACATACATTACGGGAGATTAGATAAAATAAACATTACGGGACATTAGATAAAGAGCTGGCAATTCTCAATATAATAGTTCAAAACGAGATAATGTAAAGGCAATTTGCTGAAAACTTCAGTCAAATTGATCCACTATGAATCAAGAATTTGTCGATTGAATTTTCGGCCTAGCCTTGATCATTATAACTAAAGTCGGTAGAGAAAAAAAACATTTCATGATTTAATCATGAATGAAAGTTGAGCAGCAAATTGAATCCTAATCCCTTAAATGTCGCAAGCTAGCGATGACATTGGGAATAATTATGGTCTGGATAAGTTAATTAATGTCTAATTAATAATTTAGATAACATTTCAGGCCTCAAGAAAGATCTTCAATCGACAGATTTAGCTCTTGAATAATGTATGTTTAAGGTTAAAAAAAATAATAACAAAATCAATAACAATCAAAGTATGTCAGCTTGAATAAAACTGCTTTCCAGCAAGATAACGATCGGCGAACAACTATATAGGCAATACAATCTATGTCCTACTGGGGGGTGTGGGATGGCCTACTGACCTAAAAAGTTGCGCTTTAAGCTCTAGCTGGTCAGCCACCTAAGGCTGGCAGTCGTTACTTACGGGGAATATATTTGTTTTTAAAATGTTTCTGAAAAGTTTCTCAAAATTAAGTCACCATAGACGCAAGCGCAAAAGAAAACCCTAGAATCTTTCCAGAACAGGCTTCTGCATTTTCTATTAGACACATAACAAAAGGGAAAAGAAAATATTCTAAGTGTTTTATAAAAATTCATCCAAAATAAAATTATTTCAAGCACAAAGAAAGATCAAATTACCTGTTAAAAATTGTAAAACTTTGGTTGTTTTTTCCTGTGTTTTAGTATCACTTGTATCTACAGTTTGTTGACAGTTTTCACGTAATATTTTAATTAATAAACAAACCATCACTTCAACATGGTTACGACTCATATTATTTTTATCATCTGAAAATAAGACTTCCTGAAACACAGAGAACAATTAAATAGTACATCATATTCCTTGTGGTTTGCTAGGGAGAGAGAGAGAAATGGGGTTTAATGTCTACTTGACACAAACTAGGTCATTTCGGGACTAACATATGGTTTCATTTTATTTCAATAACTTGCTTGCGCGTATGGGTATTTAGCAGTGGGAGGAAACCAGAGGCCTTGAAGAAAACCCCCCGAGGTTGGACAAGCTCCTTGTTATGTTCAAGCGGGGAATGACAGACCTTATCATTTCCCATGTTCAAGCGGGGAATGACAGACCTTATCATTTCCTGTGCACGCGTCAAAACCACCAGACCAGGAATGAGGGATATAATTCCTAGGAGTTCAAGGACGGCTTTATTATCTAACCTATGTTTTTATTTATCAAACTCTGATTCAGATTAAATGTTTCACCTATTTATGTGCTCTTTCTTAATATTGAATATTTTTTCTGCATAGACATCAAAATTTGATTAGGAAAATACCAAAAATTATTGTGTTCACTGTTTACCATTTTGAATTGATCTTTGAATACCTTAAAGATGCATTATGTAAGATTTAGTTCTCGCTATAGTTAAAAAATAGATAATAAAAATGGAATATGTTGAAAATTTTAGTCAAATTACTTCATTCTGAGTCTTGATTACCATTGCTACCATTGTTACAATTGTATACAAAGGCTCAATTATCCATTTTTTAATTAAATCATTAACTGCCAATTATTTTTAAATCCGTTGAAAATCAAGAGCATCTGATGATCTAGAGAGTTGATTATGGTCTTGTCATGTTAATAAATGTCTAAACAATAATTTATATAACATTTAAGGCTTGAAGAAAGATCTGCATTAGGCAGATTCAGCGCTTGAATAATGCATCTTTAATTAAATATCAAATGTCAAAAACATACCAACCTCAAATACTTCTTTTAACAAATCTATAGCCAGTAATGAAGCTGTATGTGTATCAGTGGCCTCTATTGGTTGAGATGCCCAATGTATTGTAGCAAATAACGGAGATGATGATTGGTTGACAGGTTTGCGTAATAAATTTTCTAATTGAGACAGATCACGTAAAGGTTGACATCTGAGCATAATGGAACAAATAGATGTCCTCATCTGTGCTGTTGAACTAAATTCTATTAATAGTTCAAAAATCTAAAATAACAAAACAAATAAAACTAAATGGGATCTTTTACGTGCAAGCCAACGTGTACATGGGACCTTGTTATTTTGTCCCATCTGAATGACTATCCCATTGACATGAGGGGACCATGCCAGAAAATCTTGATGAACTTTCTCAGCCAATACAGGGATTGAATACGGAACCTCCATGTTAGCAAGCCAGCTTCTTACTCGCCGAGAAACTGTGGCTCCCATATCTAGGGGTGATGATTTTCCGTTTCAGAAAATAGCAAATTCCGTTTTAAGTATTTTTAATTCCGTTATTTTCCGTTTCAGAGCTGACCATATTCCGTTTTTTCGAGATAAAATGTTATTTTATGAATAAATGAATAAAACATCTTAAAATGCCTTTTATTACAAAACGGATCATTTTAAACCAATGATAACAAATGTTGAATTGTGAATGACTTGTAATGTTCAATGACTAGTTATTCTTAAAACCTGTTTCCCGAATTAAATAACAGAAAATTACATCTTGTGAGCTCGTTTCATCTTTTTAGCAGACAAAGCCATTTTTCTCAGCTGCTAGTTGTAGTCGCGATTTATCCAGACATCTTCGTAGTTACTACCGTTTCTTCGAGAATAAGGGCTGGATTCACAAGGCTACGGTATATTTCTGATGTCACGTGGTTAATGCGGATAAACACGAGTCACGAGCCCGGCAGTAAAATAAGAAGTAAATGAAACGATTTTTACTTTTATGAAGTGACAGAAGTTTTTTTTAAGACATATATATACATTACAATGTTTAATTCAAGTTAAACTACAGAGTAATTTTACAATGGGATACATGAAAGACGGGTTTTCGTTTCGATTAAAATTATGATTCCTAAATGAAATGATGAAATGAAAGTAGCGAAATACTAAAATAGACAGTAACAAAACCACGCGATATCATTCAATATTTCCGATTTTTATGAATAAAAAGATGAAATACTTTGATAACTGCAAAATTATTTTGAGTTTGTGTTTAGTATCAGCAAATATCGGCTTTTCCGTCTTTTTCCGTGTGAGATTTCAAATTCCGTTTTGAGTGGACAATTCCGCGATTTCCGCGTTTTTTCCGCGATCACGGAAAATCATCACCCCAACATATCAGGAAAGATGACATGCTCTAAAATGGATGAGGATCAATCTGTTTTAACCATAGATCCTATTTCGTTTCATTTTTTCTAGTTCAAAATCCTGTTTGTCTTAACTTCATCGGGATCGGAGTGATGTGAAGGATACCCCTGACGAGAGACTCCTACTACAATCTGTCAGAAGTATAAAAAGACGAAATGAAATATAGATCAGTATTTTAATCAGACTGGACAAAGTGTAACAAAGTACTCTATAACTTTCATCAAATTAAACAATCATTTAGGTGCTTAGAACTTTATGACCTCAGCTGTTTTTTGATAATATATGATATTGACTTTTCAACTGTGTATAAACTTCTGTTAAGGCACAGACTGGCTATGATCTAATTAAACATGTAATTAATCCCATGTGTCATTTACAAACTACGTATGATCTGTGTACAAGCTCCACATGACTTCAAAGGAATATGCACTGGTCATTAAGCATACCATGATCTGATAATGATTTCAAAGGAAATTTATTTATCTATTACTAAATATTTGGGACTGTTCAGCTAAACTTACCTTTGCGACAGAATCTGGTACACTACTTGTTAATAAATTTAAAGTATTTTCTAGACAGATTGGTAGATGTTCATACCTATAATAACAGTAGAACATTTTATATTTATAGCACGGCTTTCATGAGTTAACAGGTTTAAACATCGAGGACGTAGGTCGAGGTGCGCATGTGCGCGGAAATATCGATGCCTGTCAAGCGGTTGCCATGAAAGATACACCCACATTTTGCAAGAGATGGACAGAGAACAAGCTAAAATATCAATTTTTGTACCATTAGGGGCCATAATCCAGAATGTTACGGTCTGATACATGCCAATATCGAAAGGAACAAAGATCTGTGGCAGATAAACCTAACATATATTTCAAGTTTCATCAAAATCGGATAAAAATCTAATCCTTGAGTGGCATTTAGTGATTGAGCACATTAAAAAAACCACAACACAATTTATATGGAATACAATCACTGGATAAAAATTGTAACCTGTAGAGTGTCCAAAGAAGTATTTTAGACTTTGATACATGACTAGTAAATTTAGTTGTTCAGGACTTTAAGGGTAAACTCAGTATTTTAAACATTTTTACATACTTGAGTAGTGAATGAAGTATTTTAGAACTTTTAGATATATCAGTAAATACATCAACAGCATATCGTCTAGTTATACCAGTATCACCATTTATCAGTAAATTAAATAACAACTGTAGAGTGTTTCTTAAATTAGCACCACTTAATACCTGTAATAAAACATAATATCCAATTAGCACCACTTTAAAATACCTGTAATAAAACATAATATCTTAAATTAGCACAACTTAATACCTGTATTAAAACATAATATCCAATTAGCACCACTTTAAAATACCTGTATTAAAACATGATATCCAATTATTCAATCTATAAACAATCCAATAGCTGATTACTAGAAATGAAATGAAATGAATGCCATTATGGGGTTTAATGTCCTACTATTCTGCTCCTATACTGGGCTAATGAAGTCGGGCATACACCATACATATGAGGGAAATTTTGCCCTGGCAGTGGCACTATGGCCTACTCTTATATCGAATTTCAACTGCCAAGGGATCTTTTATGTGCACACCAATGTATAAACGGAACCTCGTTTTTTTCATCCCATCTGAACGATTGGCAAATTCTTGGCATTATCTATTATTGCAAGAAATACTTTCAGTTCAAAAAGTTATGTAGAATTCATGTATAATTACCTTCTCTCCTAAAACTTCATGTTGAAATACACTGGTTATAACAGACAGGGAAAATATAACGTTAGTTTTATTCTGATCCAATAAAAAGTTTAATAAGGCTCGACACAACTTTGAACATTCCTGAAAGTGAAAGTAGAGAAATGCGAAATATGCACTTAATTGCTGTTGAAACTTAAAAATGAAATGAAATGGAGTTTAACATTCTGCTGTTCGGCTCTGGCTGGGCTTATGAAGATGGGAACTTATAAATGTAAAAGATGCAATGATGTCGCACAAGAATCTTGATATTATCATTATGGATCATTTTTTTAATTCTTGATATTATCATTATGGATCATTTTTTTAATTCTTGATAATAGTTGTCAAAATTCTGATAGTTATTACAACTATTACAAGAGAGAGAGAGAGAGTTTAATGTCCACTGGACACAAACTAGGTCATTTCGAGACTAACATAGGGTTCAATTTTATTTTAATAATTCGCTTGCAAGTAGGGGTCTTTAATAGTGGGAGGAAACTGGAGAACCCAGAGAAAACCCACAGGGTTCAACAGATGGCCCTACTTCTTGACATGTACAATCGGGGAATCGAAAACATACCACTTGACTCAATGACTGACCTTATGATCCAATACGCATGTGTTAACCATTCGGCTACCCACAACATATAAAGAATGTTCACTTTTCAAAGAGACAGTATGAAGAACATATTATAATAAGTATTGATACGTACCAAGCTTCTAATGTATGTTTGAACTGTTATATTTTTTCTACATATATTAGCCATTAATCCCAGACAGGGTTGCGTTAATTCACTTGTACTTGAACAACTACAAACAGAATGGTACAGTAGATCATTGTCAGAAATTCTTTCAAAACATGGATAAACTAAAAAAAAGTATTACTGACTAAAAACTGAACGTAAAAGCCATAAGACATTTTGATAACATCATCATTGATGTTATGGTACTTTGTAACAATTAACATCCCCATTGATGTTACGGTACTTGGTAGACATGGTGTCTTGGTTTCTATTGCTGTAGTTGTCATACTTAAAGATACATTATGAATGAATGAATGAATGAAATAGAGTTTTATGGCATGTCAGCTCAAACCGGGCTATATTGCGCCAAACATATGGTGAAAATTATGAGACAAATTATATGCTATCACATAAAGTATTCATGTACACAAATAAAAACAAATACAACATCATGTTAAATAATTAAAAATAAAAATCACAACTTCATGTACACAAATATTTAAAATGAAAAACAAAAGATACATTATGTAAGATTTAGATAAAGAGCTGGCCGTTCATGCTATAATAGTTCCAAAATAGAAAATTCAAAATTAATATATTGAAAATTTCAGTCAAATTACTTTATTCTGAGCGACGTTATCACTGTATGAAGTTTGACATGGATTGTTTATTATTGTAGCAACATTACTGGTTAATCGAGACTCAGCCTCGCTTCTCCATTTTTAAACTAAATCATTAAATAGCAATAGTATTTTAATCCGTTTACATCTACACCATCCGAATGTCTAGAGAGTTGTCTATAGATGTGTCATGTGAATAAATGTTTAAATAATAGTTAATTTATATAACATTTGAAGCCAGAATAAATACCTGCAATAGGCAGATTTAGCTCTTACATAACAGATATCAGCCTACTGTAATATGAACTTTGCATTTTTAAAATAATAGAAATCAAATTTTCATATTTTTTTCCAGCCTGTGAAATATGACAATTTAAAATTGTACTTACATCTGTTTGACTAGGAATTTCAATAAATATTTAATATGGTTATCATGGAAATTGATCTGTTGTCCATAAGTCAACATCATTAATAATTGTATACACTGAAAAACAATATTAGAAACAAAAAGATATCCATTAATAATTGTATACACTGAAAAACAAACAACATTAGAGACAAAAAGATATCCATTAATCAAGATCAAAATACATCTGAAAGAACAAAATATTATTGTGATTAAAAGTAAATGGAAAAAAATGATCACATGTGTGTGTAATGTCTCATCAGTAGCAATACTTCTCAGTTTTGTATTTCCCCTGGTATTTTTCAAGTTCAATACACATGCAAAGCTTACAATCTGATCAAAACACAGATCCTATTTCGTTTCGCTTTTTATAGTTCAAATTTCGTTTTACAGTACTTGTCTTTACTATACTAGGATCTGGAAGGGTTGTTATATAACCCACATCTTGGATGATGTGAGGGATTAGTCAATGAAACTGTCTGTTACTGCGCGTTTTTGGCGTACAGAACTGTGGGTAACCCACTAGAAACATCAATGCTGATTGATTGATCAATGTCTGACGTCATAGGGTCAAAAGCCACTCGTACGACCCCTGACACGACCTTGCTGTACAACTTTTCAGATCTTCGTATGGTGTAGGCCATCGATAGTATAAAAAACGAAACGAAATATAGATCTGTATTTCAATCAGATTGGCTAAGCTTATATTGTTATTTCATTCAAATGGGAAGGAAATTGGTAGACCCAGGGAGAAACCCACAACTTAAGGCAGATGTAGCAGGGTTCCAGGTTGTAGATTCAGGTTTTATTTACAGGTGGATCTTCGTACAGTATAATATAATAACGCCGATAATAATATAACAATCAACTCCTATAAAATAGGATCAGATAAATATTCGTACAGTATAATAGAATAATGCTGATAATAATATAAGGATAAACTCCTATAAAATATGATCAGATAAATCTAACCAATAATATAATTCAAATGTCCTGCACCACTGACAACGGGTAACCACGTGGGAAAATCCTGATGAACTTTCTCACCCAACACAGTGATCGAACACAGGACCACGCAGGAAAATCCTGATGAACTTTCTTACCCGACGCAGGAATCGAACACAGGACATCTAGCTTAGCGAGCCGACGTCTTACCCACTGAGTCACTGTGGCTCCTAATACTACAATAAACATAGTAAAACAAAAATAAAAATGGTTGGGGTGCCCAAGTTTAGATTTTTCGTTGATTCCATGAAGTAGTTAGATTTTAAAACGTTAAATACTGTGTAATTCAACATGGCGCCCTAGGGGTTTAATATGATGTAGGTACATGTACGAATCAATACAATAAACATAGTTAATAAACCTGATTAACATTACCTCTAATGTAAAACCTTCTGATTGTTTTTCTACAGAATTCTTTAAGACTGATGCCAAAGATTCACTTAAATGAAATTGACTTTGAAGCAATGTACAAAGGTCATGGTCTTGAACTGAAATACAGAAAAGAGAGAAATGAAATGAAATGAAATGGGGTTTAACGTCCTACTGTTCTGCTCCTAACCTGGGCTAATGAAGACGGGCATACGCCATACAGTGTGCTATGAGGGAAATTTTGCCCGGACAGCGGCACTACGGCCTACTCTTATATCGAATTCCAACTGCCAAGGGATCTTTTACGTGCACGCCAATGTGTACACGGGACATTGTTTTTTTGTCCCATCCGAATGACTAGACAGCTGTCCTTGACAGGCCCTCCGTCCTGCATCACGGACGAGGGGGAACCACGCCGGGAAATCTGGATGAACTTTCTCGGCCAATGCAGGGATCAAACACCTCCAGGCTACCGAGCCAGCTTCTTACCCACTTAGCCATCATAACCCCCTTTGTCATAAGATACAACATTTTTTGCTATTTGGACTGATAAACTACATATTAATCACCCCAAAAATACCAATTTTATTTATGAACCATGTTCCAAACTTGGCCCAAATACCTGATAAAAACAATACACTCTAAATCACAGTTATAAAAAAAAAGGTAAAGCTTACCCAAATTTTGAAAAACCATAATACATTTATTAGCTAGCACCATTTTAACCTGTGGATCATTCAATATTTGAACAACTCGAGTCAAACAATCAACAGCTAACATATTTCTTGTGTTAAAAAACTTTAATGATGGTAGATTATCTGTATGGCTTTGTAAACTCTGAAACAACAATAATAAATATGTAAAAGAAATGAAAAATGATTTAACTCCTACTGGTCTATGAAAATGGTCATATGCCAATGCCAGTAGCCACACATATGCCAATGCTATGAGGGAAATTTTTCCCAGACTGCAACGCTATGGCCTACTCCTTTATCGAACTCCAATTGCCAAAGGTTCCTTAATGTACATGCTATTGATTTTAAGTGTTTTTTTATTTGTGGCTATAGTTCTGACTAAATTAATTTGCAGAAAAAAAGCTATCAAAACTCACTGAAACAAACAAAGCAAGATGTCATAGTTCATCTTGCGCAGTTTCCCTTATGTGCGTTGAAGATAAAAAAATAAAATTCTTTTTTAAGATAAATGTTCTAGAAACTCAAAACTCCAACAAAAAAATTCACAGTCCATGTCATTTATATGTATAGGACCATTGACATGTGTTTTATTTAGTCGGAACTTGTTAAACTAAAGCTTTTGTTACGCCTACCTCAAGTTGACTCTGTAGATAAACCATATTACTGTTACTACTGCTTGTAAAATACTGATTAGCTGCCATGACAACAGCTCTTGCACAAACATCCATCGTTTATTTTATTCTGAAAAAAAAAAACAATTAACGATAAGACCCTTTTTTAAAAAACAGCCTAACCTTTAAAATTCTGTGTATCTCTAATCATTTTTAATTACCTTGAGCCTCTAAATCTAAAAATATTTTACACTGTCACTGACGTAGGCAAAAGAAAACATGGTAAAACCATCCAAAACATAACAATCAAAATAATTTTTGTTCCTTGATATCAACATAATTTTTATTTCCATATTGATAAAAAGCATTATTATCAACGGCTTTTCTTTTCAAATGAAACTGTTTGCTATTTTCTGTGTTGAATGTACCCTATAATGATCACAATTGGGGTACGGCAAGCTTATTGTTATAAATATGTAACATTAACTGTAACCATCATCTCAAGTGTCCCACTTCGACATCTAGCTAGCTGGTCACCTCCTGCTTGTTTTCGTGGTTTCGACCCCTGGTGTGAGCGTATGTGGCGTGGGTTGGAGATGGGGGCACCGTCTCAACCTCATGGGTTTACTCCAGGTAAAGAAGAAGAAGAATCTACCGCTTCACTGACAGTTTTGTGCTACTCCTTGGAATCTACTGATTGATCATTCAGATTTATTTTTCTAATATGAATTGAACTTTGAAGCAGGGGAACACAGACATTTACCTTAAGTCAGATGCTGAAGAATAAATAGGAAAGCACCACACCACGAAGGATAAATCATATGTTGAAACAACATCTGCCAATCAAAATATGCAATTTAGACATTGTGAAGATTGTTTAAAGTAATGGCTGATTGCATGGTGACATACATGTATACAAGTGAAGTAAGCCTACGTTGGACAAGTTAAAAACACCATCCAAAAGTTAACGATAACTCTCCCTACAGTTGTGCAATAGTTTTGCTAGCTGCAATTTTAGCCATGATAATTCTTATCTGCAGCTGCAATTCATACACTATTTGAGGCTTTGAGCAAGTAAAATTAGGTTTAATTGCAAAGTTTTCAACACATATGTATCTTCACAGTTTGCATGGAAATAAGTAATTATGCTACAAATACTAAATAGTGAAGTGTGGAACAATGATATCATAATCTTATCTTATCAAACCGTTTTTCGAGTGACATGACACCCCGTGATTCTGGTTCGGCAGCCATTTTAAACTGAACAGAAATTTTGCATAGCAGTTTGGTTTAATCAAATCATATAATTTTACGGTAAGGTTTCACCTTTATTTCAATGGCAATTGGTTTATTATATGTTATTGTTAAGCTATGTACAGTACAGTTTTGGGTCAGTGTTATTGGAAATTAATGGAGTTATAGGCCAGTAAGTGTTTTTTTAGTCAATTGACTACAAAACTTGCTCAAAGAAAGGCCTTAGACAATTCACCAACTACACTACTGTGTCACTGTGGCTGGAGCAAGACGGAAGACATCAGTAGTGGAACCATTTCTATAGTTTTGCCAGTACACATAATAGCTTGACATAACAGTATAAAATTATCTTGGTTTTGTGACATTATAATTAATAAAACAAAATGACTCATGAGATGAGCTTGGTGAAATTTAATTATGATGGGGCTCCAATGGCAATTCCAATGAGTCCAATCGAAGCTTAAAATGTTAAAAAACAAAAACATTAGAATTATCTCAACGTATTTAGCGACGTTTTTGTAGCCAACAGTCTGATAGACAAGAATCTATGCCAATAATGATTCCCTTGTTCTTTTCCACAAAATATACTTACAAGAAAAGCTTCTTGACTTTCCGAAATATTGTAAACAACGTAACTTATCAGAAAGGGTACACTTTCAAAAAACAAGTTCAAGCGCGGCATAAGCTAACTTGATTTGATAGGTACAATTCTTCTAAAAGTGTGCCATCCAACGAAACATTCTTATGAAAATTTGGGGGAATACACACTTCAATAATAACAATTTCGAATTTGAATGCGAAATGCGCTAATGTAGTTTATATCACAAGTATAGTTCAAAGTATGGCTTACATCTAATGCAAGATACAACTTTTTAATAACAGTGAAATTGTGCGAGTATCTACGTCAAATTAAATAATCGAGTACAACTTAAACCAAGGGAGAGAACTCTATTATTTTATTTTAAGCAATCAGGCCTCAGACTAGCAATTATTTGCCCATTGACTTCAATGTTAAATGACTGTAACATCACAGGCTGTAGCTTTTTGCTCAACATTCCGTTGGTTCCAATCTTTATAGGCACAATGGGGACAACATTTGGCAATCTCCTCATCATAATTTTGTAGGGGGTTGACCGTTTAGATTTTTTGCTACACGGATTTGAAGTTGACAGGGGTGAAAATCTCACTTCCGACACAATGATTGCTCTGCAGAAAGACACTTTACACCCCCTATCCCTCCGCTGTAATATCATCAGTATTACCCAAAACTGCTATGAAATTGCAAATTTGATCCCTTTTCTCCAATTCTAGACCAAAAAGTCAACCCAAAAATGCAGGAAGAGGGGAGAAAAAAATTCAGGGAAAAATTGTCTATTTATAACTCGCACTACATTCGTCCATCATGAATCCATAACATTCTCTTGTCCTATAACAATAATTATTTTTGTGAACATTCTGATGACTATGGTGACTTTGTGAAGGAAGCAAGTCGCGGCACGTCAAAAAATGCTTTTTCTCTACTTGTCGGGTTGGAAGGTGACAATTAATAATTAAGTGGCGGCACGATCCACAAGTCAAGAAAAACTGCTTTTTTCAAAAGGGAACAAGTCTCCATGTCGACAAAATCAATCCAACAATACAAGAACATTACACTCGTCGCCTTTATTTTGTCGTCTTTTTGGGTTAATTATATGGACTTGTCGGGTTGTGAAGGCAATCAAGTCGACTGTGAAAGCAGATTTTCTCGACTTGTTGCCTTGGAATATAATCAGTTGACATAATTGACCCCAAAAGACGACAAAATGAAGTCAACAATTGTCGGGTAACTTTTCTCGTGTTGTTGGGTTATTTTGTGGACTTGTAGCCTTTCGAAAAAAAGCTGTTTTGCTCGACTTGCCTTCCGACCTTGTGGGGGGGGGGGGGAAAGGGGGATTGGATGGCCAAATGGTTAGTGCGTGCGCATTGTATCATAAGGTCTGTCATTGAGTCAACTGCCGTGGTTTCGATTCCCCGGTTGTACGTGACAAGGAGAGGGGTCGTCTGTCCAACCTTATTGGTTTTCTCCAGGTCCTCTGGTTTCCTCCCACTGCTATAAAAGACCCCTACACACAAGCGTCCACATAACGGACTGACATGTGGACGGATAGACAGGGGCGAAAAGAAAAAAATTACAGATTGGAATTATTCAATGATTAACTTTATTTAACTTTTTCTTTCTATTTATTTAATATTTCATAAAAGATGATATGAAATATAATATATAATTATTCTAGACAAGGGAGAGAGAGAGAGAGAAATGGGGTTTAACGTCCACTCGACACAAACTAGGTCATTTCGGGACTAACATATGGTTTAATTTTATTTACATAATGATCCATAATGTTCTGCCAAATGCCAATGGTATACACATGACCTCTGTTTGTCATCCCATCCAAACAACTATATGCTCTTCCCTGCCGAATCCTCAATCCTGTTGAACTGACATGGGGAAAGAGAGAGAGAGAGAAATGGGGTTTAACGTCCACTCGACACAAACTAGGTCATTTCGGGACTAACACATGGTTCAATTTTATTTCAATCATTCGCTTGCGCGTAGGGGTCTTTAGCAGTGGGAGGAAACCGGAGGACCCGGAGAAAACCCACGAGGTTGGACAGGCGACCCTACTCCTTGCCACGTACAACCGGGGATTCTCTAGACAAGGGATATAAGGATGCATTATGTAAGATTTAGACAAGGAGCTGGACATTGTTGCTATAATAGTTCAAAAATCGATAATGAAAAAAGAATATATTGAAATTTTCATTCAAATACTTTATTCTGAGCAAAGTTATGACTGTTTGAAGATATAGCGTAGATCGTTCATTATCGTTTATTATCGTAGCAACCCCATTAGTACTTTCATCGTTCAATTTTTAAATCTCGCAGATGTTCTAATCCATTAACATCTCTGCCATCCGATGGTCTAGAGAGTTGATTATGGGCTGGTCATGTTCATAAATCTCTAAATAATAGTTTATATAACATTTGAAGGCAAAATAAAGACCTGAAATAGGTAGATTTAGCTCTTACATAATGCATCTTTAACAGTTGAGATGGAAACTTTTACAAATGATCCTACTCATGAATTAATACCTGAATTTAATAGATGCATGAGGTGAAATTAACCCTTTATAGTGTTATTTAGAATGCCTAAGGCAGGTGAATAGCTGCGGAACCCTCAAAAACTAGAATATTATGGTCTAACAACATGTATAGCTATTCTCCGTTTTTTGTTTATGTCTTTTTTATGGACTAATGTGTTGTGGTTATTGTAATTTTATATTAGTTGTACTTATGTAAAGCGCCTGAGAGCAGCTCACTGAGTTGAATTGTTGGCACTATATAAATCAATTATTATTATTATTATTATATATCTCAGGCAGTTTGAGACCGTCTAAATTAATTAACGAAATGAAATGGGATTTAACGACCTACTGTTTTACTCTGATTTGGTATACAGTATATACAGTGTTACACAGTGGAGGTCGATCGTAGCCATGTTCGAAAATTGGGTTTTGAAAAAAAGGCTCTCTTTCCGGCGTGCAAAATGACCGTTGGGTCAGATCTTGTTATGGTCATTTTCCATAGCCCTAGGTCTTGACCGGAAAATATGGCCGACGTGGAACCCATGGCATACACCACAGAGGGTTAATTTGTTACTGAGATCATTTATCTCTGGTTTTTTTTTAATGAATATAAATTTTGTTACAAAAATGAAGATAATAAAAACACATACTCATGGAAAACAGATACTAATATATTTTGGCGAAGTTTCGAAGAGTATTCTCTTAACATAATAGATTGATAATGTTGAGAGGATAGGCCTACTCTTCGAAATGTCATCCAGATTGTTCTACTGTATGTGTCATAGTTTATTGCTCTATCCAGTTACTAAATGACACTGAAAGATTAATAATGAAGATAGTGCAGTCCTCGTACATCAGAAGTACAACATGTTATGGTTTTCAGAATTAAACAAAAATTAAAAAATACAAAACATTTCAGGTCTTTGATCAAGATCCACAAGACTCGAACCATTGTGTAATATTTTCTCAAAATCGGTTGGTTACGTCTGTTATACGAGGACTATACCATCTATATATAAATATTAAAACAAATGATTTGTAAAATTTAATTTGAATTTTTATAAAAAGCACTATGCGTAAAAATTATATGTAAAATAATGACCATAAAGTTATTAATGAACAATGTACAATAAAATTACAATAATTATTATGTTTATTTACACAATCATCGATCTCATTAAAACACAGATCCTATTTCGTTTCATTTTTTATAGTTCAAAATTTCATTTTACTTAATTGTCTTTACTACACTAGGATCTGGAAGAGGAGTTTTATCAATGGTGTTCTGGTTGAAGTGAAGAATTAGCCAATGAAACGGTCTGTTAAAGCGAACTGTGGGCAAACAACTAGAAATGTCAACGGCAGTGATGAGATTTCAAAATTTTTCTTGTCGGACATTTTTTCCCTGAAAATAAAGGGGCATAACTCTTATCATTATTTAAGCAGGCCAAAAGCTTGCCGTAACAGACTGTTTCATTGGCTAATCTCTCACTTCATCCAGAACATGTCAATGATAACAAATCTTCACTTCAACCGGAACGCCGATAATAAAACTCCTCTTCCAGATCCTAGTGTAGTAAAGACAAGTAAAACGAAACTTTGAACCATAAAAAAATGAAACGAAATAGGATCTGTGTTTTAATCAGATTGAATAAAACACAGGATTGTTACAATTTGCTGATTCTATTTAATCGAGCAGCATTCTCTATCTTCTTACACAATGATTGGTTCACTTGATCAAACTAGTCACTGCACATGGGCAATACCGAAGACAACCATTTGATATATAAATAAGGTTTAGAGACACTGGTTTATAACTATAAAAGACTTAAGCTATAGAAACACTATCACGTATAGCTTTATTACGACTTGGTGCTGGATGTATGACCTGTTGCGAAGAACCTGCATGTCTACCAAGATAATACGATAAATTATCACGATCTGGTGTAGAGTTTGCCGTGATAGAGTGAGGACCACTCTGTGATGGTGATAAAAATGGCTGGTCGTGAGGTTCGATTTCCAAATATAAATGATCTGTGACTGAAATATAAAAAAAAAAAAAATTTTGGGTCAAAGGTCATTACAAAAGCAATTTAATTACATGAACTCCTCAAATAAGAAGTGGTATAGCAGTGTTCTAGGTTTAACATCTTTAGTTTTCTGAACCAATCAGGATAATGAAGCAAAACAGTATGCTATGAGGAAATTTAGCCCTGGCAGCACAACTACATCTTTCCATTTTTAACTGGCAGTAAATTGATCCATAATGTTCTGCCAAATGCCAATGGTATACACATGACCTCTGTTTGTCATCCCATCCAAATAACTATATGCTCTTCCCTGACGAATCCTCAATCCTAGGTCATTTCGGGACTAACACATGGTTCAATTTTATTTCAATCATTCGCTTGCGCGTAGGGGTCTTTAGCAGTGGGAGGAAAGCGGAGGACCCAGAGAAAACCCACGAGGTTGGACAGGCGACCTACTCCTTGTCACGTACAACCGGGGAATCGAAACCCCGCCAGTTGACTCAATGACAGACCGTATGATACAGCACGCGCGTGCTAACCATTAGGCCATCCAACCCCCCGACATGGGGAAACTAGAATGTAAGAGTACCCTGCCTCGTGTCCAACACCTATCACATTATGTTCAATTGTTAGCTTTTGTTTTAATTACTTATTGATTGTTTGAATATATACTTACTTTCATCTGCAGTTTCTGGTAATTCACCGTAACCTGATCTTGTTGTCGTTCTGATGACAGTTTTACGAGTAATCTGTGGATTCGCCCCAGGTGGTGGATCACTGGGATCTCGTGTTGTATCTGTCCATAAAACCTGATTTGTCTCGATGCCAGTAACTGGGTCAACTCCTGATTTCATCATGGCTGTTCTGTGACCTTGACCATTATCAGGGGGAATAGCTCCAGCAGGGACGACAGATGCATTGTTACTATCACCAGGATTTCGAGGTTTAGATTTTCTTCTACCTGAGCCACGACCATGTGGTGTATCTCCGTATGGAGTGGAAGAGTATGGCTGACCTGGACTACCATGAGGATAACTCTGATTGTGATGACTTCGTGGTTGTGATTCTTGCGTAGCCATCATAAAAGATGTTTTTTGGACTGGACCGTTTTTAGTTGGTGTTTCTTGAACAATCCAGGCAGCCTTCCCCGCCATTTGTTGTGGTGCCATGTTGGGATGTGCACCAGGTGCTGGCATCGTTTGATATGCATACGCATAGGTTTGTGTTCCTGGTGGAACTGTTCCTGGGGCAGGCATCATACCATATGGCATTCCATATGCCTGTAAGGGATACATTCCTCCTGGTATACCATATGGATTGTACCCAGCATTTAAAGGTTGCATCCCTGCAGGATAGGGTTCTTCTGAAACTGGACGGTCAAACAAAGGTTCAAAAGCTTCAGGAGGGAGTGTATCTTTAACTTCTTGTTTTGGTTTCTTTTTCTTCCTTTTCTTCGAATTTGGTGATTTGTGGGCATCTTTATTTTGATTCTGTTGAAGGTTGGGATTGGGCACCATTTCTGATTCACCAGGTTTCGCTCTAGAATTGATTTCGTTCAACTCTGAATCATCAGATGTGTCATCTGGAGGTTTTTGTGATGGCCCACCAGGACCACCATGACCTGAGTGTCCATGAACTGATGCTGTAACAGTTTCTGGTTCTGGTACTGACATAAAACTACTGGAATCAAAATCAGAAGGTGGGCCCCCAGGACCTGATTGAGATTTAGAAGATTTTAGTTTTACAGCAGTAGCTTCATCAGCCAGATTCTTGGCTTTATTCATGTCATCGTGATGAGATCCTGTACTTTTATTACTACTTCTCCCTGTGTCACCTCTTCGTAACGATCCCCTTGTAGGGGAACCATCCTCTCCCCTTCTTGACGAACCCCTAGTAGGATCCCCCCTCTTAAAGAACTCATTCCCACTGTCTTTTTTCTTTAAATAGTGTGGAGTTGCTACGTTTTCATAAGCATCATCACCTCCATTAGATAGAAGTCTATTGTCTTTATTTTTATTATCATCACTTTCAAAAACATCATCAATTAATGTTTCTTTACTATCGCCACCTTCACCTCTTGCACTTTGACCCCTGCCCCTTGACCCCTGCCCTTGACGTATCTCATTGTTCAACAATTTTTTTAAATCAGTCTGTTCTTTCTGCCAAGAAGCTGAAGCGTCACTATTTTCATTATTATTAATTATCACCCTATTTTCTAAATCATCGTCAAATTTCCGTGGTCGAACGTCTCTATAGGAAGATCGGCCCAGGAATTGAGGCCCATCTGTTCGACGGGGACCATTTGGATCATACTTTCCGCTAGTTATGGTGTTCCATACTTTAGGATCCTGATGATCTATTCCAGTTTTTTTAATAACCCCGACCCCGTTTCCTAGTTTATCCGATTTCTCAATGGCGTGATTATCTTCCCCATCATTTAAAGATTTTTTGCCATCTTTCTTTAATTCCTCGTCTTGTTTATCATTAGGGATAAAGCCAACATAATCTGACAGTCGACCAGAACGCCAGCACCATATTAGGACACCAGCTAGAAGGAGAATGGCTAGCAAACCAACAATAATCCCTATAATAGCACCAGGTGGTAATGTAGAACCACCCAATAAGATACCAGGAACATCAGGGTCCTCTGAAAGTACATAAAACAAAACATTAAAATACATAAAAACGTCAAAATATAAGATAAATATAAAATATTAATTTTGATAATACTTTGAGGACTCAGAGAAAACCCACTAGGCTGGTCAGGCGACCCTACTCCTTGCCATGTACACCCTACCGCCCCGATGCAATATTTAAGACTAAGTCTTGATTATCCATTTTATCTTGCGGGTGTTCAAATTCAATTAAATCTCGACCATCTGATGTACTAGAGAGTTGATTATTGGCTTGTCATGTAAATAAATATCTAAAAAATAATTTTATAAACATTTCAAGCCAGAAAATATAATTTCAACAGGCAGATTTAGCTCTTATATAATGTATCTTTAACGTGTATAGAGGGTGGACTTTTAGATTGGAATATTAGTGAGATTATTAGTTCTATAGATTGGAATATTAGGGTGAATCTTAGTTCTATAGATTGGAACATTAGTGAGATTCTTAGTTCTATAGACTGGAATATTAGTGAGAATCTTAGTTCTATAGATTGGAACATTAGTGAGATTCTTACTTGCTTCTTTGTAATCAGTTTTGTTTTTGTTTTTTGTGACGATGGAACATGTACCCTATATGTATTGAATACTGAAGCGTTTCTTTATTGAATTTAAGAGTTTAGACTACTTTTTTTATACATTTCACCGATGTGGTTACTTGTATAGTTGAATTTTTACTACATATGCTTACATTCATATTTCGTGTAGCATATAGCAGATCATGACTCATGCTGGCATTACACAATGGGTTTTTTGGGTTGTATTCCTAATTTTTTTCAAATTTGAGTGAAATCTGTGTCACTACAGACCCGGGACTGTACAGCGCAGTGGACGCTTATGGCTAGCCCCCGGATCCATTTACTTTTTTTAAATTGTCTGTATGTTTGTGTTTTCCTGAGTATGATGTCCTGTTCGTGTATTTGTTTTTGTGTAAATTTTGTGTGGTGCAGTCCCCCTGTACTTACTATTAGTTCTATAGATTGGAATATTAGTGAGATTCTTAGTTCTATAAATTGGAATATTAGTTCAGTGAAATAGATAGAAGTGCAATGAATGTCCAAATTTCTACGACTGTCTTGTCCTAATTTTCGGTCACTTAGATATTCATTTATTGGGCATACACAACTGTTTCCGGACATGTGCTTGTGCACATACATCTCTAAGTATCGTTAACTTACCGTATGTCTTCACCGTTAATTTGATGACGTAAGCTGTCTGATATAAAATAGTAGGACGTCGAAACTGAACCGTAATCCATTCATTATCAGAGTATAATGAATCTTTATTTTTACTGCTGCATCCCAATCTTTTCTATAATAATAAATAAATAAATAATTAGCCTATTATTTAGTATAATAAAATCTAGGTTTTAACGTCCACTCAACACAATCCAGATCATTTTTGAACTAACACAATACAATTTTATTTTCAATGAAAGGGTCTTTAGCAATAGGGTGGGATAGGGGGGCACTGAATGACATAGCATAGACCAAACCATGTGCGACCTTACTCCTTGCCACATACAAGTAAGGAAATGAAATGAAATGGGGTTTAACATCCTACTTTTCTGCACCAACTTGGCTAATGAAGACTGGCATACAAGTAACGAATCAAAACCACGCTACTAAATGAAATGAAACGTGGTTTAACAACGTACTGTTCTGCTCCGACTGGGTCAATGAAGACGGGCATATGCCATATACAGTGTGCTATGAGGGAAATTTTGCTCAGACAACGGCACTACGGTCTACTCTTACATGTATATCTAATTCAAACGGCCAAGCGCCCTTCAACGTGCACACCAATGTGTACACGGGATCTTGGTTTTTCATCTCATTCGAACGACTAGACCACTGTCCTTGTCCAGCCCTCTGTCCTGCACCACAGACAAGGGGAAACCACATTGGAAATTTCTTAATGATCTTTCGTGGCCAATGCAACTTGAATTATGATATGAAAGGTACTTACAAGAGAATTACCATATGCACCTTTTCCGCTGAACAAGTCAACAAATACTGCACAATCCTCGATAGCTATTGTTTCTATGTCGACCTGTAGTCGATTCTTACCATCCGTATAGCCAGATTTTATATATATAGTACATTCTGTTGGTGGATTGGCTGGTGCCGCGTTTGAACGACCGTTTAAAACAACTTGCTCATCAAAAACTGTCACTTCCCGATTACACGTAGACAAACGATCCAGATCATCTGAAATGAAATAAAAGCTTGATTAATGCTCTACTGTTCTGTACTATGGGGCAAATTTTGCCTGGGCAGTGGCACTACGGCATACTCTTTTTCCCAATTCTAATTGCCAAAGGTTCTTTTCATGTATGCCAATGTTTACATAATACATAGGACCTCAATTTTCCATCCCATCCAAACAACTAGTCAATGTTTCTTAGAGGCCCTCCATCTTGCATCACTGGGGAATTTAAAGGCTGGGATCGAACCTGTGACCTCCTTATTAGTGAGCAAGCGTCTAACACACTGAGCCACCGACATGGCCAGATTAAGATTACACAGGGCCTCTGGCTAAAAATATCACTGGACTGCTTGCATCAACAGTAAAAAGAGGACATATTCAGTCCTTCACGTTTAAGGGTAGCTTTCGCTCCTGCTCCTCTCGACGCACGTCAGCTTTCCTTCGAAGGAGTCATTAAAGACTCCTGCAAATTAGCTAAATCACTCTCCTAAATATTGAGATTAATAAACTACTTTCAGTTTTTGTTTTCTTTTAAACTGCATATATTCAAGGTATCAGGAGCTTTTTATGGCTCCCGCACAATTTTATAAACATGAAAGACTGCATATTCTGGTCATTGTCCGTCACACTCACAATATGAATGTCAGTATGGTAGATTGTAGGTACAATGTACTACAATCTGATTAAAATACAGATCTATATTTCATTTTGTTTTTTTTTATACTTTTGAAGGCCTCTACTACATGAAGATCTGACCAGTTGTAGTGGAAGGTCGTGTCAGGGATACTACGAGCGGCTTTTGAACCTATGACGTCAGACATTTGATTAACCAATCAGCATTGATGTTTCTAGTAGGATACCCACAATTCAGTGCATCGCACGCCAAGAACTCGCTGCAACAGACCGTTTCATTGGCTAATCCCACACGTGAACCAGAACGCGGGTTATGTAATAACTGCTAGTGTAGTAAAGACAAGTAGAACGAAATTTTGAACTATAAAAAACGAAATAGGATCTGTGTTTTAATCAGATTGTAGGTAGATAGATAGATTTATTTGCCACAGACATGTAACAAATTGATTTTTATAACTATCTTGGGGGCCCCTTTAATATTGGGGGGCCCTTGGCTGCAGCCCTGGATTCAGACCCCCAAAACCCCTTTACTCCGGCCCTGGCCACTAGTGGATCCGAACAGCAGCCAGAGAAAGGCAGGTGACCCTCCATTTTCGACTCATCACGTACAAAACCACAGGCTTTTATCGCAAACATCTTCCATTTTGTTCAGATCTCTAACCGATCTCAAATAGGTATATTGTTATTACTTACAGTATGTGTCCAAAGCTAATATTGGTGAGCTTAAAATCCCCAACAGAATGAACACAGCGCTCTCCATTATAACCAATCTTCTAGTCATCACTATCATCATTCTGTTTTATTATTCCTCCATACATCACTGTAACAGAAAGAGAGATAAAAAGGGTTAAAGGTCCACTGGGCACAAACTAGGTCATTTCAGGACTAACATATGGTTCAATTTTATTTCAATTTGCTTGTGCGTAGGGGTTTTTAGCTGTGGGAGGAAACTGGAGGACCCGGAGAAAACCAACGAGGTTGGACAGACGGCACTACCCTTGTCACATAGATGCGGGGAATCGAAACCAAGTGGCTCAATGATAGACCTCATAAACGTACACACATTAAAACATTCGGCCACTGTAACATAAATAAACAATCAGTCTAATTTAGTAGCCTATATCTACGGAAAAGAGTGCCCATAGCAAGGGCTGGAAATGCGCCCCCTGTTTTACATGTAGGCCTATATAACACCTACCCAGATATCTACCTTTCCTATACATGTAATAGGCCTACAGGTGATCTGGATAAAAAAAAATGACTTTATTTATAATAGTTTATTACTCTAGCTTCAATTTAAATAGGTGTAATTATAACACCTTACTCAGCTAGGGGGGATCACGTGGCTAAGTGAGTTAGACGCTAGCTCGCTAGCCTGGAGGTCGGGTGTTCGATCCCTGCATTGGCCGAGAAAGTTCATCCAGATTTTCCGGCGTGGTTCTCCCTTGTCAGTGATGCAGGATGGAGGGCCTGACAAGGAAAGCTGTCTAGTCGTTCGGATGATACCAAAAACTGAGGTCCCGTGTACACATTGGCGTGCACGTAAAAGATCCCTTGGCAGTTGGAATTCGATATAAGAGTAGGCCGTAATGCCGCTGTCCGGGCAAAATTTCCCTCATAGCACACTGTATGGCGTATGCCCGTCTTCATTAGCCCAGGTTAGGAGCAGAACAGTAGGACGTTAAACCCCATTTCATTTCATTTCATTTCACTTACTCAGCTAGATATCTACCTTTCCTACAGGTGATTTCGATATAAAAAAATGACTTTATCTATAATGGTTTACCCTAGCTTCAATTTAAGTAGGTGTAACTATAACACCTTCCTCAGCTAGATATCTACCTTTCTAATAATATAGGTTATTTGGATAAAAAAAGCTTTATTTATAATAGTTTTTTCCTTTTCTTGGGCATTTTCGGTCTAACACTCATGTAGGTGTAAGATAGGCCTACGTTCCCCAGGTATCAACATTTGTACTTACTGGTATCTATACAGTTGATTTGGATTTATTAAAAAAAGGCTTTATTCATCATAGTATTAGTTAACCCTTTTCTTAGACATTTTTGATCAAACACTCAGGTAATTAAAGGTGTGAATAGATAAATATAAGACCTTCCCCAGATATCTACCAGATTTAGATTTATAGCCAGCGACTTCCGCTCACGAGAAGAGGGTTGTGTCAACAAAATGCTTAGGGATGCAAACCTCTCACCGCTCAAATAACGCCGACGCACGCTACGTCTTGTGATATTCTATAAAGTGGTCGAGGGGAAAATACCATCATTGCCCCCCCCCCCCAAGAATTTCTTACACCAATTGGAAATAAACGCAGGATTAAGACCCGAGATTTCAGTGACTTTGACCATCAAAACCATGTAGAGAAGTTCTCGTTCAACAATTCCAAATGCTTTAAAATCCAAACAGCTAAAACATCACCCTTTAGAAACTCGTTCTTTATCAAAACAACTTTAGACTGGAACCACCTACAAGATACATCAACGCATTGCACCACTGTTGAGAGCTTCAAAGAAACCCTCACACTCCTTTCCGGCGCACTATATGTCCAGCAGGACCCTGCGCTGTATACCCACAGATACAGATACAGACCCTCCATATGGGCATATCTACATTAATTTCCAGTATTACATCTGTTTTGGGATTTTATATAATAGTTTACCGTTTTTTGGCATTTTCGGTCCCACATCAAGTAGGTGTGAAGAGATTTAATACCTTCCCAACATATCTACCTTTCCAATATTATGGATGATTTGGAAGTTTTGAAAGGGCTTTATTTATAGTATTTGGTCATTTTCGATCAAATATTCAAGTAATTAATAATATGTAAATAAGCAACACCTTTCCCAGATATTTACCTTATATAAACGGCTAGTTTTATAACTCACCTGAATGGATCCAATCACCTGTAATTACAACCAAACGTTTGACAATGTATCATCTATCTATATCTTGTTATTATTGGCTGTCGCCATTTTCCCTGCCTTTGACCTAGTTTATTATTGACAGTCGTTAAATTAGTCTAGACCAACCGATAAACCCAGGTGTGACAGTAGTGCACAGGTACGGGGGAGATTTGAAATCTTATTGTAAAACCAGAACTTCTTTCATTTTTCCTGCTATTTCGGCTTTCTAATGTTAGCTAGCTAGGTTGCACCCGTCGACATATGCCAAAATATACGAACAGATTTCCCTAGAATCTCTCACTAATGTCCGAAAATTTAGTCATTTTTTTAGTGATAAAACATTTATCAGGTACATTTTCCCACATTATGGGAGATTAGATAAAGAGCTGACAGTTGAACCATGACTCCCAGGCACATTCTCAGTCCACCTGTGCTAGTCTTATTACAGTGTTTCTCAACAAGTGTGCCGCGGCACACCTGGGTCTTCCTAAGTGTGCCGCGAAATTTGAACGGCATACTAAGAAAATGAGAAAAACCACCGGCACCTTTGTTTGAGTCTCTAAATTGGCTTACAATCTACCAACGCATTCAATATAACCAAGGAATGCTCACTTTCAACATTCTAAGGGACAAATTACCATCATATTTATATAACACATTCTGTGAAAATTCTAAATTGACCGAAACTACCATGACATTGAGATCAGAGAGTCAACTTAAATTAGCAATTCCAAAAAGTAAGAAAAAGGCAATGACAAGAACATTCCAATATACCGCCTCTGTACTCTGGAATTCACTACCTCAAATACTGTGAAACATGCGTCTTCAAGTTTTATCTTCAGAAAGGAGTAAGTAAAACACGTTAAATCTTTGAACTCTTGTTAATTTCTGTTGTCCTCTGAATGTATGTTTATTTGCCCTTTTTTTTCTTTCTTTATTGTTTGTTTGTTTGATATTTCTTTATTATAAGCTTATATAATATGATATATATACACTTTGTAAATATTATTACTGTGTAGTTGCTAGTTTTATAGAGTAGGAGGGACATGTTGAAAATTAGAAATGAAATGAAATGAAATGGAGTTTAACGTCCTACTGTTCTGCTCCTAACCTGGGCTAATGAAGACGGGCATACGCCATACAGTGTGCTATAAGGGAAATTTTGCCCGGACAGCGGCACTACGGCCTACTCTTATATCGAATTCCAACTGCCAAGGGATCTTTTACGTGCACGCCAATGTGTACACGGGACCTCGGTTTTTCGTCCCATCCGAACGACTAGACAGCTTTTCCTTGTCAGCCCCTCCGTCCTGCATCACTGACAAGGGAGAACCACGCCGGAAAATCTGGATGAACTTTCTCGGCCAATGCAGGGATCGAACACCCGACCTCCAGGCTAGCGAGCTAGCGTCTTACCCACTTAGCCACGTGATCCCCCTGAAAATTAGAACTCATGTACTAAATATTTTCCCTCAGAAAATAAAGTCATTATTATTATTATTATTATATTCACTTGGGATCACTGATAAGTTCCTAGCCGTGTTTTCTTTTTTTAGTTTGAGTCATTCTATGTGTCTATGACTAGTCTTTGTCTACAGTTGTATGATCCGTCTGACTTACCATGTTTGTTTTAGCAAAAAATTCAAATATTTTTCATATATATTAGCCAGGTGTGCCGCTATTTTTTCATGTGTTCCAAGGTGTGGTGTTAGCAAAAAAGGTTGACAACCACTGTCTTAGTACAAAAGCAAATAAAAATTGAAAAGGATAAAAGTATTTTATTGGTCAGAAATTATACAATAAACAAGTGAAATAATAACAAGTTTCTATATGAAGCAAGATTACAACTTATTTACATTATAAATAGTAACAAAGTGGAAAAACCCATTTTAGACATTTTAAGCATCTATATCTCTCCAGGAGTCCAGTCTACATTGTCCTCACTTTGAATACAAGAAATAGTGTTCTGAACATTTTGTTAATTCGTACAGCAATCTTATCAAAATACAGATCTATATTTCGTTTCGGTTTTTTTATATTTTCGATGGCCTACACTATATGAAGATCTGACCGGTTGTAGTGGAAGGTTGTGTCAGGGGTCGTACAAGTGGCTTTGATTAATCAATCAGCGTTGACGTTTCTAGTGGTTTACCCACAGTTCCGTGCATGGCACGCCAAGAAGTCGTCGTAACAGACCTTTTCATTGGCTTATCACTTCAACCAAAAAGTCGGTAAAATAACAACTCTTCCGTTCCTGGTGTAGTAAAGACAAGTAAAATGAAATTTTGAACTATAAAAAACGAAACGAAATAGGATCTGTGTTTTAATCAGATTGTTCGTAGGGTTTTACATCTGCTTCCACCTTGGGTGATATCGCAGACAAAGTTCTGAACAAAATAGTGTGGCGTTGAGCCCACCTGTATAAAAAATTTGTTCTGAACTGAACAAAATTGAGCACATTTTGATACAGGTAGGATCGAAACCACACTATTGGACTGGTTTGATTTATTTCATAAGGCCAACTTCAAGCTTGGTCAAAGGTCACAATATGTAAACATGGCTAGCACTTACCCTAACCTACAATCTCACCAACAATCATAGGCCCTAACCTTATTTACATCTCAGCAACCATGACGAAATCTTGAGTTGGCCTTAAGAATTAGATCAAGCCTATTTGACTCGATGTCAGACCGTAAAATCTAAAGCATCACAATTGCTGCTATTTGTTGTGGCCAAAGGGGAGATAATTTCGACTGATTTTAATCAGGACTAACATATTTATATATATATCGACACCTGCTAAATGATTGGAATGATTGAGATTCTGGAAGCATGGTTTAATATATTCAATTACTGAAGTTGTACTTGAGGTGAAATTGTATAAATATATAGAGAGAAATGAGGTTTAACGTCCACTTGATACAAACTAGGTCATTTCGGGACTAACACATGATTAAATTTTATTTCAATAAATTGCTTGAGCATAGGGGTCTTTAGCATTAGGAAGAACCCTGGAGAAAACCCTCAATGATGGACAGATGACCCTATAGAACAATGATGGACAGATGACCCTATAGAACAATGATCTGAAATACTGCTAAACTATGGTGAGTGATCGGGCAAACTTAGTTTTGCTTAAACTGTTCCTTGTCGAACCTGAAAATCCCCAATGGTTTTTCTAGGACCATGCCATCTTTCGATTAAAGGACAATCTAGCATACATTTAACTGGCGTAAGCGGACAATACGCATAACGATTTTAAAATAAACAAATTATAAGTTACATAAAGACAAAGATTTGGAAAGACAAATTACCACATTAGATGAATGTCCAAACACCATTGCAATTTAAGTTATTAGAAATTAATTATTTCAGGAGAGAGGTTTTACATGGGCTAAGTCTGTTCCTCAATCCCATTCAGATGTCCTGAATAAAATTATTTTTTAAAAAAAAAAGTTCACAAGTATAAATTAATTCATCTATGAGTATAGATTAATTAGCTCATGGATATAAATTAATTAGCTCATGAGTATAAATTAATTAGCCCACGAGTATAAATTAATTAGTTCATGAGTATAAATTAATTAGTTCATGAGTAAAAAATTAATTAGCTCATGAGTATAAATTAATAAGCTCATGAGTAAAAATTAATTAGCCCATGAGTATAAATTAATTAGCTCATTATTATAAATTAATTAGCTCATGAGTATAAATTAATTAGCCCATGAGAATAAATTAATTAGCTCATGAGTATAAATTAATTAGTTCATGAGTAAAAATTAATAAGCTTATGAGTATAAATTAATAAGCTCATGAGTAAAAATTAATTAGTTCATGAGGATAAATTAATTAATTCATGAGTATAAATTAATTAATTCATGAGTATAAATAAATGAAATACAAAAAAAAGCATATAAATGTGGACAGAAATACAAATAAAATGAAAATATAGCAGGCAAGATCGACATGGTTAAAAATATAATTGTGAGTATGAATTAACGAAATACATAAAAAGAATGACAGAATATAAAAATTATAATAAAAAGAAAGCTCATATAGACATAAATATCATGACAAAAAGCTTATCTGACAAGCAAGATAGACTTTTTTGACCCCCACCCTCCCCTCCACAAACACTTTCAATTGATTTGAAGAAAATAAAATAATCAAGTAAAAATGCAATTGATTATTTGTATATTATTCGGCCATATTAAATTTAGGACACATTTATAACAAATGCTACAGACAATGCATTAGCTTAATCCATTTCGGGATCAACACATGGAAAATAAGCCATTTTTACATTTTACATGCCATACCGTAGAATTAAAAAAGACTGCTGGTCAAAGATTGCAGTCCGTCAACAGTGTCATATTAAGGCAGGGCTAGCCCCCTTTCCCCCCTCCCCCCCACCTTTGGCCATTAATTTTATTTATTAGTTTGCAAGCCACACCAAACTACAGGCAGAATTCATAAAAGTATACTAAAAGCACAAAATATTAGCTCTGTCTGTGGTCAAAATTTTTAACAGATATTTATAGATGCAAGACAATTAAAACAAAACTTCTGTGGTTAACCCCAACCAAAGAGATCTAGTCAATTGGACCTAAAATTTTAATTAGAAATGGATACCTATAGATGCAAATCAACCAATCAAATATAAATAAAACTATACTTCAAATTCGTTATTTACCCAAACCAAAGAGATCTAGTCAATTGAATTGCCATAAAAATTTACAAGACAACCGAGGAAACACAAAAACAAAGGGGCCTTATTCATGAACGCTTAAATTAAAATAAAAAAAAATATTTCAAGAATATAGATTTTTCATATCTAGCCATATCTTCGCTTTCAGCCAATCAACAGGCATCATTCTTAAAATATTTTAGTTTAGGTTTTCAGGAATAAGTCCCCAGGGTCCCTATTCACAAAGACTTAAACTTAAATATTTTAAGAATACTGATAGCTCATTGGCTAAAAATTAAAAGCATAGAACAAATTTTAGTTCTTGGCCAATTAAAAAGCTGCATTCTTAAACTGTTTATTTAAAACATTTTAGTGAATACGGCCCCAGGAATACAGGACAGTATATTGTATATATAGAAAACAATATATACACTAGAATCTAACAGGACACAAGTCTATATAGTACAATTACACATAGTTTAATGCTTGAGTGCCAGACATTAAGTAATATATTGATATTGCACGAGTGCGTTTTCAGCACGAGGGCTATATCTATCATTAAACAACTTAAAATATGGACACTATCAAGCGAGGTTGGACAGGCAACCCTACTCCTTGTGATTAGAAGAGAAGCCTAGTGGAAACATCGTCCAGTAATAACAAACCAGTAATTGTTGTCAATGGAATTGTGTCCTGTGTATTTTCAGTTCAAATACTAAATGTCATTGAAACACTAGAATAGACGAGATCACCAAGTCCTCTGATAGTAACGTAATATTTTAATAACATTTTAGCGGCATTCAATAACTAGATAGAGCAATAAACTATAACAACTGGCATGGAAAAACAATTACAAATTTAGCAGGGGGTATATATTGGTATATAGGGAATGAAAAAATATAAACAGGGGTATGTATTGGTATATAGGGAATGAAAAAATATAAACAATCAAAAAAACACACAACTCTAGAAAGAAAAATATATCATCGGTGAAGTGTAAAAAGGGTGTATCTAAGAATTTCTAAAGATTAAGAAATAGAACCATTTGCATTTCAAAATTTCCACAAATCAAGATACAACATTTAGACACATGATACCTAGAGATACACAGCTTAGACAGAAATGTGCATATTAATTGGGAGATTTTAAAAATGCAAAAAAGGGTACTTGACTAATTTCCAGAGATACACCCTTTTGACACTTCACCGACGATATAAAACAACTACAATCAGATTAAACACAGATCCTATTTTGTTTCGTTTTACTTGTGTTCACTACACCAGGATCTGTTAAAAACAAAGCAAAAGTTGTGTTTCTGAATATTCAATTGAAACAGAGAGAGAGAGAGAGAAATGGGGTTTAAAGTCCACTCGACACAAACTAGGTCATTTCGGGACTATTGAAACAGAGAATCTGACTGGTTAATTGAAAGTCACTTGTATGACTCTGAGGTGACTTGCCACTACAACTGGTGAGATATTATGTAGTGGACGCTGTCCAAAGTATAAAAAAAAAATGAAACAAAATAATAGATCTGGGGCCTGTTTCACGAAATTTTAACTAAGATAAAATCCAAATTTTAGTAATTTGATTGGATAATATTAGATTAATTTTAGTGCTTAGCCAATCAAAATTGAAGTATCTATTAAAATTTGGATTTTATCTTTAGTTAAGATTTCAATAAACAGGGCCCTGAATTTTAATCAGATTGAAAATAACTATTGTCAATATACAGGGATATAATCTCCTAGAATTAAACATGCATTATACAAGAGCTAAATCTGTCTATTGCAGATCTTTCTTTAGGCCTGAAATGTTATCTAAATTATTAATTATACATTAATTAACTTATCCAGGACATAATCAACTCTAGATGGCAGCGCTAGCCTGCGATCTTTAGTGGATTGTGAGCCGATTTACTGCATAACTTTCCTTCTCGATTTAACGATTAAATGGATAATCGAGACTATGTTGTTTATTGTACTGACTTTAGTAATGATGACCGAGGCTATGGGGAAATTTCAGTCGCTTAGTTCTCGGTTCATTGTGGATCAATTTGAGTGAAATTTTCAGCAAATTGCCTTTACATTATTTAGTTTTAAACTATTATAGTGAGAACTGCCAACTCGTTACCGAATCTCCCATAATGTATCTTTAATATAAACTATACATAAATCAACAAGATCCCTTTTTGCTCCCCTCCATTTATTAACCCATTTCATTAATTCCTACTTAGGGCTTAGCGTCCATTTCCACCAACGGTGATATCCCTTTTCTAGGGAGAACAAAATTTATCATAAATCAACAAGTTCATTGTTTCTGCCGATCGTTTCCACAGAGAGTGATATCCCGTTTCTAGGGAGGGCAAAACTTATCATAAATCAAGTTCCTGGCTTCTGCCGTCCATGTATTAACCCATTTCATTTGGCTGTTCATTTGGCTTAACATTATGTAAGATTTAGATAAAGAGCTGGCCGTTCTCGCTATAATATTTCAAAAATAGATAATGCAAAATGAATATTTTGAAAATTTCATTCAAATTACTTTATTTTGAGCAAAGTTCTCAATGGTTGTAGTTTTGACAAGTGCACTGATCGTAACAACCGTACTGGTCATTCAAATCTTAGCCTCGCTTCTCCATTCTTAAATTAAATCATTTAATGGCCAACTGTTCTAATCTACTTAAAATCTGGGCCATCAGATGGCATCGAGAGTTGATTATATGGTTCTTGTCATGTTAATAAATGTCTAATTAATAATTTACATAACATTTAAGACCCAAATAAAGGCCCGCAATAGGCAGATTTAGCTCTTACATAGTTCCTGTTTAAAACAAGAAGACAATCTGACCAGATAAAAATGTTTAAGTGAAAATATGTATTTAAATAAAGAAAGTATTTTGAACACACTCTTTTATAATAATGAAAATGTTCAGGTTGAAAATCTATTTGAATAAATAAAATCTTTAGACTATTTATCAGGATTAGCTATTATCTTCCATGCACTTAGAGCATGCAATATGGATGGAGTGAGCGCAATCATAAATGTACATTATTATTATTGATAAAGAAAATGTTTTAATTAAAAATGCACTTAAGAAAAAATAATTAAAGTCGATTCAGAGATTGCATCCCTCTATCGTACTAAGGTTAACAACTGGAATGATAATAAACAATAAATGATAATGAATGAATGTTCTCACCATCATTGATGAAGCATCTGGGTTGGAATGGAAAGTGGAATGGAATGGAGAAAGAAAGAGAGAAAAAAGGGGGTTTAATGTCCACTTGACACAAACCAGGTCAATTTGGGACTAACATATGGTACAATATTATCTCAATAGTTCGCTTGAGCATAAGGTTCTTTTCTAGTGACTGGAAACCTGATGACCCACAGAAAACCCATGAGGTTGAACAGGCCATCCTAATCCTCGTCACGTACAAGCTTAGGGGCCTTATTATCTAAACTAAAAAAAGTAAGCATAATTAGTATCCTGGTGTTGATCCAACGGAAATCTCTACACCGTTAAACAGGCCTGGGATCGAACCCACACCATATGACTCATGGAGAGATCTTACAATCTAAAGCATGATCGATCACCCAACCCTCGTTAGGAATGGGTTTAACATTTTGTTTCAGAATTTCTAACAATGCTGGCTAGATATTAATGCTGGAAATATGTTAATTTAAAAAAAAAAACATTTCTTCCTGTAAAAGAATTGACTTATGGAAAGTTCCACAAGCTATCATAATATACCACAAGCAAATCTGTAGTGTCATCAAAAAAAAGACAAAAAGTAGGAAAATCAAATGAAAATACAATAAACACTAAAGATAAATAGAAAAAAATAAAAATTTGCATAGATAATTATATAAAGCCACTTTCTTAAAAAAGAAAAAAAAAACAACAACCGTTCAAAACACAAGGCATGACATATTTACAAGTAACAGGAAGAGGTATTTTAAAATACTGGCAATGCCATGAGGAACAAAGTTTTATTGGAAAAGCTGCAATATTTTAAAAATAAATTTTTCACAAAGTACACGGGCCTGGCATTATGCAATCTGATTAAAATACAGATCTATATTACGTTTCGTTGATTAACCAATCAGCGGTGATGTTTCTAGTGGAATACCCACAGTTCCATGCATCGCTGCAACAGACCATTTCATTGGCTAATCCCTTACTTCAACCAGAACGCGGGTTATATAACAACTCTTCTAGATCCTAGTGTAGTAAAGACTAGTAAAACAAAATTTTAAACTACAAAAAATGAAACGAAATAGGATCTGTTTTTAAATCAGATTGGGCATTATGGAAATAACGGTTTTAGCTATACCTGACAAAATAACAGGAATTACTGAACTAGTACGTTACATGTATTAATAACATCAAATACCTTCTTTGAGCAGTATTTAGCAACTGACACACGTAATATTTGCTTGATAACGTTGACAGAACCGTCAACGGAACGTTGCTTTAATTAAAATAGTAATATTGTTACATATAATATTTTTGTGTTTATTTATCGAATACACCGCAAAAATACAAATCAGTACCTGATAAAATATCAAATACACCACAAAAATACAAATCAGTGCCTGATAAAATGTCTGTACCAGAGGGAATACAAATCAGAGCCTGATAAAATATCAAATACCCAGAAAAAATACAAATCAGAGCCTGATAAAATGTCTGTACCAGAGGGAAAGAGCCTGATAAAATGACTGTAACAGGGAAAGAACCTGATAAAATGACTGTAACAGGGAAAGAACCTGATAAAATGACTGTAACAGGGAAAGAACCTGATAAAATGACTGTACCAGAGGGAATGAGCCTGACAAAGTCTGAATTGATGCCTGACATTGTCTGTGACTGGTGCTTTATTCCCAGGTCTCAAGAAAAAGCTAACAACTGTCAGTAGTTATGATATAAATAACCAATTTGTGCTGAATAATGATAATATATGCTATTGGAAATTTAAAAGCTGTATTGGTACACCTTACTGAGAATATCCAATAAGAGTATGCATAGAGCACTGTTCTTAATCCGCTGTTTGCTGATAAATGTTTAATCTAGCCGATTGGTAAAACAATGAACCAGCCACTATGTTATTATCATAAATCAATCTACTTTCAGTTAAATTACAATGAGTTAAATTGATTATTACTTGTTCATTAAGAATTCAATCAACTTGCTTGTCGGGTACATCAACAGCTTATATTAATTATTAATATTAATGCATGCATATATACTGCTTGTTTAATGGCAAAATGTATATTTGCTAAGGGCCATATTAACGAATATTCAAACCAAAACATTTTATATTCAGCATTTTTTATTGGCTGCGAAATAAAGTCCTAGTAAAAATTGTATCCAATGAAAAGGTGTCATTTTTAAATCATTTTAGTTTAAGACGTTGTGAATAAGGTCCATGTATTTTAGTTTAAAATGTTGTGAATAAGGCCCATGGTATTTTAGTTTAAGATGTTGTGAATAAGGCCCATGGTATTTTAGTTTAAGATGTTGTGAATAAGGCCCATGGTATTTTAGTTTAAGATGTTGTGAATAAGGCCCATGGTATTTTAGTTTAAAATGTTGTGAATAAGGCCCATGGTATTTTAGTTTAAAATGTTGTGAATAAGGCCCAGTTATCAAAAGCATTTCTAGAATAACATGACTATATTTTATGATAGTTTTTAATAATAAACATATGTAGTGAAATTATAACAAATTATAACAAAAAAATATTTCACTAAAAAATTAGAATTTTTCAGCATGCAGTTTGACCAATAGGTAGATTACTGAACTAAGCATTTTCAATGCTAACTGAACAAAATGAATAATGAAAATCCTGTCTTTTTATACAGAAAAACCCAATAAATACTAAATAGCACTATGTAATATTTTGCTATCAATTTGCCATTCTTGATTAATTACATGCCTTACAACCAATTGCACAAGGTTCTAATAATAAATAATATGATAATATCCCTGGAATTTCTTCTGTTTTCTTCTATTTCAGGGATGCCTGCATCTCAAATAACATTCGTTGAATTTCATCAAATTGAGCCTCGATTTCACTTGAAGGTCTTCCTCCTGATTCTGACAAAAGAAAACCACGAAATTTCAAATCTACATTATAACAAAATATTATTTAAATTCACAATTTAAATTCCTATTTTAAATTCCTATTTCAAAATCTGCAGAAAGCTGTGCGTGGCATTCTTGTCAAAAGAGGAAAAACTGGCAGTGTGCTCTTATTTCGAATTCCACTGTCAAGCGTTCATTTATGTGCATGGAAACCTATCCATGGGACTTTGGTTTTTCCTGCCATTGTATGACTAGATACTGTTACTTGCAAGGCCTTCTGTCCTGCACCACTATTAACTTGACAAGGAGAAACCACACTGGAAAATCATGAGGAACGTTCTTGGCCAATACTCAGATCAATGGGAGATAGAGAGGGGGTTTAATTCCACTCAACACAAACTAGGTCATTTTGGGACTAACACATGGTTCAATTTCCTTTCAATAATTTGTTAGCGCGTAGGAGTCTAGCCGTGGAAGCGGGGAATCGAAACCATGCCAGTTGACTCAATAACAGGCCTTATGATCAAACGTGCACTTGTTTAACCATTCAGCGCCACCCTCCATCAAAAAGAGAGAGAGAGAGAGAGAAATGGGGTTTAACGTCCACTCGACACAAACTAGGTCATTTCGGGACTAACATATGGTTTAATTTTATTTACATAATTCGCTTGCGGTGGGAGGAAACCGGAGGACCCAGAGAAAACCCACGAGGTTGGACAGGCGACCCTACTCCTTGTCACGTACAACCGGGGATTCGAAACCACCCCAGTCGACTCAATGACAGACTTTATGATACAGCGCGCGCACACTAACCATTCAGCCATCCAACCCCCCTTCATCAAAAAGAAGTAAATATAGAAGAATTATGTACTTTCGTTTTTTAAAGTTCAAAATTTCGTTTTACTTGTCTTTACTACACTAGGATCTGGAAGAGTTGTTATCATTGACATGTTCTGAATGGTGTGAGAGATTAGCCAATGAAACGGTTTGTTAATCCACTAGTGGGTAATCCACTAGTAACATCAATGCTGATTGGTTAATCAAATGTCTTACGTCATAGGTCAAAAGCCGCTCGTGTGACCTCTGACGCGACCTATCGCTACAACCGGTCAGATCTTCATGTAGTGTAGGCCATCGAAAGTATATAAAAAAAACAAAACAAAATATAGATCTGTATTCTAATCAGATTGGTACTTACTAATAGTAATAACTTGAGGTGCCAATATATGAATATCTGTATTCTCTATACTATAAACTAATATCTGCCATGACCCAGCTGTAGAATACAAAATACACATCATTATTAGTTAATAGACAAAAGATATAGAGAAAGATAGAGATATGGAGAGAGAGAGAGAGAGAGAGAGAGAGAGAGTTTAACCTCCACTCAACACAAAATAGGTTATTTCGGGACTAACACATGGTTCAATCTTATTTCAATAAATCGCTTGTGCATAGGGGTCTTTAGCAGTGGGAGTAAACCGGGGGACCCGGAGAAAACCCACACGGTTGGACAGGCGACCCTACTCCTTGCCACATACAATCGGGGAATCGAAACCACACCAGTTGACTCAATGACAGACTTTATGATACAGCACGCAAAATGAAGACGGGATGTGCCATGCAGAGTATTATGAGGGATAGTTTGCCCAGACATCGTTGCTGGGGTCTACCGGTACTCTTATTACAAAAACCAACTGTCTGGGATGTGATCTATGACCCAAAATCTAAGCAGATGAATTGCGTAAGTAGGGTTGAATACTGGCAGTTTCACTATATTCTACAACATTTCAAAATAAAATAATTCAAAGAAGATTAAAAATATCCAAGCATCTTAAATTAGCTAATCACATTACCCTGTGATAGAATTTTCAGGTTTAGAAAACAAGATTAAAATACCTTTGGTTATGGTGATATTATCAAAGATGGCTACAGAAGCTTCGTGAAGTGTACTGGGAACCAGATTTACACTAGTTACACCTTTAATTACCTCATCACCTACAGGTAAATATTCATAACATATTCAAATTCTTCAAAGGGGCATTAGGTAAGATTAGATAAAGAGATGACAGTTCTCGTTATACTAGTTAAAAAATAGATAATGAAAAGAGAATATGCTGAAAATTTCAGTCAAATTACTTAACTCTAGATATTAACGATACAATTATAGGCTAGACTCAATTATCATTTCTACTGTTGCTACGATAATAAACAGGCAGATTTAGTTCTTGCATAATGCATGTTTAAGTGGTATTTTAGTAATTGATGGGCAATAACAAAACACATTTATATGGATAACAATTACTGGTTTATCATACATGTGTACGTTAGGCAGTGCCATACCCACCAGAGAAAAATGCTGTAATGGGTATGTAAAAAATTTCAGGGTAAATAGCAATACTTATAGAAAACATAGCTTGATAACGTGAGGAAATATTATATAATTATAAGAAAGAAGTGTTGTAAAGAGGTTCATTGGATAAAAGTAGAAGAAAAAGTGTTGTAATTTAGGGGGGGGGGGGTAAATATAAGATAGAAGTGCTGTAATTTGGGGGGGGGCGATTATAAGATAGAAGTACATTAATTGGGGAGTGTGGAGAGATTATAAGATAGAACTACTATAATTGGGGGGGGAGGGAGGCATTATAAGATAGAAGTGCTGTAATTGGGGCATGGGGGGTGGGGGGTAATTATAAGGTAGAAGTGCTGTAATTAGGGGGGGTGGGGGGGTGGGGGAGAGATTATACGATGGAAGTGCTAAAATGGGAATTATAAGGTAGAAGTGCTGTAATTAAGGGGGGGGGGGAGAGATTATAAGATAGAACTACTATAATTGGGGGGGGAGGGAGGCATTATAAGATAGAAGTGCTGTAATTGGGGCATGGGGGGTGGGGGGGAATTATAAGGTAGAAGTGCTGTAATTAGGGGGGGTGGGGGGGAGAGATTATACGATGGAAGTGCTAAAATGGGAATTATAAGGTAGAAGTGCTGTAATTAAGGGGGGGGGGGGAGAGATTATAAGATAGAACTACTATAATTGGGGGGGGGGGAGGCATTATAAGATAGAAGTGCTGTAATTGGGGCATGGGGGGTGGGGGGGAATTATAAGGTAGAAGTGCTGTAATTAGGGGGGGTGGGGGGGAGAGATTATACGATGGAAGTGCTAAAATGGGAATTATAAGGTAGAAGTGCTGTAATTAGGGGGGGTGGGGGGGAGAGATCATACGATGGAAGTGCTAAAATGGGAATTATAAGGTAGAAGTGCTGTAATTAGGGGGGGTGGGGGGGAGAGATTATACGATGGAAGTGCTAAAATGGGAATTATAAGGTAGAAGTGCTATAATTAGGGGTGGGGGTGGGGGTGGGGTGGGGAGAGATTATACGATGGAAGTGCTAAAATGGGGATGTATAAAATAAGAAGAGAGAAATGTGGACATTAGAAACTGACAAGGGGTGACAACTCTATTTTCATTGGGTTGTATAAAATTTGAAGAAAGAAGGGATTACTGACAGAACATACCAATGACCTTGACACAAACTTGACTAGATGCCATAGGATCACACTTTACACTGAACGCTGGAAGTGGTTGATTGGTAACACCACTTAACGCTGGTTCTCGTAACCAACTAATTTTATTTACTTTATATTCTGAAATGAAAAGAAGTAAAATGAATGGGGTTCTACTTTTCTGTACCAACCAGGCCCGAGTTCACAAAGCATTCTCAGGCTTAAGTTAAGAATCAACTCAAATTTGTTTGTTTTATTTTAACTAAAATATAGCCCTTTATAAAACTTTTGTTGTTTTAATATATCAAATACATCAATAAGAAACTATGTGCAAAGTTTTGTGTTTCTGGAACCAAGATATTTCTCAGAAACAGCGATTGAAAGTTGAGTAAATTCTTAACTTAAGTCTGAGAATTCTTTGTGAACAGAGGGCAAGTCAATAAAAATATCCGATGAACACAATGTTGAAACGGCAACCCTGCTACATCAAAATAAAAATGGAAACTTAAAAAATATGAAACATACCTTTTTGCCTAAATTCTTGTATAGTTGCATACAGACATAAATTATCCATTTCTTCATGTATAACTTCTCTTATGTCTTCCATTGTTAATTCTAACATTTTACTATAATTATTATAACCCTGTAATTAAAATATTTTACTATAATTATTTTAACTCTGTAATTATAACATTTTACTCTAATTATTATAAAAAACCAAATGGAGACAGACTTATAACCCTGTAATTAAAATATTTTACTATAATTATTTTAACTCTGTAATTATAACATTTTATAATTTTGCCCACACAGCACTACCCAGACACACCCTAATTTCGTTTTCAACTGTCAGGGATCTTTTAACAGGTTGTTAATTCAGTACCATCAGTAGGATTAGATGCTTTTCATTACCAGGCCCTGAGCCTGCAGTACTTACCTAGATTTCCAGAGAGAGAGAGAGAGAGAGAGAGAGAGAGAGAGGGTTTAACATCCACTTGACACAAACTAGATCTTTTGGGGACTAACACTTGATTCAACTTTATTTCAATAATTCACTTGCGCATCAGGGTCTATAGCAGTGGGAGGAAACCTGAGAACCCAGAGAAAACCCATGAGATTGGACAGCCTAGATTTCCAGGTTAGTGCTACTAAGTACAAGAGTCAATAAGAATGGGCCGATGACATCAATGATACAGGAAGCACAATTCAGTTCATGTTATTCAAGAATTTTGTCAGAATGACAACAACACTCACCTTATTTATAAAAGTATCAGAGTACTGAGCAAAACCAAGTTTATAAAATGTTTCTATAACACGACAATCAACACCATAGAGTTGTAGCCCTTGAAAACATATCGACTTGCCGCCATGATTGTCCAGAATATAAAATCTTAAATAACGAGTCTTAACAGAGAACTCAGAAAATGTCTGGGGTGTTCCTGGAATTGCAAACACAACAAAACTCATTATAATATATTTCATCAAATAATTTTTGAAATGTCTGGTTTGGTTATATTTTAAACCTCAGTGATTGTTTGGAGAGACATGAGTGGTACATGACAACATCCTAATTGGTTTAGGATGTTACAAGGGGACATGTGAATTGGTTATATTTTAAGTTTGGAGCCAGGGTGGCTAAGAGGGTAAGACGCTGACTCGCTAGCCCAGAGATATTTGCGACTGAATTTTAGGTGTAGCCTCGATCATCATTAATAAAGTCGGTACGATAAAAAAAACATAGTCTTCATTATCCATTTTTGGATTTAATCATATGATGGCATCGAGAGTTGATTATGGCCTTGTTTTGTTAATACATGTCTAATTAATAATTTCTATAACATTTCAGACCTAAAGAAATAGGTAAATAAAATGAAATAAAATGGGGTTTACCATCCTACTGTTTTGCTCCTAAACTGGGCTAATGAAGACAAGCATACGCCATACAGTGTGCAATGAGGGAAATTTTGCCCGGGCAGCGGCGCTACGGCCTACTCTTATATCGAATTCCAACTGCCAAGGATCATTTACGTGCACGCCAATTTGTACATGGGGCCTCAGTTTTCCGTCCCTACAAACGACTAGAGCTGTCCTTGTCAGGCCCTCCATCCTGTATCACTGACAAGGGGAAACCACGCTGGAAAATCTGGATAAACTTTCTCGGCCAATGCAGGGATCGAACACACGACCTCCAGGCTAGCGAGGCAGCGTCTTACCCACTTAGCCACGTGATCCCCAAAGAAATAGGTAGATTTAGCTCTTGCATAATGTTTGTGTAAATGAATGTATATAAAGAGGTGACAGATGTTGGATGAGATTATAAAATTTGTTACCGTCTACTTTGGGATCTTCGCTCCCCGATTGAACACACTGACCACTGAAGAACGTCATCCACGGGCCCCTGAAAGACAAATTAAAATATATTAAATGCTGCCCAACTGGATGATGTAAAAACGTTTTTGTATTTCAGATCCTTTTCAGATCAACAGATTCTATCTTTCAACGACTAATTGTAAATTTCAACAACTAAGGGATCTTTAATGCATACTTCACTTTGATATGTCTTGTCCCGTCAAAACAACAAGAGAAATGAAATGAGGTTTAACATCCTACTTTTCTGCACCAACTGGGCTAATGAAGAGAAACTTTCATTATCAGCCTACAGTAGGTGAGAACAAAACTTAGATTAGATGTTTCAGAAATGAAATGAAATGGGATTGAACATCCTCCTTTTCTGCATCGACTGGGCTAAATCCTCCCTCTCTGCACCGACTGGGATAAATCCTCCCTCTCTGCACCGACTGGGCTAAATCCTCCTTTTCTGCACCGACTGGGCTAATGAAAATGTACATACATCATGTAGTGTGCTATGAGGGCAGACAGCGGCATATCCACCTACTCTTTATCGAATTCCAACTATCAAGCGTTCTTGTACATGCACGCCAACATTTATACTGAATCATGTCTTCTTGTACCATCTGAACAAACAGATGCTGTTCCTTGCCAGGCCCTACACCAATGACAAGGGGGAGGGGAACCACAATGAAAAACAGAGTATCTTTCTTGACACACACCAGGATCAAACCTTGGATATTCTGGTTAGTGGACTATGACGTTATTCACTGAGCCACTTACTGTATATTGTCTGATGTCTGTAACTGAAATGTTTTCACCATCTGTGGACTATTCCTGTAAACAAACACATCAAATAAAGTAGAGTCATGGGGAAAGGGAGAGAGAGAGAGAGATGGGGTTTAACATCCACTCCACACAAACTAGGTCATTTTGGGACCAACATATGGTTCAATTTTATTTCAATAATTTGCTTGCGCGTAGGGGTGTTTAGCATTGGGAGGAAACTTGAGGACCCGGAGAAAACCCACGAGGTTGGATAATCGACCCTACTCCTTGTCACTTAAAACCGGGAATCGAAAATTGTCTCCACCCCAGTGTTTTACTTACTGAGACACAGCCGGCTCCATTAATTCTAGTATCTTTTTTGCGTAGTAGACCTCCTGGTTAGCCAGACACTGCCAGCTTAGCTAATTTTACAGTCTTTTGTCTTTTTACTTAGATATTGTTTAGCGTATATGAACACTTTGTTGAAAGACAGAGTAGCAAGGCCTACAGATTGGTATACAAGTAGTAATAATACATTGAAAGACACGACATATAAATGTATTTAATAATAATAATACTACTAATCAGGGCTCTGTTTCTCGAAATCTTAACAAAAGATAAAATCCAAATTTTAGTAGATACTTCAGTTTTGATTGGCTAAGCACTAAAATCAACCTAATATTATCCAATCAAATTACTAAAATTTGGATATTATCTTAGTTAAAATTTCGTGAAACAGGCCCCAGGTTAGCATGCCAAAACCTTGCAAGACTGATATACAAGTATCAATAATAATTACTATGGTCCAGCTGTCTAGTCCTTCATATGAGACGAAAAACTGAGGTCCCGTGTATACATTGGAATGCACGTAAAAGATCCCTTGGCAGTTGGAAGTCGATATAAAAGTAGGCGATAATGCCGCTGCCCGGGCAAAATTTCCCTCATAGCACACTGTATGGCAAATGCCCGTCTTTATTAGCCTAGCATAGCAGCAGAACAGTAGGATGTAAAACCCCATTCCATTTTATTTCATTTCAAAACCTCGCTAAACAAGTATCAATAATAATTACTGAAGTCACATGTGCAATGTTAGGGAGGAGCCTTTTGTCTCAACAGCTGCTTTTCCATCTACACGTCAAGGTATAGATGACATTAAAACCATTAGAGATAAACCTACCAGCCATATATGGTAATGCCGGTTATCATGTGGTCATACTGTAAATCAAGAACAGTCCATGCGTGGTGAACTTCTGGTATTACCCAAAACGTTTGATGATTATCTAAAGAAAAAGGAAGAATTATTTGTAATTACTGAATCAGGTACATCAACAAAATCAGTAACAATTTATTCATTACTGTGCAACGTTTCGACAAAGATACTCTTGTCCTTATTAAGCAAATGATAAATTTAATTGATAAAGACAATTGTATCTTCATTGCATAGTAATAAATTCAATAACTTTTAAATCAGGTGGTCAAGAAAGATTAAAATAGTTAAAAACAAGATAATGTAAAGGGAATTTGCTGAAAATTTCCGTCCAATTGATAAACCTTGAACCAAAAATTTAGCGATTGAATTTTAGGCCTAGCCTCGATCATCATTACTAAAGTCTGTACGATGAAAAACATAGTCCTGATTATTCATTTATTGATTTAATCACGAATGAACGCTGAGCAGCAGATTGGATTCTAATTCAGTAAATATCGTAGGCTACCGATGACATCAAGAGTTGATTATAGTCTGGATAAGTTATTTAATGTCTAATTGATAATTTATATAACATTTCAGGCCTTAAGAAAGACCTGCAATAGGCAGATTTAGATCTTGCATAATGTATGTTTAAGACAACTAGTACAATATATTTACCATCTATTGCATGTGTATTTGGGTTTTTCTCTGTACAACTGCTACAATACACCTCAGAGTTATCTGTCCATAGTTTATTACATGGCAACACAGGGTAATCTATAAATAAACAAATACAAAGGTTCAATCCCAGTCTTGGCCAGCCAAGAAAGTCTTTCATCGGTGAGTATTGAACTTGACAATAAAATATTGTTGAAAATTTGTGTATATTTAGTAATACTGCTAAAATTGTGAAAGCCTAAATGTCTTTTACGCGAGTCGGAATAATCGAATCAACACGTTTTTCCTAACCAACTAAAGAACTGTAAGGTTTCTTTGAGCAAACTACAATAACATAGGGATTATCGGTTAATCAGCTTTAATTATTCCACTTTGATCGTTGCCATTTCTAATATTTTCCAAAAAGAGTTTTCTTTGTACGCACTAATTTATCGATTGGTACTGCTATCTATGGCAAGCTTGTCTTGAATGCATGTCAACATGAAGTTTACGGATTATCGTTAAATAATTCTAGAGGCTTGTAAAAACAGTCCATGTCAAGTAAATATTTACTTTTGTTTATTTTTTTTTTGTGTAAGTCATTTTGAAATAAATTCTACAGCATATTATTCTTTTTTAAAAAAAATAAATTACTTTTACAGGAAACGATGATAAAGAACCGTAAGTGCGACTATGCTTTATCGTTTGGTAGTCTTTTAATAACCTCATCTTTCATGTTAATATTTTCTGTTGTTAATTGGCCTATTTCTAATAAATTCATCAGCTACTTTTTATATACATATTACAGATATAAAGAAATGAAACATTCTTTTCATAAACATTCAACATTGAAAATTTTGCAATTCCTTGAAAGATTTATACGGTGCATGATCCACAATTCCACGTGCTGTACTTGATTGCGAGCGGTAAATTTTACCGGCATTTTATTTTTTATAAAATCGCTTTTGGTTTATTATAGATTGATTTGACAATTGTGTTCAACCTTTCCTTTCAACTTATTCCCGAGTCCGAAACGTCACCTACCCGAGTCCATATTTTTTTTAGTCCGAAATGTTGTAAGTCCGCAATGATGCGGGACCGAAATGACATGTAATCGTACACATTGTTGTGTATGTAGAAGAACCCTAGCTTGACAATGGTATATGAGATATCCTTCAGAATAAAAATTGTACATCAAAAACTAAGTCAAGTTTGTTTCTACCCTAAAATTATTATATTTGTAAGCAGCAAAAGGCATAGCTACCATAACAGGTTGGTGTGTGTACAAAGTTTCAAATTGAGATCTTGAACGGTTTCTGAGTTATGCTTCACAAACATGAAGAATGGAAGAATGAAAGGGAGGAAAGACGGAGCTGATTTCAATATCCCTTCCTATCTTCAATCCATAGAATAAAAAGAGAAAGCGAGAAATGGAGTTTAACATCCACTCGACACAAACTAGGTCATTTCTTGACTAACATATGGTTCAATTTTATTTTAATAATTCGCTTGCACGTAGGGGTCTTTACCAGTGGGAGGAAACTGAAGGACCCATGGGAAAACCCACTAGGTTGGACAGGCGACCCTACTCCTTGTCACATACAAGCCGGAATCGAAACCACACCAGTTGACTCAATGACAGACCTTATCGTTAAAGCCCCTAATAGGATAACAAAGAAAGAGATAAAAACAGTACTTACTAATGCTGATATCTTTAGATATATTCTGCATCTGACTAAGGTTGGTAAATTTGGGTATTTGTGGTGGAGCAGAAGATAAATCTAGAAAAGATAAATTAATGAATGATAATAAATGTTATTGGATATAGAGAGAGAGAGAGAGAGAGAGAGAGAGAGAGAGAGAGAGATTTAACGTCCACTCGACACAAACTAGGTCATTTCGGGACTAACATATGGTTTAATTTTATTTCAATAATTTCCTTGCGCGTAGGGGTCTTTAGCAGTGGGAGGAAACCGGAGGACCCGGAGAAAACCCACGAGGTTGGACAGGCGACCCTACTCCTTGTCACGTACAACCGGGGATTCGAAACCACGCCAGTCGACTCAATGACAGACTTTATGATACAGCGCGCGCACGCTAACCATTCAGCCATCCAACCCCCCAGAGAGAGAGAGATAGGGTTTAAAATAAACTGACACAAACTAGATCTACAATAGGCAGATTTAGCTCTTGCATAATGCATGTTTAATATTAATGTTGTTTTACCTTTGATTAGTTGAGCAAATTTTCTAGCGGTAGGTAAAGGTAAATCTTTGATCATATTCTCTGGTACCTAAAAAAAACAACATGGTTTTAAAAATATTTCCTTTCCTGTATTACGTCTTACGTTGAGAGAATACTCTTTGAAACGTCGCTGAATTAAATCAGTAATTGTTCTTCCATAATTATGTGTTATAGTTTATTGCTCTGTCCAGTTACTAGATGTTTCTAAAGCAGGGGTGTCTAAACTTATTTCGATTCAGGGCCCACATGAACTAAAATATTACATCAAGTGGGTCACAGTTATACAAACATCCTTGAACCTTACTGAATTCTAAAAACAAAGCCAAACACCCTTGACACAAGTAATTATTCAAACATTGTTAAAATATAGACTAAATATAGACTATTTTTTACCTGTAAGGCCTGAGTGTAACATTGTTAAAATATAGACTATTTTTTACCTGTAAGGCCTGAGTGTAGCATTGTTAAAATATAGACTAAATATAGACTATTTTTTCACCTCTTTAAGGCCAAATTGTGGCATTGTTAAAATATAGATAATTTTTTTCACCTCTCTAAGGCCTGATTGTAGCATTGTTAAAATATAGACTATTGTTTACCTCTCCCAGGGAATTTTTTAAATTTGGAGATCCACCAAACTTTAATAAAACTTCAAACACGTTGATTCTAAAATATAAAGGGAAATAGTATAATATATTGTATCTGTATTATATTTTTAAGATATTGCCACCAGACAATGTAACATACCCCAAATAGTAAACTTGATATAAAAAAATAACTCTGAGGCCTATATTCATGAAAACTCAAATATCTTAAGAATACAGCCTATTCATTGGCTGAGCACTACAACCGTAGCTACAGTCGATGACAAATCTGAATACAGCCTGTTCATTGGCTATAAGGACTACAATCATAGCACTCATTTTAACTCTCAGCCAATGAAATGGTGTTTAACGTTCTACTGTTTTGCGCTGATTGGGCTAACAAAGACGGACATTCGCCATACAGTGTGTTGTGAGAGAAATTTTGCCCGGACAGTGGCGCTAAGGCCTACTCTTAAATCAAATTCCAACTGCCAAGGGATCTTTTACGTGCATGCCAATGTGTACACGGGACCTCAGTTTTTCGGCCACCTGACCATCTCGACAGCTGTCCTCGATGAACTTTCTTGGCCAACACCGGGAGCGGACATGCCAGCCAGCGTCTTACTCACTTAGCCACTATGGCTCCCTCAGCCAATGAAAAAGTTGAATTGTTAAAAGGCTCTGGTCTGAAGAATGGTAACAAATGTACAGATTGCGTGTGGTAATGACAATAGTCTGGATAATCCTAAGGAACATTCTTCGGTCAACACTGGAACCGAACCCAGGACTGTCTGTTCAACGAACTTTGTTCCCAGATTATACACTCAGTATAATCTATTGACAACTCTATAACACCAATCATGAGATTATGTGACTTCAATACGTGGATTCAATACGTGTGCATTATTCTGTACAGGCTTTAGAATTTCTTAGTTACATAGCGGAGGTTGATCATAGTCATGTTTGAAAATTGGCTTTTTAAAAAATGCACTATTTTTCTGGCGTGCAAAATGACTAATGGGTCAGATCTAGTTTCGGTCATTTTCCATAGCCCTCAGTCTCAACCGGAATATATGGCCGACAAGGAACCCATGGCCCAGAACCAACGTGGTTCCCTTTCCCACATGAGCAATTACTATATATATAGAAACATGTCTCTAGTTGCATACCTGTAAAATCTAACCGCTTCGTGCATTGGACCCGAACCAGATATTTCACTTATAGAATTCGGTGATATGCCATAATTCAACAGTAGTTCTACGACATTATTATTACCCCTTATCGCTGCAGCAACTATCGCATGAGTATTATTCGTTCTCTTTTCATCGAAATCCAAGAGAATTGAAACAGCGTCTGGAACACAACGATAAATCAGATGGTGAATCAATTAATAATAATGAGAGAGAGAGAGAGAGAGAGAGAGAGAGAGAGAGAGAGGGTTTAACATCCACTTGACACAAATTAGGTTTATTTCGGGACTAACATATGGTTCAAGTTTATTTCCATAATTCGCTTGGGCGTAGGGGTCTTTTATAAGTCGCGTACAACCGGGGAATCGAAACCGTGCCAGTTGACTCAATGACAGACTTTATGATACAACGCGCACGTGATAACCATTCAGCCATCCAACCTCCCTAATAATAATGTATATTTGTAATGCGCTTAATAAAGCATCCATATACACATGCTCAAAAGCGCAACATTAAAGGAGTTTCTCGTCAATAAAACACACATAAACAATCTGTTTCTAATCTGGATAATAGACTTTAAACAAATGAGTTTTTAGATGTGACTTTAAGAATGTGAAAGTTTGAGATTCTTTAATGTTTACTGGTATGTGCCATTGAAAACAGGTTATACAGGTAATTTTACCTTTTTTATTAAACATGGCAGCTACATCTAAAGGTGTTAGTTCATCTTTATTACGAATATTTAACTGTCTTGCATCAGCCTGAAATAATAGTACAATATAAACTTATTATCAACTTCCTTTGATCAAAGTCAGTTCTATATATGCAACAAACTTATAAATAGGTTATTCTATTCTGCAATTCACAGAGCGTGGTCTAAAGCATGATTAGAGGGGAAATATCAGCTTCATAACCCATGTTTAAAGGTGAAATATCAACTTTATAACCCATGGTTAGAGGGGAAATATTTGCTTTATAACCCATGGTAAGAGGGAAAATATCAGCTTTATAACTCATGATTAAAGGGCATATATCAACTTTATAACCTATAGTTGGAGGGGAAATATCAGCTGTAAAAAAGCATAGTTAGGTGGGTTATTCTAAAATTTATAATCTAACGCAAAAAAAGGTTAAAATCTGTTCAGTTTTTATTGTAATATCCTGAAGTGAATTTTGAGAACGTTTGTCATCCTCTGTTGATGATTTATAAACATGCCAGTGCCACTTACAAATGTCGGGGAAAATATTTTGGTGGGACAGAGACAATCTACCGCTGATATTTTGATTTTGCTCTCTTAACCCTTTAACCGTCGGATTGTTTTGGGGGCAGAGAGAGAGAAATGGGGTTTAACGTCCACTCGACACAAACTAGGTCATTTCGGGACTAACACATGGTTCAATTTTATTTCAATAGTTTGCTTGCGTGTAGGGGGTCTTTAGCAGTGGGAGTAAACCGGAGGACCCAGAGAAAACCCACGAGGTTGGACAGAAGACCCTACTCCGTGTGGATTGCTTTCGGATTTCGACTAGGAAAATCATATTGTTAAGAGAAATGGGGTTTAACTTCCACTCGACACAAACTAGGTCATTTCGGGACTAACATATGGTTTAATTTTACGGGTCTTTAGCAGTGGGAGGAAACCGGAGGACCCGGAGAAAACCCATGAGGTTGGACAGGCGACCCTACTCCTTGCCACGTACAACGGGGGATTCGAAACCACACCAGTTGTCTCAATGACAGACTTTATGGTACAGCGCGCACGTGCTAACCATTCAGCCATTCAACCCCCCATATTGTTAAGAATATATCCTGTAATTCTTTAAATTTAAGAATAAATCATACAAATGTATATATTTTTGAAAAGATATTGAATTCCTCTATTCAGTGGCATAAAATATTTAATATTTCTGTCATTTTTACTTATAGGTCATGACCTGCAAAATGGCCTCCTGATTAATGTTCCATATAGAACATCTGACGGTTCAAGGTGTATTATGGGAGATTAGATAAAGAGAGAGAGAGAAATGGGATTTAACGTCCATTCGACACAAACTAGGTCATTTCGGGACTAACATATGGTTTAATTTTATTTCAATAATTCGCTTGCGCGTAGGGGTCTTTAGCAGTGGGAGGAAACCGGAGGACCCGGAGAAAACCCATGAGGTTGGACAGGCGACCCTACTCCTTGTCACGTACAACCGGGGAATTGAAACCCTGCCAGTTGACTCAATGACAGACCGTATGATACAGCGAGCGCGTGCTAACCATTCGGCCATCCAACCCCACGGATTACATAAAGAGCTAACAGATCTCGCTATAATATTTAGAAAATAGATAACGTAAATAGAATATGCTGAAATTGCTCCACTCTGAACCAAGAGCTTTTCAATTTTCGACTAGCCTTGATCATCTAATTACTAAAGTCAGTACGATAAAAAAAGAAAGTCTTGATTATTTTACAAAACATGTATTCCAATCGCAGGCTAGCAATGGCATCGAGAGTTGATTATTGTCTGGATAATCTAATTAATGTCTAATTAATAATTTAGATAACATTTCAGACATAAAGAAAGACCTGCAATAGACATATTTAGATCTTGCATAATGTATGTTTAATCAAATTATAAATAATCAATCAGAGTACATTTCAGTGTGGATTTACCCTTGAAACAATACATGTAGCTACCATAAGAAATGAAATGAAATGAAATGGGGTTTAATGTCCTACAGTTTTGCTCCGAACTGGGCTAATGAAGACAGGTATACGCCATACAGTGTGCTATGAGGGGAAACTTTGCCCGGACAGTGGCACAACAGCCTACACTTATATTGAATTCCAACTGCCAAGGAATCTTTTATGGGACTTTGATTTTTTAACCCATCTGAAGGACTAGACAGCTGTTCTTGTCAAGCCCTCCTTCCTACACCACTGACAAGGGGAAACCACGAAGAGAAAATGACAATGATTGTGAGTGGTTTAAAGTATTTAATACACCCACACATTTAATATACATCTTTCCCCTTGTCAGTGATGCAGGACGGAGGGCCTGACAACGACAGAGAGAGAAATGGGGTTTAACGTCCACTCAACACAGACTAGGTCATTTCGGGACTAACATATGGTTTAATTTTATTTCAATAATTTGCTTGCGCATAGGAGTCTTTAGCAGTGGGAGGAAACCGGAGGACGCGTAAAAAAACCCTAGTCATACGGATGGGACGAAAAACTGAAGTCCTGTGTACACATTGGCGTGCACGTAAAATATCCTTTGACACAGTTGGAATTCAATATAAGAGAAAGCTGTAGTTCCACTGTCCGGGCAAAATTCCCCTCATAGCACACTGTATAGCGTATGCCCGTCTTCATTAACCGAGTTCGGAGCAGAACAGTAGGACGTTAAATTCCATTTCATTTCATTTCTACCATTCATAAAATTCTATCAGTCTATAAATAGACATGTGTGTTCATTTATAAAAATTATAAACTTCCTTTCTAGTTTAACTCAACTTAATGGCATCCTGACCTTCACAATTTTATTTATATAAATATGGTAATTAGATTAATCCCTTCATACAGTATAGACCCAAGGAAAAGAAATTAGTTGATAAATTATAATATTTATAATGTAATTATAGTGTTTATTTAATAAAGGTCAAAGAGAAATATCCAGTTTCCTCCCACTGCTAAAGACCCCTACGCGCAAGCGAATTATGTAAATAAAATTAAACCATATGTTAGTCCCGAAATGACCTAGTTTGTGTCGAGTGGACGTTAAACCCCATTTCTCTCTCTCTCTCTCAAAGAGAAATAGCCAAGGCCAAACACATTTATAGGTCTGTGTATTGCTTACAAACAGCCTCACTGGGGGAAATATTTATAAGGCAATACAAAAAAGAAATTTTGGTTCCCTGATTCTGTTGTGTTACTTAAGATAAATAATAAAAATGAAATAGGGTTTAAGATCCTACAGTTCTGCTCCAACTGGGCTAATGAAGACGACTGGGCTAATGAAGATGGGCATACGCCATACAGTGTGCTATGAAGGAAATTTTGCCTGGACAGTGGCGCTACGGCCTACTCTTATCTCGAATTCCAACTGTCAGGGGATTTTTAGGTACATGCCAATGTGTAAAAGGGGACCTCGATTTTTGGTCCCATACAAACGACTAGACAGCTGAAACCACGTTAAAAATCTTGATGAACTTTCTGGGTTAACAACAGGAGTGAACCCGCGACCTCCAGGCTAATACAAACTACAAACAATCTCATTAATTGCCTCATGTAAATATTTTCCCTCAGTTACAGGAAGGCAAAAGTTAAAGTGTACACAACCCCGGTATATGTGACTGACAATCAAGAATGATACTGGATAATCATACATTCCTATAAACAAATGAAATGAAATGGTGTTTAACGTCCTACTGTTCTGCTCCTATACTGGGCTAATGAAGACGGGCATACACCATACAGTGTGCAATGAGGGAAATCTTGCCCGGGCAGCGGCATTATCGCCTACTCTTATATCTAATTCCAACTGCCAAGGGATCTTTTACGTGCATTCCAATATATACACGGGACCTCAGATTTTCGTTTCATCCGAAGTACTAGACAGCTGTCCTTGTCAGGCCCTCCATTCTGCACCACTGACAAGGAGAAACCATGTCGGAAAATCTGGATGAACTTTTTCGGCCAATGCAGGGATTGAACACCTGACCTCCAGGCTAACGAGCCAGCGTCTTACCCACTTAGCCACCCTATAAACAACATAATGAGATAAATGTATTGCCTTGAAATGTGTTGTGAGAATTCATTTAGCCCAGTAATGACAATATTAAAACACAAAAATAAAAACCTGCCTCCCGCATCACATTTTTTGAAAGGATGTCTGAGAACCAGAATATCTTTTTTGTATGGCCTATTGTTGGTGAAAGCTAATTATATAAAGACCATTTAGGAAAGGCAACATTGTATATTTTTTTCTAATTATATAAAGACCATTTAGGAAAGGCAACATTGTATTTTTTTGGTATGGCCTAATGCTGGAGAGAGCTAACTTTTAGGAAAGGCAACATTGTATTTTATTGTATGGCCTAACGTTGGTGAGGGCTAACTATATAAAGACCTTTTAGGAAAGGCAACATTGTATTTTTTTTTTGTATGGCCTAACATTGGGGAGAGCTAACTATATAAAGACCTTTTAGGAAAGGCAACATTGTATTTTTTTTTGTATGGCCTAACATTGGTGAGAGCTAACTATATAAAGACCATTTAGGAAAGGCAACATTGTATTTTTTTTGTATGGCCTAATGCTGGTGAGAGCTAATTATATACATGTAAAGACCTTTTAGGAAAGGCAACATTGTATTTTTACTTGAAAACAACGAAGAAGGAAGCAAAATTGAATAGGTGTAGCCGAGGAACTAAAATCATATAGGTGTGTCCTAACAAACGTATTCCATAGAAAGTTATTTCATACAGTCAACTAGTTTATACTCTACAGTCTACATTAAACATACATTATGCAAGAGGTAAATCTGCCTATTGTAGGTCTTTCTTTAGGCCTGAAATGTTATATAAATTATTAATCAGACATTTATTAACTTATCCAAACCATAATCAACTCTCGGTGGCATCGGGTACTCAAGATTTTACCTAGATTAGAACGGTTTGCCATTTAAAAATTTATTTCAAAAATGGGAAAGCAAGGGTAAATCTTAAATATACCAGTGCTCTGGTTACCACAATGCACACATATTGCCAAAACTAACCAGCGGCTGCCAGGCAGGATACGCCCACATTTTCGAGAGATGGATAGAGAACAAGCTAAAAAGAAAGTGATTTTTCCTACAACCAAGGGCCATAATTCATGAAGTTACAATTCGATATGCGCAAATATCGAAAGGAACCAAGATCTTTAGGTTATAAGCATGCATTTCAAGTTTCATCAAAATCGAATTAAAATTGTGACCTCTACAGGATCCAAAACCTTGATATACAATATTTTTACACTATTCGCGTACAAGCGGTGGCCATTTTGTCTGGCAATTTTGGTCCAATTTTCACGAAATTCGAACTCAACCTTCATTACGGAGTAACAGTGATATAATCAAACGGGTTTTTTTAAATCGGATAAAAATTGTGACCTCTGGAGAGACCACAAGCCAAAAACGCGATTTTCGTACAATCTGGGGCCATATTTCAGGAAGTTACGATCCGATATGCGCAAATATCGATAATAACCAAGATCTTTGGGTTATAAACATGCATTTCAAGTTTCATCAAAATCAGATCAAAATTGTGACCTCTTGAGTTCCCACAAGTTATGGTCCGATACAAGCCAATATCGAAAGGAACCGAGATCTTAGGGAGATAGACCTATATTTCAAGTATCGTTGAAATCGGATAAAAATTGTGACTTGTAAAGTGTCCACAAACAAATTGTGGACGGACGGACGAACAGGGGCGACTGACATACAGGGTGTATGACAATATACGTCCACATGAAAATGTGGACGTATAAAAACAGTGATAACGTGGCTCAGAATAAAGTAATTTGAATGAAATTTTCAATACAGTATTTTCTTTTTTTATCATTTATTTTTGAATTATTATAGCAGGATCGACAAACTCTTTATTAAACTCTTAAATAATGCATAATATAGAACTGATTGAATACGGTTCCAGCTGTGTTTGTGTCAGACATTTACCATGTGTACTAAATAATGTTCTCTGTTTTTTGTTTAATTGATTAATGTGTTGTGATTGTTGTAATTTTATATTAGTTGTACTTATGTAAAGCGCCCGAGAGCAGCTCGCTGAGTTGTATTGTTGGCGCTATATAAATCAATTATGATTATGATTATTATTATTAAAATGTCAACAATAAATTGGACGTGTAAAAACAAGTTTACTTACATGCAGAAGTCTGTTTATAACAAATAATTTATTCTCTAGATCGGATTGACAGGCGATGTGCAACGGTGTATTACCATCTTTATTCTGGGTGATCTTCTGAAAAACAAACAGGGCTTGGTTTTATATAAAATGAAATGAAATGGGGTTTAATGTCCTACTGTTCAGCTCCTAAACTGGGCTAATGAAGACGGGCATATGCCATACAGTGTGCTATGAGGGAAATTTTGCCCGGGCAGCGGCGCTACGGCTTACTCTTATATCGAATTCCAACTGCCAAGAGATCTTTTAGGTGCACGCCAATATGTACACAGGACCTCGTTTTTTTGTCCCATTCGAACAACTAGACAGCTGTCCTTGTCAGGCCCTTCGTCCTGCATCACTGACAAGGGGGAAACCACGCCGGAAAATCTGGATGAACTTTCTCGGCGAATGCAGGGATCGAACACCCGACCTCCAGGCTAGCGAGCCTGCGTCTTACCCACTTAGTCACGTGATCCCCTGGTTTTATATAAGCTGATAAAATGAAATAAAATGGGGTTTAACGTCCTACTTTTCTGCTCTGACTGGGCTAATGAAGACATTAAGCTGATAAAGCTTGTTGTCGTAAAATATTCTAAGGAGATGCTCTCATTATGATTCCAACATGAAAAGAGAGAGAGAGTGGGAGAGAAATGGGGTTTAACTCCACTCCACACAAACTAGGTCATTTTGGGACTAACATATAGTTCAATTTTATTTCAATAATTTGCTTACACGTAGGGGACTTTAGCAGTGGGAGGAAACCGGAGGACCCGGAGAAAACCTACGAGGTTGGATAGGCGACCCAACTCCTTGTCACGTACAACCGGGGAATCAAAACCACAAAGAACTAGATAATTATGGTACTAACATATGGTACCTGGAGAAATCCAACAAAGTTAGACAGGCACCCCCTTCCCCTTGTCATAAGCATCCAGCTGGAACCAAATTTTAAGTTTTGAAATATTAAAAAATAACATTGTAAACAAGACTCCAGTGGCAATCTGTTTTTAAAAACAAGACCTGGAAGAATTAAATTGCTTTGGCCTAATGGAAAATGGGAGCCTTTGTGGCTCAGTGAGTAAAAGGATGACTCACTAACCAGGACATCTCAGGTAGCCAGGTTCCCTCCAGGTGTTGGGCGAGAAAGTTACTCAGCCAGGTTTCCCCTTGTCAGTGGTGCAAGATGAAGAGGGCCTAGTCGTTCAGATGGGACGAAAAAACCAAGGTACAGTACCCTATACACATTGTCATGCACGTAAGAGAATCCATGACAGTTTGAATTAAAAAAATAACAGTAGGCAGTACCGCCGCTGCCTGGGCTAAATTTCCCTTATAGCACAATGTATGGCATATGCCCGTCTTCGATACAGAACAGTAGGACATTAAACCCCCTTTCTTAATCCACTGGATACTTCGAACTAGATTAGTAGAAAGTTAAACACCATTTCATGTCAGTAAAAATCATAACTTACTTTATTTGATCTTTGTAAGAAAATATCAATCAATTCCACTCTACCAGCAAATACAGCTAAATGTAACGGTGTATTTCTAGAAATTTAAAAACAAATTTTTTTTTTAGCATATTGTTGAATGGGAAAATGCAAAAAGGAAGCCTCGAATCATATTTTTCATTAGCTTACCTATTACCAGTATTTTATTATAAAGGAATATACATGTACCATACAAAATGTACAATGAAGGGGCTTTCCCTGTTCAACATTCAATACAATAATATAATGGTATAAATCTCTGTCTGGAATCTGTCCAGATATATTTACTGAGATATTAATTCTCTTCTCATTGAACTATACATAATATGTAGATCTATTGAATCTCTTATTTATTTTAAAGATTAATATAAGCTTTATTTCTACGTTTTCAGTATTTTTATTATTACTGCATTTTATTTCTACTAATATACCATAATACATGTTAGGTCATAAGTCCCTCAATAAAATATAGTTTAAATCAAGAGAGAAAGAGAGAGAGAGAGAGAGAGAGAGAGAGAAATGGGGTTAAACGTTCACTCGACACAAACTAGGTCATTTCGGGACTAACATATGGTTCAATTTTATTTCAATAATTCGCTAGCGCGAAGGGGTCTTTAGCAGTGGGAGGGAGGGAACCAGGGGACCTGGAAAGATCCCACGAGGTTGGACAGGCGACCCTACTCCTTGTCACGTACAACTGGAGAATCAAAACCATGCCAGTTGACTCAATGACAGACTTTATGAAACAACGTGCTAGCCTAACCATTCGGCCATCCAACCCCCCTCCAGTTTAAATCATGTCCTTATTTCTATAATACAGAGAAAAATCTAGCCCTGAATACAAGAACGAAACCAGGATAAACGATGGGTTCAAATAAAGTTTCTCGACATGTTTTACTTTCTGTCTCAAGTGTCCATGTACCATTTTGAGCTCGCAGCGTTTTTTTTATATAAGGGAAACTTTTATTTACTGTAGATATCACACGACCCAAGCACATTGTTATTCATGAGATCATATATTACTATGGAAACTAATGTAACAAAATACCACACTGTCAATACCACACAACTCGTGTGCAGTGTTATTCCGTGAAATCATATATTACTATTGAAACTAATGTAACAAAATAAATCATGGTACTGTCAATACCACATAACTCCTATCGTATATTACTATGGAAACAGATTTAACAAAATAAACATGGTACTATCCATACCACACTACTCTCTATCATATATTACTATGGAAACAGATTTAACAAAAAAAATGATATAGCTTACCCTTTAATATCAGGTATATTTACATTGGCTCCACTCACGATCAAATACTCTACTAACTTCCTGTTTCCTATCATAACAAAATAAACACATCACAATGAATGACTGATATCTAATGGATGAATCATCAAAACACTTACATGTAGCCTATTACTATTCCTTTTAAATGAAATGAAATGGGGTTTAATGTCCTACTGTTCTGCTCTAACTGGGCTAATGAAGATGGACATGTGCCATACAGTGTGCTTAAGGGAAGTATGCTACATGTATATCGAATTCCAACTGCCAAGGTATGTTTTACGTGCACACCAATGTATACACAGCACCTTGGTTTTTCGTCCCATCAAACGACTATAAATTGTCCCTTGCCAGGCCCTCTGTGCTACACCGATGACTGGGGGAACCACCCAGGAAAATCCTGCTGAACTTTCTCGGCCAACGCAGGGATCGAACACGGGACCTCCAGGTTAGCCAGCCAATGTTTTACTCACTGAGGAACATTGCTTTTAAAACTTTTATGATGTGTGAGGGGAAAACGCCAGCTGACTCAATGACAACATGCTCATGCTAACCATTTGGCCACCCAACCCCGCTTGAGCACGAGAATGAGGGAAAGAACAGATCAATTGGGGCAAGTCGATTAATTTACATTAGGTGCTGTATCAAAAGACCCTTGTCAGACAGCAACCACTTTTGTCTGGTTATTTGTGGTAGAAAACTATGTTACATACCAGCTAGAGTTGCCGTAATGAGGGGTGTATAACCGGTTTCTTTATCAATAGAATTAACATCCAGTCCTTTACCCCCATCACCACCTTTCTTTAATGAAGTTCTTCTGTCACTTTGAATCAGTTTCTGAAAATAACAAGTCAAAAACTAATAAATATGACACCAACTTAATCTCAGACACCACAGAGAGAGAGAGAGAGAGAGAGACAGAGAGAGAGAAATGGGGTTTAATATCCACTCGACAAGACACCCAAGAAATTAAATTAAATGAAATGGGGTTTAACTTCCTACTGTTCTGCTCTGACTGCCTAATGAAGACTGGCATACACCATATACATGTAGTGTGCTATGAGGGAGATTTTGCGCAGGCCATAGCACTATGGCCTACTCTTATATCAAATTCCAACTGCCAAGAGATTTTTTTTTCTCATCCAAACTACTAGACAGCTGTCCATGTCAGGCCCTCCGTCTTGCACCAGTGACAAGGGGAAACTACACCGGAAGGCTTGTTGAGATAGTACCTGTCAGATGTGATACAACGTCAAATATAAAATGATTAAACTTAATATAATTTTTGTTAATGACAGGAAAGACAGTTTGTGATGTGGTAACTAATCAAATATTTATCAAAAATTATCAGGAAATTATATCACACCAATTTTTATCCTAGAAATTTTTATTTAAAGAAAAAACTTGGTTCTGAACCAATGGAATGATGTTTAAAATCTCATCTACATAGTACTTTAGTCTTTTTAGACTAACAAAATGGTATTTTTATTTTATATGCCATGGGGCGATTGTTGATGTTTCTGACTACTCTTCCTCGGATACTGTATACATGTATGAGTGGAGAGAGGGTTTATCAAACTATCCAAATGACTACAATGTAGGCCCCGCCCCACTTTCCTTATCAGCTCAGAAGATGTCATACCATACACATACAAATGCGCTTCAACACTGTATATAAGAGAGAGAAATGGGGTTTAACATCCACTCAACACAAACTAGGTCATTTCGGGACTAGGTCAAATTTTATTTCAATAACTGGCTTGCACGTAGGGGTCTATAGCAGTGGGAGGAAATCGGAGGACCCAGAGAAAACTCACAAGGTTGTACAGGCACATTGTATATGGTGAACTTCAGTTTTTCATAACAACATACCATCAAAATGACTAGGCCCACTTTCCATGTCAGTCCAGCAGATGTCATACCTAACAAGATAGAACTGAACTTGGTAAATCCTGAAGGTTAATCTCAGTCCACACTAGGATTCGACCAAAGTGATGTCCTACCACGGCCCTCGTCGATCACCAAGGTTTTTTACTTGTTGAGTTTATTTCGTTACATGGTGACACCTGAAGATATCAGTCCTGTCAGACCTGTTTGGTTCAACCATGGATATAAAAATGGCTAGTTTGGCCAATCAACTGATATGTTTCACTTGGCTGGTTTATAAAACATGGTTCTTTCAAATCTTGTATTTACACGTATTTAATGTTGGATATTGTAAGTGTACAGGAAATAGGTCTGGTGAACACAGGGAGTGAAATAGGTCTGGTGAACACAGGGAGTGAAATAGGGCTGGTGAACACAGGGAGTGAAATAGGGCTGGGAGTGCTAGAGAGGGAGAAATGGGGTTTAACGTCCACTCGACACAAACTAGGTCATTTCGGGACTAACACATGGTTAAATTTTATTTTGATAATTCGTTTGCGAGTAGGGGTCTTTAGCAGTGGGAGGAAACCGAAGGACCTGGACAAAACCCATGTCACATACAACTGGGGAATCGAAACCACGCCAGTTGACTCAATGACAGACCTTTATATGATACAGCGCGCACATGCTAACCATTCGGACATCCAACCCACCACTGGGAGAGAAATAGGCTAATAATTTGATACACAGATGGGGTCGGATACAAAAACGTATATTGATGGGCTTTAGCTACAATTCACTTTGATTTGTTTTTCCATGCAAATTTATTACTTAAATTGACGAAGTTTGTCGAATTCAATTGCAACCAATCAAAACTTCAATTTGAGGCAAATCGTCAATCGAAAAAGATTGTGCTTGAAATTTAAATTAACACCATAATATATTTTTACATCAGTGTGTCGGAAATATCTTATTAAGGAACATAAATATTTTTTAGAAAGTAAGAGTCAGTATAGTCTTCTTTCAATTTGTGCATGAGTGAATCACGATTATTCGATTGCTCAAGCAATATTAAAAGCAAGGAGGAAACTTCCTAACATACTGTGAAAGGAGAGAAGAGTAGGCCTAATTGCTTGAGCTACAGTACAATGATGTTGAGCTACAGTCAACAGTATATACTTGGTGATGATTTACTCCAGTAGCCCGGGCTAATTTATGTAAATAGATAAATAAAATAAAAAATGGTCTGGTTTGTTTTCTTAGAGCACAACCCAAACACATGAGCAAGACACAGATTGGGTTTTACGTCCACTCAAAACAGGTCATTTTGGGACTAACATTATCAGGCGACAGCAGGTTCGTGCTGAAAGTCTGGCTGATTCGTTGAAGTTTGTTTACGTCTCCACATAAATGGTACAACTTGCTCCTGTTATTCGCCGTATTTCCATTTCACATTGTGGCCTATGGCTATGGATTGTTTCATTTCTGCTGAGAGTAACGGTAATTCAGAATTTATCAAGAACAGACGGTTTTATTATTATCCTTTAAAAAAAAAAGTTTATTTACAAATACACAATCTGCAAAATGAAAATGAGACCGAGCAACCACTCACTTGTAATTTGACAATGTCACCCTCCTTCACGGCTTTAAATAATTCCGATTCTTTTCCCATAGCGTTTGGTAGTTAATCGACGTTCATAATCGTTAATTGTTTTAATCAATTAAGCAATTAATTCCGCACTAAACTTTAGAGAATGCCAATACACTTCACTTTTCACATCCTCACACGCGTACAGGAAATCAACACTAGTCTGGTCACGTGATTAAACAAGGAAGAAAGACTCGAATAGCCAGTCTTATCGACGAAGATCAAAGGGATTATTTTGCGTGCAGCCCTGAGGGCGGATACATTTTTTTAGTATCAATTAATACAAAGTGGCCTTATGCCGCGTCTACGCTTTATCTGGGTCATTTTCAGACTAAAATGGTAATTCGCATATGGTCGCGTGCGCAATTATGCGAAGACGAAAAGTTTGCCCGGGTAGCGGACCCAGCGGCGTTTAAATTTCGCCAGTCCTACGAATTCCAACTTCTAATACCAAGCGAATTTTTTTCGTGCCCTTTCAATCTGTACAGAGGACCTCGTTTTTTCTGTCCTATCCGAATGAATAGGCGACACACCTTTCTCTGTATCTCGGCTACAGCAGTGACCAGTGTAAAATACCTCAGTCAAATTAGGGCCTGCTTTAATTTCTTCGGGCAACGTCAAAAATAACCGGGCCAGCTCAACTGCCCCAAGAATAGTCAGGCCAAACAAAATGGAAAAATAGTTCAGCGTGAGTATTTTTTTTTTTTTCGGGTTAGTATCCCGAACTTATGGGGGGTTGACCATTCAGATTACTTCTACTGTTACTCGTGGAAGCTTAAAGTCATGTACGACATGCTTGCCCATATAGGCCTATATAGTGGGGTAAAATTCGTGACAGATTCTCTCGGACCTCAGCTTGAAGGGGGTTTATATATAAGAAGTCGATCTTCCTCCTATACGTGATGGCTAATTCAGCTAGGGACCTAAATTCAAAATGGGCGCTCATTTTGGCGGGAAACCAATAAAGTTTCCTAGAAAGGCAGAAATGTGTGTAATATACTCTTCAAAAAAAGTAGGGGATATTCAGAAACAATACAAAACAACGGAAATGCACTGCTGTTTTTATTAGAGGTAACCAGTGTATGTTAATAACAGGTCAATTGCCTACACATGAACATAAACAGGTCATATGGGCGGCTTATCTGACGGCCCCATTTCACTCGCAAAGAGATACACTGTCAAAAGTGAAAATGGACGTTTTTGATTTTTGTCTTAATGAGTCATTGCTCCACCCATCCTCAGACATTCAGCAATTCGTCGTTGCATGCTCCTAATCAACCGTCCAATCACGATTTGGGGCAATCTGACCCATTTCCCTTGCAGTGCCACGGCCAGTTCTTGTAGTATTGTCGGTTGACGTTGACGTCGACGAACACGTCTCCCGATGAAAATACACGTAACACACTAAAGCAAAGAAACGCTAAACAGTAAATCTTATGCAAGAACCGATAGGAATGCTAACATGGATAGATAAACCAGCACGCGGCAGTTTTCATCAACTCTTCCTTGAAGTGTCAAATTTGACAATGGACCCCTCTAACGTGTATGGCGCTATTGCGTGTCGCATGTGCAGCTCAGTGGTTCTGTTGGGGCGATAAGTTCTTCATCTGTGAACATACTCTCAAAGCATGTCAAGCGTCCATGACTATTTATCATATTACAACCTAAATAGGTATTTGCATTTCAATATCCCCTACTTTTTTTGAAGAGTATATATTGAAATATAGGTTCCCTTTTCATCCATATCATGCAACAGGGATGAACTTTGTGTTGACAGTTATTATGTATTATGTCACGCATAAGCGCGGGTAAAGCTGGGGTTTTCTGGCAAACATTTTCCATTTCTTATTCCCTTCTGTTTTCTAGTAGAGAAAGTGACATGGACGGGTATCATAGTGGAACATAATGTATGCTTGACAATTCGCCCTCCGTAGCTTTTCTCCTAACAGGGCCGTAACTAGCTCAGAGCAACAACGGGGGGGGGGGGGGTGTTCTCACGGGTGCTGCCTGTAAAATTGTTTTTATGGTCGACAATTTTTCACAGGGGGGGGGGGGGGGGTATAACTTTTGCCCTTAGTTACGGGCCTGTCTCCTAAACTTAGCTATTTTGTCGAATTTGGGAACGATATTGCCGTTTCGTTCGGTCATGGCACATTTCGCCATTCACATCTGAATTCTATAGTGTGACGTATTACACTTATCACATTAATAGAATTGTTGTCTCGCCATATATGGCCTTCGATTCCCCGGTTGTACGTGACAAGAAGTAGGGGCGCCTTTCCAACCTCCTGGGTTTAGTCCGGGTCCTCCGGTTTCCTCCCATTGCTAAAGACCCCTATGCGCAAGCGAATTATTGAAATTGAACCATATGTTAGTCCCGAAATGACCCTGTTTGTGTCGAGTGGACGTTAATACCCCTCCCCTCTCTCTCTCTCTAGCTCTCTCTCTCTCTGTCCATATGACCGCCATTTTGAATATGCACTCAACCTGAAATACCTTTTGGTCAGATCATGTTTATATGTTTATATCTGAAGTAAATGACACCGAAAACCTATATTTCAATATATCACGCACTTTTTTAAAGGAAATATTATGAGTTTATATGGAGGACAGAATACGTCAAAATTTTCATTTCCCTTTCACATATATTTATTTACGTAATAAATTTCCCTTGCACGTGTCGACATACAGACAATTTTCAGACAATTTTTAACTAATGTTTGGATTCTGCTGGCGCGTCGGTGGCTAAGTGAGTAAGAAAAGGGAGATAATCAGAATTAAATATTAATCTTGTACTTTTCGGAATAGGCCTACCTATTTATCTCGAAACTTTCAAGCCTTTCGCCCTTCGAGAGCAGGTTTCCTCCGAACGCTCATAGTCGCTTTGCAAATTTTAAATAGTTCCTTTATTACTTTGTTGTTAAAAACCTTACTAAAAGTCTGAATTAAACACTGCTTTTAACTTATCTTAATTATTGTACCATTCATAGCCTTGAATATGTATATAAATATGCAATGTATTATATTTCATGAATAAACATTTTGTTTTTTAAAAAAAAAAGACGCTGGCTCGCTAGCCTTGAGGTCGCGGGTTCGATTCCGGTGTTGGCCGAGAAAGTTCATTGGGATTTTCCGGTGTGATTTCGTCAGATGGGACATAACACCGAGGTCACGTGTACACATTTACGTCGGCAGCAAAACAGTGACGTTAAACCCCATTTCCTTTCATTTGTACTCTGCTATATTACCGAGAAGGGGTTACCGCCATGGAGATTCCAGGGAACATTATTAGCCAACACCGGGATTGAACTTGGCACCTCCTGGTTAGTGAGCCAGTCCGCTACGCGCTGAGTCACAACTGAACAAATCAAAGGATACAAAAGGTTGACAAGAATGTATTAGCAATTAGTGTTCACAATAACCACATTGTGGGAATACGACATGCTGTTTAGTACTTGTGTGATGTTGCCATTCATAATATGTGGGTCAGTGGTAATTATGGCGTTCTAGATTCTGTATGATAATATATAATCTGCTTATTTTATAATCAAACCAGAAATGTGAGTGTAGGTCTTACATAGTTTTACTAGACAGTTTAATCTGTAAATAATTGGGGGGGGGGGGTGGCTGAATGGTTATCACGTGCGCGCTGCCGCAGTACCATAAAGTCTGTCATTGAGTCAACTGGCGTTGTTTCGATTCCCCGGTTGTACATGACAAGGAGTAGGGTCTAATTCCAACTGCCAAGGGATCTTTTACGTGCATGCCAATGTATACATGAGACGTCAGTTTTTCGTCCCCTCCGAACGACTAGACAGCTGTCCTTGTCAGCCCCCCCGTCCTGTACCACTGACAAGGGGGAAACCACGTCGGAAAATCCCGATAAACTTTCTCGGTCAATGCAGGGTTCGAACACGCGACCTCTGGGCTAGCGAGCCAACGCCTTATCCACCAGGTCATCCAGATCATTCAGGTCATCCTCGGCATTCCCAATGGTATCGTTCCGTTCTACTCCACTAACTCCTGGGTCTATTCACGAATTCAAATTATCTGTCCTTGGTGATTTCATTGCATGGCCACGTAGGTTGTTTCTACGAACCAATCAAAAAATTATCTACCATTGCTGATTTCATTGGCCACTTAGGTTCTTTCTACGAACCAATCAAAAACCAGATTACATACCAGTCTTAGTGCAGTCATTGGTAATGTTCACCACAATACAGTAACTTGCGATTACGAGGAATTTTCCAAGAAATGTAATATCAAAGAAGTGACATGCACACAAAAGAACTCCTAAATTATTTTGACAAAGTTTACAACAATGATTAGACGATCGTAGTTTCAACAAAATGCGAGTTACCTCTCTACGCTTTATATTTATAAAAATAGCACAGTTATCAAGGGCGGATAATTTGACTATGTGTCTGCCCCATGGAGACAGACCACCATTAATTTCCACATTGACTTCAATGTTAATTCTGGCCTCTTTGCCCACCTCCAACTTTCCCCAAATTTTCGTTGGGGTGAATGCTTTTCACTACAGACAGAGGAACAAATGGTCATGTCTTTGCACTAAAATTTGTATGAGGTTGACCACCAAAATTTTGAGATACACAAACTTGAAGAAGCATACTAAAAACATGTAACTAGTTGCCGTACCTATCGCCGTAGACAACCTGATAACCCTGTTATTCTTCCGCCTCAAAATCATGAATATTTACCAAAACCTGGCAGAAAATGTTAATTCACACCCTTTTCGTCCATTCTGGACCACAAAATCAACAAAAATAGGCATGCAAAAGGGGAGAAGAGAGAGAGAGCAGGGGCGGATTGGGCCATCGGGCGATCCGCCGGTCGGACAAAAAATGAAAAAAATAATTTTGTCCAATTCGTCTAAAAACCTTTTTCTGCTGAACATTATATGGGGGGGGGGGGGGTATTGGACCGGCCATGGAGCGATGATGATCATGTTGTATATGGCCGGTGGCTGGGGTCTGGAATGGGCTGGTATAATAGACTTTCTGGGCCGGGTGTGCTGGGCGTGGGCCGGAATTCGGAATCCTGCAATGGGGATTCCGAATTTCATCCGAAAATTTCATCGGATTCACCCGACACTGTCGCCCTCAAATTTACTAATTAT